GCCCGCCAGTGTTTTCAGCATTTCGCACGTGTTAATGGGGGCTGGAGTGTTCAGGGTGCAACGGGCTTGCAGTGGTTCAAGTTTAGGGCTTTGGGGTTGCGCAGAGACGTTAAGCACGGAAAGCACGGTTTTGGTCGCGAAAGGCATGGACGCTTGTGACAGATGTTCTTGTTCCACATCCTTGTGCAGTATGTTGTACAAAGAGGCGAAAACGCTGTAAATACCAGTGTTTTGTGCATGGACGCAATATGAATGACGTTCTTATCCCCAGCCCCCCCAACCCTCCCCACCCCAACAAGACAACCGGAACAAGTCACCAAGAAGTGCCAAAACTAACGTTTTACCCAGGGCCGCTAACAACGGCGTGAGCTTAAACTACCTGTTTGGCAATCATCTCAATGCACATACGCAGAACCTGGCATCTGCATCTTCCAACTGTCTCTGACATGGATGGGTCTGGTCAAGACCAACCGTTTGTCAGACATTCGCCACTTCATCGTGAAGGAGTGCTCTTCGGGGCCGCTGTTGGCTGCATCACTCCTCGGTTCTTTCAAACCTCCTCCCGTTCGCCCTTCGCCCCTTCTTTGCGCGGCTGGGCGCTCTCGCTGAAGGTTGCGATTCCATCACCGTTGGGGCTCCTCGAAAGTCCCATTTTGCCTGGTGCCGCCTGCCCTGCTCGTTGATGACAGGTTGTTGGATCAAGTTCTCCTCCTCCGCTCTGAGGGCCGTGCCCGCCGCTCGCTGTGCCGTGAACGATTTCTTTCCCGTGTGGTTTGCACATGCAGGGCTCTGGATGGGCAGCATCGCCCTTCGTGGCCTTTCGTGGCCTTTGCTTGGCGAATTTCTTGGCTGGGCTCACAAAAGTCCAAAGTGGGCATGACCGGCAACACATGCCTTGTCGTGTGGTCCATCGGGGTCATCAGGGAACCCCAAGTACAAATTTCCCGAGTTGTTAAAGTTTCCAATGTCGCTGGCATTCGGATTCTTTCTACATTTTCCCCAAAGGAATGGGAAGGTCGCCTCGCTCACGAGACCCCTGCGCGACAAGACTCTTATTTGGGGTGAAAGCATCGAGAAACAACCCCAGAAGGAGCTGTCCCGTGTCTTTTCACTTCTGCAGACAGTCTGTGCTGGAACCCTCTTCTCTGGCCGTGTAGACACCAGCGCGCGCCGGAGATGAGATCAAAGAATGCGAGATCTGAGCAGCAGGCCCATTGGAAGGAGGTGCCGCAGGCACCTCGGATCGGCCACGCTGTCTTTTGTCCCTCCATGGTTTCACAAAGTGCATGTCAAAGGGCCTTCGTGTCTCGTGATTGTCTTGGAAAGTAAGTATGGTTCAACGCCTCAGGCCCATACCCATGATGCTGCTCAGCAATACCACGTCAGGCCTGTTGCGATGCTTTGGGAACTACAGTGAATGAACTACAGTGAAACCACTGTGGTATAAAGAGGTTACGGACTTGGGGCATTTCAGTTTGTTGGCTAAGAAGCTTCGGACATACGGTCATCAAGTGGCACCGAACGTTGTGGAGGAATGTGGGGTCCCCAGAAAGCCGGGTGGTATAGGACAGCTGGACATGAATCGAACCTGCATGTGCTGACTGTGCCTCTCCCCAGAAACTAGGCCTGAGACAAGAAATCATGCACACGAACTGACGGATCTATTTCGTTCGGCAGCTTTGATGCACAAAATCGGGAACGGCTGAGCTCTACGGGGTCAACTGTATATGTAACGGGGCCTGACTTATGTTTGTTGGCCTGCCCCAAGGCAACGTCACAAGTGGCAGAGTGAACATCTTTTGAGTATGAGTGCATAGCTGAGCGTGTTCCTTTCTCTGCAGAGTGCGCACGCTGCCTAGAAAGGAAGTATCGGTATGAAGCTTGAAGCTTGCAGAGCATGTTTATGGAACAGCAAAAAACAATGTCGCGAAGGTACTGTTGCAGCTCAGGAAATGCTACAGCAACTCTCACGCTGTGACGAGGGGCCAAGGTGGCAAACATGCTAAGATAAAGTCATGGCATGACATGGCACGATGAGTGTGGCACACAGAGTCAAGGTCCTCTGTGGGACCTAGGTTCGATCAAATAATCAGCAACACTCGGCGGGTTTGCGAATGACCTCGCCGATCTTGCCTGCAACAGGAGACAACAGCCGCTCTCTCTCCCCAATTTCCGGTCGCCCTAGGCCCCAGCCCTAGCCCTACCTAGCCTGCTCAGCAGATCCAGAGCCAGAAGCCACTGCCTCTGAGAACCAAGTGCGAACGAGCTGTTGGACTTGAGCCATGTCTGCAATGCATCTCGAAGTCCGTTTGCACCAGGGGTCCCTTCTCGAACTTTTTGAGGCAGTACTGGCATGAGACCTAGCGCCGGTCTGCCTCCCATGCTCGGCGGCTTTGGCCAAGGCCTGCTATCCCAATGCTGCTCGCCGGACACTTTCGAACTTTCGGGAACCTGGAGACTGGGGCTCTGGCGCTGCAAGTGAAGTTGTTTTGCTCGATTCCAGCCTCTCTGGATGTGTGTTCAGGAGGGCTTCACGTCCATGAAGGCAGCGACGTGCTGGGGGTTTCCGACACTAGCATTAGGAGCACCTTATTGGGGTCCTTATCAGGGAATCCTAGTTGGGGGTCTTTCTTAAGGCCCCCCCCCCAGTTTCGTAAACCCCCATATGTTTCGGATAAGGACTCTCTCAGTGCATGTCAGTGCCTCCGCCATCTGCGCGGCCAGTCGAAGTGCGGCTTCCCAGCCTTGTCCTCTCGTCCGCATGCTCTGGAACTCATGACATGCGGCCTCATTTTTTCATGCAAACAACGCGAACGTTACTTGACTTTGAAAGTAGCTTGGTACACTTATGTACACTTGTCGTCTGCGTCTTAGCAGGACCTTGTCAACCTCAAACGCCCACATTTGACTGCGAGAGAGCTCCTGTCCTTCTGAGCAGGCGCTGATGGCAGTGCTGTAAGCCACCAAATCAGGAGACACAGCCTTCAGTCACGAGCCAGTGTCGACAGTGTTGTCTTGAAACTCAGACGAGCAAACAAGCAGAGTCGTGCTCCCGCACAAGGTCCTTGCCCAATCAGTCTGCGAAACTTCCAGGTATTGCAGTGCAAGCTGCCATTGCCGTGAGCGCCTGCCAACACAGCCATGCAGCCATAAACGGCCGACCCTTTCAGCATTGGAGACTGCTATGATTTCGCTTGAAAATGCATCTACCCTGCGTGCAAAATGCCAGGGCGGCTGGCAGGCCGCCAGGCCTCGGATTTGTTCTGATCGAGGGGTCTGTGAAGTCAACTCCCATGTTAAAGTGGCATCAGCTTAGCTCCTAGGGTCCTAGGGGCTCGTCGCTGCTTTGTGGACTCTTCCAAGTATGTGGTCGAAAGAGTGCCACGAAACGGCCTTGATGACGCGAGCTTAGGGCCTGGCAGGAGCCAAGGGTAAAGACCTCGTCTGCACATCGATCATGGCCATGGCTTTCTGACAAAGATAAGATCCAGCAGAAACTCAGCGAAGTGCATCCGGCCGCAGCTCTTGGCTGAGATCGCCCGCTAGGAGGAGAGCTTGCTCCTCCCATGAAACAAATCTGAAGGAGGTTGGAAGGTTCTTTTTGTTGGAGCCGACTCGCGAAGGAGTGGATGCAGCTCCATCCACAAACTGCACCGGATGGCTGGTCGGTCCCAGGCAGAGATGCGCTCACAGCTAGCGATGACTGCGTTGTAGGTGACCAGGTCCTGCAGAGTGAGCAAGTGGAGAAGCAGCCTGTTGCAAAGTAAGCGAGTGAGCGGAAAAAAAGTGGTGCTTGCACAAGCAGGGCGGCGTCCGGACGAGGGAGCCTCGGCCGCACAGAGCTCAAATGCTAAGGAGTTGTGCCCCATGCAAACGCAAAGGATCTCACAAGGAAATTGCTGAAAGCCAGGATGGGTGATCCCCGCGACAGATTTCACATACGGGCCATATCGGCCAAAAGTTGCTGCCCCGTGGATCCTGGTCATACCTTCTCTCTATCGGGTTCCTATTCCTAGGGCAGCAGAAGTCTCACACGAGATGGTCTCCAAGCAAACTGAAGCCTCAAACCAAGCGCTGCGCGATGAGCTCCAATTTTGCATTCCAGCCAGGATGGCCAAGGCCTGCAACGGCTAACGGCTCCCTGTTACATCTGTCATCATGCGGTTTCGCAGGAGCCTTCTCCCATTCATTTCCTCGACAGCAGGCAGCCATTGCCGCAGTGCACGTCGCAACCGTCGGCCTTCAATTGCCATGCTCATGGTGTTAGAACCTTCATGGCACTGATGGGAAAGCTGTCCTACAGTTCCTGTGTCGACGCGACATAGCTTCCATACTTCTGCACAACAGAATGGCCCCCCCCGAAGCGTCGGCAGCTCAAATCACGTCGTCCGAAAACTGAGCTACTCGCTGCAAGTGTGAACGTTCCAGGACTTGCTTCAGCCTGTTTGATACATAGCCAACGTGTCGCTCATTTCCAGGGATCTAAAGTGTGGATCTTCAATGCTGAAAGTGGAAAACGGCTTTGTTTAAGTGGACTCTTGGGCAGCAGCAGCTCCAATGCCTTTTCCCATTGCCAGCCTGTCAGAACACATTGCAATGGCAAAAAAAAACTAAGCAAAGCTCGGCAACCGGATAGTGATGCCAGCAGCAGGGCAAAGGGCCATGTAGACTAAAAGCAGGAGATGAAGAAGCCAAACACCCTCAGTCACCCAGTCACCCAGAACCTCAAAATCTTCGAGTTTCGGCAGACGTAGCATGACGCTCGCACATGCCTCTTTCACAAGCTGAGATGGCCGTGTTGAAGGTCACGACCTTTTTTTTGTTAATGCAAACTGAACGCTCACGAATGATCGCTTGCTGGACTCGTCTATCCATCGCGGCACCACTAGAGACGGGCGCATTGCAATACCGCGCAAGACATCGGAGAACATCATGATGAAGCGGCCCAACATGGTCCAACTTTAAACATCTGACCTGGATTCGTCACACGGGCGTCGGACGGTTGGATGGAAGTTGCCGTGGAAGGCCTTTGGCAAGAATGTGTGATGATGAAGATAAGCCTTGCCAGGACCTAATCAGCGACACAAACACGTGCCTTGTGCAGCACGGACAAAGCTTTGGTCCAGTGCCTCGGAGTCCACTGTTCCCCATGCAACAGGGAAGCTGGCGACGAGGTCGAGGCGCCCACCCGGCTTTGAGGCAAGCCGCAGCAGCGGTGTTGTGCGCCACAGTGTCTTGGACAACCTCTTCTGGGCGACATGCATGGAAGCATGGTAACGATTGAGCGTTGCCAAGGAATCCCAGGAAGCACATGACACGGGCACATGCGCTCAACAACTACGTTCTGTTCGACGCTGATGGGATATCGTCTCATCCGGAACTTTCGAACATGGACCTTACACGACCTCGCAGAAGAACACGTAGTGACGTAGCATGACGCAGTGGTTACATTCGGTTACATGAGCAGAGAGGAACTTGTGTTGCGAAAGGGGGGGGGGGGGTGGCACAGAATGCTGCACAATGTGACATCACGAGGCCTTGAGGGATGGCATTTCCTGGAAAAGCTGGAGCGTCCGCATCCACTGAGTTGCCTGGCGCACGAGCCCGCGTGTGACTTTGAGGGATGGTCTGCAAAGAGCTTGTCTTGAGCATCTCTGATGCTAGCACGCGCCGAGACGTGCGGGACCCAGCAAGGATCCGCGGAACAAAGCATGTACATTTTTGACGCAAGCGTGACTTCCAATGCGCGCCTTGCTGAGCGCGGCCAGAGTAGCGGAAACAGTTGCAAGGGAGACGTCATGATTTGCGGCTTGAGACAGCAGGGACAAAGCCGCAGTCCAGGCACTTCGTCGGCCATGGTCCTGCAGCAGTGCATCACCAATAGCATCCGCTGTGCAATGCTGAATGAGTGCTGAATGCTGGACTTCAATCTGCAGCAGGTTCACAGCAACTGACATGACGCCGCACGCAAGAAAAAGCACGCACCAGTCCTTGATCAAGGAAGCGAGGCCGCGCTGTATCTCAATATTTTGCCATTCCAAGAATGCCGATGCCTCAATGCATGGTTCCGTTGCAGGGCTTTTAGAAACAAGCGCGACACGCCAGCTGCCGACTGTGCACTGAGAATTTGGGACCCGAGCTTTCGTTGCGAAACACTTTGGAGCATGTCGCTGTAATCTGCGAACATGGCTAAAGTGGCTCCAGCGCATGCAGCAGCCGCTCGCGATGCTCCTCTAAAGCATTTACTTGCCAACAACTGTGTTGCTGCCTCCTGTATATCTTAAGCCTGTGACAACCCAACGAGCCGCGCACTGGCGAGTCATTTCAGCACCCTCAAACCGCCGTGACTCTACTGTAGAATGCTGGATGTCGCACATACCCTCAACATGGCCATCTACCTTAGAAGAGAAACGGCCTGAGCCATGAAGTGGTTGTTTCTGTTGCATGCAAAGATGGTGTTGGGATGTGCTCGGGCGATTCTCAGAATGGCAGAATCCTGACATTTCTCAGGGAGTTTGTACACATCACACGCACTTTCCAGCTCATCCTGTGACAAGTGGTGATCAAAAGAAGCCAGCCCTTCAGACATTGTGAGAGGCTGTCGCATTCGCACTCCTACCGGATCCTACCGGTGGTAGGGGTAGCCTTTCATGGAAACTACTCTCTTCTTGTCGAAGATGACGTACTCCTGTCCATATGGATCAGGTTGAAAGTTGATGGAATCGTAGCCTTGCCTGGATAACCAGCCCCCTCGGTTCGAGCGATCTTGACACTTAGCGAAGGGATGATGATTGCACCCTGGGCTGGTGGTGCAATGCCAGGGCATATGCTTCACCCGCCCAACGTCAACCTTGGCTTCGATCATGAAGCCGCCGTGAGAGTCGGGGCCCTTGATCTTCTGTGAGGTTGCCGCTGGACTCATGGCAAAGTAGATCCCAGCCCCGCACCAGCCAACATGACCAGGTCTGAATCCATGCTTCAGAATGCTTCTGCCGGCACTCTGACTTGTTTGGTGATACAGTGTGAGCACCCACCTCTCTTGCGTGCTGTTCTGCAACTCCTTTTCGGAGGCAGTCCGGTCAAGTTGCAGTGCGTGGAGTGCACACTCAGAATCCAGGGAGCCGTGGCACTGGTCGTCTTGCGATAGAGCTTCCAAGTCTGACGCGAGCGGGCCTTCTGAGTCCACGGCCAGTGCAGTATGGAAAGCCTGGAAGAGCAACAGCAGGACAAACATTGGAGAGAAAATGGACAAGTGAAGAACGATGAGGAACGATGAAGAACAATCTAGCCAAAGCTTGATAGCATTGGCTGCGACGACAAGCTTCACATCAAGCTTCGGAGACCTACTCTCCATGGTCACACGCTTTCGTGCTGCCGATTCTGGGATGGTGCCCTGCTGCCGCATGCTGCTTTCCGTGTGGTCAACGGTTCTTCTTTTTGAATGCCCGCTTTGCCGAGGGTTGCAAAGTCGAGCATCATAAGCCGTGTGCCTTCCAAAGCAACTCGAGACCCAACTGCAACTGAGCACCCTGCTTTGTTTGCAGAGTTGGCACCAGAAATCAGCAGCTTTGAAAGGGTCTCATACATAAACAGTCACAAAGGAAGGCGGTCGTTAGCACATGCATGTCTGCAGAACAAGTGTTCCTGCAGGCACAAGCGTTCGCAGCACTCAGGCCCCCGAGCATGAACTCCTGAACCAGCTTCAAGGAACCCTGAAGGGAGGACTTTCCGACCTGGAAGCTCTTTGACTCGTTGAGCCATGAGTGAAAAAGGTGCCTAGTAGGGTCCCAGGGTGCCTTTCAGGCATTCTTTGTTCGATTACAACTTGTCTTCCCTGTCCCTCTGACCCTCGAAACTAATGGACCACGGCTTTTATGTCAAGGTCAAAGCCTGAAAGGTCCCCCGTCATGCACGTTAGCTAAGAAAGCATAAAGCAGGCCTCTTGGAGGTCCGGCAAGTTGCTCTTATCAGGCTCCCTCAGTCAGCTGCGACCTCAGGCGTTGCGACCTCAGGCGCTGCGAAAGGTGCCGCACGTCTTGAGCCGAGGTTCACTTCAAGAGTTTGAGTTGGCCTGCAGCCGACGGAGTATAGGTGTTGAGAGGCACCCTAATCCACCCCAAGCCCTCTCCCCTTCTGAGCAATTTGACCTTTCTGGATTGCCTGCGTTTTACGCCTGTCGATCAAATCCATCCATCGAAGGATGTCAAAAAATCGCTTCGCATCAGCGTGGGGTCTCTTCGACTGTACGTCGCTCCTTTCGCCACCCCCGATACCTCCCGGTGTGGAGGTGTGCTGGGAGGTCAAGGATGCCCGGTCCGAACAGCTGGCCCTGGGGCCCCAGGCCGAGGGCGACACGAAGGTTTACAATGCATGTTCCAGGATCTCCAATACAATCGAGCACCACATCACAGCAAGTCAGCAAGTGCTCACTTGAGGCGAGAGTCTTCTGCCTCGTCTGCGATTTGTACCTGCTCTTGAAGGATGGATAAATGATGTCGCAGCGTGCAATGCGGCAATGCGTGAATAATGGAAGAACTTGCGAGGCGAGGGTCTGTTCTCTGCTTTGCCATCCGCCTCAACTCATGCAACTCCCATGGCATGTAAAACTCGGCCCTAAACCCAACGAGTTGCTGATGCGCAGGCGAAGCCGTGACAGTGAACCATAAAGCTCAGATCAGCGCGCGCGGCCCGCGGCCACAGAAGCCCTGGTCAGACTGCTGTAGTTCAGAACTCCAGACTTAAACTTTCGATCTTCGATGGGGTCAGCAAAACAAAAGGAAATGCTGACACGCTTCAAACTGATGATGTTTTGAGTCTGCGTGGACAGCCAATGCCTGAAACGACCAGCACCACTTTGGACAGATGTCGCAGCTTCTGAGATCGACGGGGCAAAGGCTCTCAGCCTGTCCACCTGTCGGCTCAGCTCAGACAAATTCCGGCCCGCATGTGGCCAGAGAGCGTAGCAGTTCTTTCAAGAGCAAACGGCATCCCTTAAATCGAAAAAAGGTCGGATGGAGTCGTTGATGCAAAATGTGCTGAGGGCAGCGCGAGACTCTTCCGCCTTAGGTGCAGTCCCGTACTGCAGGTCACACTCTAAGGAGACCACATTAGCATCGAACACAGAAGTGAGTTGGTCCCTGAGTTCAGGCTCCAGGATGTATGCGCTCCGACGCCCTGAGCTTCCTGCCCGGTCATCGGGGCTTCTTCCTCTGGCACGTCATCAACTTGAACTGCCATTTCAGCACCTTAGAACAAACGCTTTAAGTTTCCCCGTGAAGCGCATGCCGACACATGCGACGGAAGCCAGGCACCGGCAGACCTTTGTGAGTTTGGTTGGTGACCAGCTCTGATGAAGCAGTTCCCCAGTGAGTCTTGTTCCCCATTTGTTTGCCATCTAAGCCACACCCTGAACCCTAAACCCTAAACTCTACACAAACCCTACCAAACTCTCAGCTGGGCACCTTCGCCTTGACGCTCTCTGGGTGCAATCTTGATCTTGCCAGCCGTGAATGGATTGGACTGAACCCGCTGCACGACAGACATCATAGCCTTGCAGTGGACAAATTGCAGACATGCTGCAGAGATTGCAGAGGCTGTAGTGTCGTAATCCGTAGCTTCAACCATTACAACAAGTTTCGTCTGGCTGGGTGAAGAAGACGACCATTTTCTCTACCAGCTCCTTGGCTGCCAATGCGTCATGTGCTGCGTGTCAAGGTCCGCAAACATCACATGCTTAAGTAGCTTAAGATTATCACGCATAGGAAGGGCAGCCCTCTTGTCAGCATCCTTTGTTAACACGACCGGCGACACATACATGCATACACGCATATATATATATATATATATATATTATATGCACACTCACGGCACGTCAAAGCCTGCGTATTTTCATGGAAAGCACTTTGCCTGGGGTCTGCCATGTGTGTCACAGGTTCCTGCTTCCCCACCTCCTATCCCCCTGGATGAGTGCCGGACTCCCGCCCGTTTCGTTCATGCGACCCCCTGTTGGAGACCTGCTTATGAGAAAGCGATAGTTTTAATTCTTGAAAAACGTGATGACCCCTGTACAGCTACAAGGAACCTTTGCAGACTTTCAAGGGACCCTGGGAACCTTTGCAGACTTTCAAGGGACCCTGGACGAGGCAGTCGACGTTGCAAAGAATGCCATCCATATTCCGTTTTAGCTGCCGAAAAAACATTTAGTTCACAAGACTGTGAACTCTGCTTGTCAGTTGGTAGGCATGAATCAAGGAAAGGTATGACGTGGGTTAATGCGAATGGAAAAGACAAGAAAACGCGAAACAGATAAAGCAGTACGTCCGGAACAAATAGAGCCCACCCCGTAGGAACTGACATTTCCGGTGGTTTGTTCGGTCACACCTCGGAGGGGGAGCGCTGGTTCCCGAGCAAGATGCACTTCACTTTGTTGTTCGTCTGAAGCTGCTGTGTAGGAGTGTGGTTGTGAAGGGATCGCACCCTAGAAACGAGTAGGCAACTTCTACTTCTGGGCATGAAAATGCAACTGTTGCAAGTTTATGCTGCATTCTGGGTTCTCGGACATTCCCTGGCACAACACAAATGCAATTCAAATGGTATCAGAGAGCGCCTGTCCAGATGCATTGCAACCGGTGTGTACAGTGTATTTGTGGCCGGAAGCATGCTCCCGCAACGTGCGAGTTTGTTTGCAGCACTCATCTTGGCAATGCCAATGATAGAACAGTGCTACCCCAACAAGTGCGACCATTCATACAAGAGAAGATAACTTGAGCGGTGTTTATACCAGGTGCTTGCAGAAAAATGAAAGCTTCGAAAAAGCATGTGCGGGATCTGGGCTTGGCCCCTGAAGCTGCTCCAGAGCAATGAGGGCGTGAGCAGCCATGAGTTCTTCTTGTGAGCAAACTTTGTGAGCCAAGGCTGTGCATAGGCTCAAAGCGTGACTGTGAGCATCTGTGGCCAGTTAGCCGAAGAAATTTTCCGAAGTTTACGAGGCTCTACTTTCCTATCGTCGGCTGGACCTGGACATCCGAACGATCGGACATCCGACGTCATCTCAATTCAAAAAAATCGTTTCACGCAGAACACAAAAGCAACTGAAACAGCGGCATCTTACATCAGGGTCTCTTGTACTTACGTTGCAGACCTTCGTTAATGCCATTGTTGAGCTGAGGCTCAGCGACTTCGCTGACCAGCCTTTTGTCCAGCCCGAACCTGCCACATGAGCACGACTGACACCCCTGAAGATGTGATGACCAACGAGCAGGGGGGGCTGTGTCAACCGCTCGCTGGTTGCCGTTGCCAGTCCAGGCACATCGTGAACGCTGCTCAGGAGCTCCTGGGACAATCGATTCTGCAGCCGCTCGAGAAATGTCAGAGACTCTTGGTCGCAACACTGTCGCGAGTCGCGACTGTCCCAAATGCTATCCAGGCACGTACTTCTTCTGGAAGCCGAGATACAGCAGCGCCCCAAGTGTCTGCAAATTCCTGACCCCACATTCCGTGCACGGAAGCTGCGCGGGCACATGAATCCACATGTGCGTTGTCTGCAATACGCAACAGTGGCCTCTTGCTACGGTCTGCACCAGGACTGGCATCACCTTCGAGCGTGCGTATCCAGCTTGTGAACAGGCCGCCGAGCAGAGCTCCTGAGGCCACATGAAGTCGTCAGGATGATTGGGAATTCTTAAATGTGCTCCCTGCTGAGTGCGAATTGAGTGCGATGCGGCAATTGTGATTGGTACGTGTCTACCACAAATAATTAAGGAGCCACGGAGTGTGTTGTCATTTTGGGTCGAAGGATGGTCGAGCAGCAGGATCTAAGATCATTCGCTGCAGGGCGAGCTCAACTAGCTTGTGTTGCAAAGGCACGCGGGATGAGGAAACCAGCCACCAGCTGCTGATGCTGTCGTGAGCGAGGCTGCGAGTAGATGCCTCCCCTGAAGGTGACCGTGTGTGTCGGGCTTTCGCTAGACTCTAGAGATGTGGTGCTAGCCTTGACATGCAAGCTGCAAGCTGTCACATGCTTTGTGAGCCGGAGGATGTGCCTAATCTCGAAGCTTGTGTAGCGATATGCCAGAATAGCTTGCTTCGGAGCGTTTGTAAGGCCGGTTTGGCTTGATTAAGCCGAACATACCCAAAGCCTGGGGTCGTAGTCGAGCGCGGTCCGCTCGGACTCCGTGAAGTACGTCTTCGGCACCTGGGCATCTTGCCACAGCATTGCGCAGCTGCATACAGAAAGGGTCGTGACCAGAGACTGACCGCAAGCATCCTTCCAATCAGTAGAGGTCTTAGAATTTGCTCTTGTCTTTAGGACCTTCAGGACTCAAGACTTCCCATGCTCTACCAAGCTTCCGAACGGGAACCAAAGCTTGTGTTTTCAAAATCCCAGCTGACGTTAGTAGTAGCCAGGAACTCCGGAGAGAAACTCTGGTCGCATGTCGTAGCGGCAGTAGTCATGTAGTCACAGTCGCTCTGTCAGAGCGGACCTACCTATTCTCGATACAGAAGTTGAGGAAGTCGCATACAGCATGATGCCCTCTGGCTGGGCCAGTCGGCTGAGAAATCGCGTGAGCCTAAGCATCTTCAAACAGCCACGAGCTCACCACAAACATGCAGCCACAAGCTTGAACCCTGGTTTTCATAAACGCGCATCCTTCATGCTGTTGCGTCAAGGAGCGGCTGCGGAGGTGATTCAACGCCAGTCAAGAGGATGTCAAAGAGTACATACGCGCGAATTGCCAGGCCTCAGCAAAGTGCAACCTTTGTCATTATGCCTTGCTTGCACAGCTCATCATCAAACACCGACCTGACCTCAGGTTGCGAGGACGCCGCGACCTGGCTTCTCAAGGTTCAGTCAAGGTGCGTTGTCGAGAAGTTAGGTCGTCACCGCCTGTGCAACTCTGAAGGTCAACCTCTTGTCCGAAGAAGAAATCTGGGACTATTTGACTATGTGAGAAATTTTGCCAACGTGTGTGCACCAGGAACCACCATGATGCAGGACAAGGAGGCGCAATGGCTGCATGCGTGCGCCTATGTCGAAGATTTTCAATCCGCTTCCGCGCGAAGGAGCCAGCTCGAGGCCTTCAATGACCAGCTGAATCTTAAACCGCTCACGGACCGCTCACGGACCGCTCACGCACGTGGTCAAGTGGTTCCTTTATAAGCAGTGCGGCAGAAAGCGCTTTGCTTTCTCCGTCGCAGTGGAAAGGGGCCTCGATGGCTGTCCACCATGAGCGTTCGAGCGAACGTGCGCAAGGCTCGTGCAAGCCAGGATATGCAGTTTCCTGAGCACTTTCGAGAACCGTGGTGCTTTGCTGCTCTTGCCTTACCGCGCATTATCTAAATGCCTTTCCTTTTCTCCAGACTGAGAATCGCATCTGCATCTGACATGTGTCCTGACCATTGCAAGGAACATGATGGTGTTAACGGCTCCTGGGGTGGCATAGAGGTGCCTCCTCTTTTGCTTCATGTAAGCAAGCCCTCTCCTCGAAGTGCGTTTGCATCTTGCTCGCCCAATCTCTGATCGTCTTGAGGCCATTCCTGACATCGCAGGAAGGCATCACTTAAAGATGCACTGAGTCGTGCTCAATGCGCGGGCTCTGTTTGCCTTGACATCTGCAAACGTTATTGCAAGTCGCGTGTGGACATGATTCGCGAAAAGCACGACAAGGATGTATGGAAACAGCCTTGGTGCATCTCAGTGCTGTGCAGCCCAAATGGTCCCATTGTCATCCATGTAGCCACCCCGATGGATCTAGCAGCCCATAAAGACTCATAATATTCATAGTCTTAATAAGATTCCTGAATATGAGAATATTAAGAATGCCTTCCAGGAGGCTTGGATTTTCGGGATTGTATCATACTCGCTCGGCGCTTCGATGAGCTTGGGGTTCCGGCCTCAGATGGCAAGTGGCGACTGAAAGGGTTTGCACCCAAGGAAGGAGAGCAGTCTATGCGAGAGCAGTGCAGAACCGGGTTGTAGCAGTGGGTCCACCTCTTTTCCTCATCCATTACTGCATGTCTAGAAAGAATGAGTTGCAAGCGCGAAGTGCAGTGCGAGCGAAGGGGTGCGTGCAGCAAAACAGCATGGCACTATCGAGCCCGCAGGGAATGTGACGACCAATGCTTTCAAGGCCACAGGCTCTGCAGGTGTTACGGCGGATGAGCTTCCCCATACTCCCCCACACGTCATCCACAAGTGTGGAGGAAGCGAGAAAATCTGCTTGCACAATCAACCCAAGGAGCTGCGGAAGCCTTCTCATCAGCATCGTCGGCAATGGTTTCTGCCGCCCTTTGTCTGGCCTGTATTGCTGCCTCGGCATGCCCACCGATTTTGAAACAGGAACCCCAAAAAAAACACATGAGCTTTGAGGCGTTGAGTCTTTGAGGTAGAATGAGCTTCGACCGGCCTGCAACGGAGTAAGCTTCTTGGCCTGATCCGTTGCAGTCGTGTCCTCGGTGTGCCCACGAGTGCGGTTGCGGGGCTCGTTTGCTTCGATTTTCAGACTGAGCCTAGTTGAGGAGTGTGGTTGGCTCACGGTACTTAGGTCATGCAAAGACAGCTTGGGATCTCCCCCTCCTGTCTGTGGGATTGTAGGTGTAATCATGTAAAAAAAAGAGTAGGTAATGTAGCTCACTTAGCTAGCAGAAGTGGCCCTCTGGCTCAAGTAAAGAATTACAGCCCTATCCTCCCGCATCTCTCTTTCCCAATATAGACACTTCCGCTCCTCAGGGTTTGCAAATTCTGGACAAGGAGATGGGGAGGCAAACTTGGAAAGTTTTACGGGGATGCGGGGGATGGGGAGAAACTATCATATTTGCACACTCACACAGACAAGTATACACATGCATGCAATGCACACATTCATACATGCTACATGCGAATGTGGATGCATCCGTGCATGTCTCCGTGGTGAGGCTTCAAGAGGTTCTCGCGGGAATGTGCGCAAACTCTGAGCTTCCTCTCCGAGTGTCTGCGCTGCTTTTTGTGTCATGGCTGGCCCTGCTTCCACGTCGCATGCCAGCCGGCTCGTCGTGGGCATGCCTGAGCAACTTAATTTCGGGCGGCATCGGAGTGGCTAGCCACTTTTTTGGCTGAAATGGCATAGCTGACCAGGTCCAGGCTGCTCCCCTTCCTCCTGCAGGTCGGCCCCCACGTCGATAAGGACCTGATGGGTGGCGTGTGCAAGCATGGGCCAACTGACACGGCACGGAAGGCAGCTTCAGATCAACATGGTCGTCACCATTGGCATTCAAGTCATGTCTTGCTCACATTTGCCATTTGCTGACATGCTCTCTCCGTTCAGGGCAATTCCCAGCCTTTTTTTTGCGCGTCTGTGTGAACACTGGGGCAGCAGAACTTTTCACTTACAGACGGGATGTTCGGGAGCAGCAACGAGGGACTACGACTCGGGGGCCTGCGGGGGCCAGCTTGGCGGAGGCCGCCGGAGCTCATCCTGTGCCTGTCCCGCAAGTCTTGGGGGCAGGGTTTAGGGTTTAGGGTTTAGGGTTTCGGGTTTAGGGTTTCGACTCTCACACTCGCTCAAGGCCGGCAAGGCATCGGTTGGTAGGTCTGACTTCGAAACACTAGCATCAGCCACATTGGGCCGCGTTCACCAACACCACTCAGCGACCCTTTTCGGGTTTAGGGTTTAGGGTCTCTGGAAAGCGCTGGGCACGCCTCCCTGTACCAGTCGGGCAAGTCGAGAGTGACACCAAATTCTGGGATCTTGACCTTGACTGCGCACGCCAACAAGCATGAACTGCAGGCCTCGCTTCAGTTAAAGGGCCTTCTCATCTTCTAAATCTCCGAAGCCATCGGATGATGCCGTCGTTGGCCTGCGCACCAAGAGCAACTTAAGCTTCCACTGCAGTTTGACCTCTGGGCCAGCTGCAACTCCGGCACGATGCCTCGCCTCGGGATCATGACCAAGACCTGCCGCGTTCCATCTGCAAGAGGTGGAGGAAGTGGCGGTGGCTCTCTCCCGGCGCTGCGTGGTTCCACGACCTGAGAAGGAGGCTTCGCATAAGCAGTATGTGCGTATGTGCGTATGTGCGTATGTGCGTATGTGCGTGTGTGCGTGTGCCTGTGCCTGTGCCTGTGCCTGTGCCTGTGCCTGTGCCTGTGCCTGTGCCTGTGCCTGTGCCTGCGTGTGTGTGTGTGTGTGTGTGTGTGTGTGTGCGCGCGCGCGCGCGCGGGTGTGTGTGTGTGTGTTCATCCTACCACTCCTTATCACGTCACACCTCAGTATTTCTCTAAGGGTTTGTCAGGACATTGTAGGGGGCGCGTGCAAAGACGACATGTACGTCATGTACGTAGGAGGCTTGCGCTCATTTCCTGCCAAGGAAGAGCCTCCCGAAGCCCTTGCCGCAAGACCCTTCATACACACTCCTTGAGCTGCATCCGAGCAGCTGGCATCTTTGCCTCGAGTGGCTCCTCTCTAGGACTAGGAGCCAGCTCGGGTGAAGAGGCAGCATCCTTGCTGTTGCTGCTGCCTCGTCGGATAACTATCCTGGCGGGTGGAATGGAAACGATTCGCGATTGAATACGCTTGAAACCTCACATCGTTTACAATATTCCCGTGCCAGTGCACTCCGCCCACTATTGTGCCATGCAACTTGCCTTTTTGGTGCCTCTGTCATACCTCCGTCATGATGAGGAGATGACCTTGGCTGAGCGTACCTTGTATGACCTTTCTAGCTGATCCGACGGGCCGTGGGGGCTGTCCGCCCAACACACGTGTCACAGTCAATTCCGGAAAGGCACGCTGCGCCAAGTGCCTGCTGCCCCGGCATCTGCATGCCAAAGTTTGAGGTAGGCATCTGCATTGTCTGGGCAGGCGCCTGGCAATCCAGGTGGTTATGTGAATGGATCGCCTGTATTGCGAGACTTCCGAGCAGTTCAGCGCACCTGTTGCGCCATTGGCATTTGCATCTGAGGCATTTGTTGCATTGCAGGGTTTGGCATCATCATCATTTGTCCTTGGATGTCTCTCCCCTGCTTGCAACATTCAGACCACATTCTCAGTCTACTGTAGTGTCGCAGACGGGGGTAGCGAGAAAGACTTGCGACGCCAGACGTTTACGGTCTTGTGTTCTGTTTGCAAACGATCGCTAAGTTAGACAAGGCGCGAATGCAACTACATTAGTCAGCGGCCTGCCTTTCCTACTCGATCAGATTTCATTCATCATCCGTCACCTTTAAGAAATGCCAAACTCCAGCAGGGCATTCTTGCCATCTCCCCAGTTTCAGGGGTAAAAAAATCGAACCCGTTTGCAAAGGCCCTCCGCTGTAGTCATGGCCAAGCTTCCCTGAGGCATAGGCATCGACATTTGTGGCATTTGCGGCATCTGCATCTGAAGTGGCATCCTGTCACCGGCTGTGTGCAAACAATACTGCTGCAACATGCGAGAAGAAACGGCAAAGGGTGTCACCGACCCTGCCATAATGTGGCTAAGTTGCATACCAAAGGGTGACATTCCTCAGAAGCTGGGCTCAGAATGAAGAACACGGAAGTGGTTCTACCAGAATTTGCAAGTCGGACTAAGACCCAACCACGGAGTTTTCGACAAAGCCATGGAAAACCAGCTCCCAAACCCACGGAATGATAAAGCCTGGGCTGACTTGCAGCTGTGAGTCCGTTCATCCCCATGCCAAACATGTTGCCCATGCCCATGCCAGGGCCCATGCCATTCATACCAAAAGGCCCCATGCCACCCATTCCAGCTCCAAACCCTTTCCCTCCACCACCTCCTCCGCCTGATCATGCACCGGTCGCGCTCGCGGTCTTAACTTTCGAGGGCTAAACCCTAAACGCCCTAAACCCTAAACCCTAAACCCTGGCTTTTGGGATCTGCTCTGAGTGGGCCATAAAACTCTCACCATTCGGCTCGCGCCGTCTCCTTTTCAGCTCAGCGGGGTGTTTGGGGATCACCCCTGCCCACCAAGCCCGAATGCCCGCCCTCCGCCACACCCAGGAAAGGGTGCCACCTCCAGGCACCACACGCCAAAACTCCCTCTCTTTCTCTCGTTCTTTCTTGGGGCATGTGGGCGAACCGTCGGGCATCTAGGCTCTCACTCTACGCTTCTTCTGCTTTCTTTCACGGTGCTTAGTGCAGTTTCATTTGTGCCAACATTTTTTCACATTTTCTTTCACGGGGCTTATGGCAGGATCAGCCCTTATTCCCTCGCACTCCCGCTTCTCGAAAAATGCAAGTGATCCTGGGCAACTTTCCAGCAATGTACGTATGTGGTTTGAGCAGCCAAAGCCGGACCGAGCCTTTCTTTCCGCCTTTGCGCATCCATGGCGGCAGCGGCTGCCCAATGCCATCTTTACCTCCTGAGCAAATTGTGGCATCTAGTGAGTTCCGATGAGAGCCTAGGGGTCGTTTCTGAAAATTTGTGAAGAATGGCATGTGGTCAGTCGAATAAAATATCGTCTTCTGAATTGAAACCTCCAGTGCCGGCACGGCGCCACCTTTCTTGCCTCCTTTCCCCTTTCCACCTCCCATGGCTCCCTAAGGGAGCTAGGGCGGAGCTGGGGCTTTTGAGCCTCATCCTTCGAGGCTGTGCGCGGCCGATGACTTCGGGTGTGCTGGCATCTTCCCATATGGGGGTCTTACGACAATAGGGGAAGCCCCAATATAGATTCCCACATAGTAGGATCCCCTTATAAGGACCACAAAAAGGTACCCCTGATTTCGGAAGCACCATATATCGCCATGTGTCTTGACTTGACACGGCTTGAGCTTGACGAGGTCTTTAACGAGCCTCATTTAGTTAAATCGAGGATGGTCAAGCAGCCAAGCAGTCACCATGTCTCACCCCACATTTTCTGTTGTTAAAGTAATGCCCGCTGTCAGTCGGTCAGAGTGATCCCAAAGGGGAACTCTGCCACCTTCCTCCAAGTTGGTACGCCTTCCCACCGTCTCTCCGGCGGTGTCTCTGTCTCCTGAGACAAGCAATCGCATGATGTTTTTCTGCATGCCAGTCACTCAGTAAAAGAAGAGATCATCAGGACGAGTTGCGTACAGCGCTATGTGCGTGGCTTTGAAGCTCCATGGCGCCAGAATCCATGCCGCTTCTTGCCGGGCCCATCGCTCTGCTGCCTGTCGCTCCTGCGACCATTCTCGAGCAAAATTATTCTTCTTAGTATTCTTATTCTTATTATTCTTGTTCTTCTTATTCCTAACATTCTTCTTCTTCTTACCATTATTCAAATGGAGCGACTTAGCCAAGTTGTTCGAGGGATCGTGGGGGTGCACATGATAACAAAGGCAATGCGGCACACGCGCAGGCTACGCGCGCTGCGCGCACGCAGTGCAGAGTGCCAACTAGCGTAAGTGCCAGTCACTGCACAGGGCGGCGATGGCGATGGCTAGCTTGCGCTGCGCAGCTCCTCCAGGCTATGCGGGCCGTAAAGCAGAGATCCATGTGGCCTTCTGCTCGGAGCAGCGAAAGCAGGCTCCTGCACACGCTGCTGGGTGGGCGATGCAGAGATCAAACAATATGTAGAAGAAGGATCAGCAAAAAAAGCTCAACCGGGGGATCAAGAAAACGTCAAACAAAATTCCAAACTCTGCAGGGTCTTGGTTCGACAGAAAACCAAATTCTGCAAATTCTAGCTCGTTTGCCTATCCACAGGCTAAGTACAACATTTCTGCCTCTTCGCAGGCTCCAGATGTTGTTAGAGTACAGCATTTCTGAAGTTCCAAACGCAATTTTAAGATTGCAGTATTTCTGACTATTATGTGTGCGCTTCAAACGCGCCGGCATGTAGCGGGGATTTGACGTTTGAAGCTATGGTTTGGTTGGTTGGATTTTGTCATGGCTGAGGCCAAAATTCCCGGCGATTTAATCATGCGGCCTGTGGTCTGGTGTTGTCTCGGCATTGTCATAGCGGGGCGGTTGGGCAGCCCCCCCTCCCCACCACCCACTTGCAACAGTGTCAACAGCCCAAATTACTTTTCCGGCCTCTTCTTGGATTCGCCAATATGCTCTGCCTTGGAAAACGTGTTTCCTTCCCTCCATCCTCATATTGTGTTTACTTGGACCATTTTTGGAGTTCTGGTTTGGGCTGTACTGACACTACTGCAAATGCAAGCGTTTGCGGTATTTGCAGCCTACGAATAAGCAGAAATGTCGTTTTGCAGCCCGAATTCGGATAGGCAGAACCTTCCTTGCTTGCTTCCTTCTATCCTTCCGTCCTCTCTCCCTCCTCCGTCCCTCCCTCGCTTCCCTCTCTCCTTCATTCCCTTCCTTCCTGTAGTCTTGCTAGGAGGCCTTGATTTGTTGTGCACTTCTTGGATTTCTTATTGAGCACTCCTTTGAGTTGATCCTCATTTGATTGTTGTTTGTGCCTGGCTCTGTCTGGTTTACCACCATCCTGACACACCCGAACTACCTGCTAGGTATCCACAAACCGACGCTTGCCCACTGCTTGACCGTCACTCGCCTCCCTTCTCGAACCGAGAAGGTCTTCCGACAACATGATGAAAAAAAAACGGACCTGTCTCTTCGATGCTGTGTGTGCCTTTGCTTTCAACTTTCAGAACCTCCGCAGCTGCGTCGATCAAAAACCGACGGGCCGCCAAGTTCGCAGCATTCAACTCGGCACCGTCTTCCGCCAGCCTGTGCAGGAACATTCAGCAATTCTCGGTGACACTCCCGGACAAATTATGACATATTCTAGCCGCAGAAGCCAGCAGCGAACAGTGGTCAGTGGTGCCACATGCACGTTTGACATCGTGAGACAAACATGCCGGCAAAGTAAAGTAAGCGTTTGAGTCTTGTCTGCATTTGACTGGGAAGGGCACCCAGCAGTTGCAGCAATGTAAGGGCGTCATGTCCCCAACTTGGCAGGGAAGAAACCACGTATGCAAAGCCGAGCGGCAGCAGAATGTTTTGGTTCCACGTGTCATACACCGTTAGTGCGTTCTCGCCAAAGAAAATCTCGAAGGGTTGCAGCCCACCAGCCAGCTTCTCAATCGTGGACTTCAGCTCCTTGCTACCACTACTACCTTATCCCCTGGCCATTGAGGCTTAGCCTGGTTTGTGCTTTCGCTGTGATTAGAACAGATGCAAAAAGTCAAACGCCTTAGGGACTGAGGGTCGACGAGCTGAGAAGTTGAGAAACCCAACTTCGCCTTCCAGGATGTGGAAGCCCCGTGATGCTAGTGAGACTGCATCTACATTTCCATATGTCATTTTTTGCTTTGTACTTGAGTAACGGGTACCCTTCACGGAAAAAATTGGTGTCGGCATGCATGGGGCAATGTTCTTGACGACCGTCAAAGCTTTCTTCACATATCGAGTGGTGCAAGATGGTGCAGGCGCTCGCGCTTGTCCCACAGCTTCTATAGCAGTGCCATAGTCGGGGTGCGACCATGAGTTTTTGAAAAATCCGGATGCGATGGCTATCGGGATCCTGGCCTGGGATGCCTGGCGGCCTCATTCGCCAAGGTTCAAAGAGAAGAGGTGTCGTAAAGATTGTGCGAGCCAGCCAATGGGACAAGTTGTTGGTCCGCACCCCAGCACTTCAGGACGGTGATTTGGGGGAAGCCTAGCCGGTGCTGCATTGTTGGTCTGATATACAGGATGCCAACCAAATCCGACCATGGCTTGCCGTCATGGCCGGTCTCATGGTTGCAGCATTCTTGTAATGCCTTGGCAGCTGCTGCTTGTCCCAGGTTGTGCTGGAATATTGCTACAGTAGGGGCTTGTGATGCATGCTTGTTCATACGACCCGCGGTGTCAGACCGCGGCTCACAATCCGCATGCAACCAACCATTCAATGCATCCAGTATGTTCAGATTGGAGTCAAAGGCATGTGGAGCCCGAATCACGCAGTGGGCGAGAGCATGGCATCGAAGTGGATTTGTCGGGAGCGTGGCCCTCCCTGTATGGCCAACTTGAAAAAGGCTCAGGAGGTGTCGCTACCTGAGAGAACGAGATTCTTACATTGTCCTCGCCATGATAAAGCAGCCCAGAAAAGTTGACTGTTCAGGGGGGACCTGAAACCCCAGTGAACGCAAAGGCTTCAGGAAGTTGGCGAAGTCGACCCTGGGATCTCTTTTCCTAGTGAACGCACCAACAAGCAGAAAATTGATTCCGAAATTATGTGCAGGAAATCCCGAAGGAACGCTAAGCCGCAAGGCCTAAGGGTGCCTCAAACGTCATCCGAAGTGGTTGCTGGAGGACCTCTGCCCCAATTAATCGCAATGTTCAGTGGCCCAAGCAGAACCGACACGGCCGGTGGTCACAGAATTGATGCTGCAACAAGCTTCGTACTCAGGCATGGGATGTTGGGCTTGGTTTGAGCCATTTTCTTGCCTACTTCAACGATACCCCGTTTGACCAACGCCCCATCGATATCAATCATGCACCGCCAGATCCTCCATCAGCAAACCCATGCATTGCCTGCCCGAAACCAAAAAAGGTCGCTTCCATGTTGGGTAGAGGCTTGAGGGCTCAGAGGGGAAGGACAAGTGAGGCAAGTGAGGGTAGGTGGGGCGAGCAGCGTCAAGTTTACCCGCCCCCCAAACCCCATTCCTTCAGCTGTTGCACTCACCGTCACGCCCCCGTCCCCTTGGCTTTCGCGCTCACACAACCCTGCCTGTGGCTTCTACATCTTTACATTCCATCACGCCACCGTCGCAGGACCCATGCAACACGCGTGACAAGCCGCCTTCACAAATAAGATGTTTGCCTTCGTGCTTGCAGTTGCCTAAGCGACATCTACGAATCCCCAGAGACTTCTTGATCTGGGAATGCCCATGCTGCTGAAGGCTCCGGGAGGTTGTCGGACTTGATGCCCCCCAGCAAGGTCACGTGAAAGTCGAATCGCGAAGAACTAAACTCCTGTGCCATCCGGTCCACCACGCCATCCAACTTCTGTTGCAGCTCTCCAGAGTCAGGCAGCAGCCAGAGTGAGTAAGAAACAGCTGCCATCGAAGCGCATGCAGCTAAGCTCACTCTGAGGGCCAAATGCTTTGGGCCTGCGTAGTGAATGGGTCGTTGCGCAATTGAGCAAGGAGTCGTTCAGTATCAGCTGCTTTGTCCGACAACTGGAATCTAAAACATGATTTGCAAAGCGTTACAACGCTTGCTGACTCTTTTCGCCCGCGCGCAGCGTCTAATCACGTCTTTGGCTGAAGCAGCGGGGTTTCCAGGGGAGGCGCCTTCCAAGGCTCCAAATACAATCCTAAGCTATCATGTATATGTATTGTGTCACGTCGAGGCATTCGCAGCGTATCTCTGTGGCAATAGAGTGCCAGCAATCCCACAGTCAGAGCGGTGAACAGGTGCCTTCCTCCCAGGTGTCGGTGTAACTTCCGAGTCTTGTGAAGACAGGGAGACCGTCGACCTCAATGACAATTTATCCCTAGTTTGCAACATGGTCCGTCCATGGGCGCTGCTGCCTTGGAAAGCATGCAGGGACACGCACGCTTGAAGTGCGTGCAGACATCATACCAGGGGGTTTCTAGAAAGTGCTGCAAGTAAGGCTTGCAGAGGCTTCAAGGATGCAGTGCGGCTCCCGCCTACTCCGCTCCTCCGGCAGCCTTCTTCTTCGACAAAGGCCTAGGCACAAGCTCTCACACGCAAGGACCACCAAGGCTGCTTCAGCCAGGTTTGCCACTTTGCTCGCCCTGTGAAAAGAATTCGGTGTCATGGACGACCTGTACCTAGATGATTGCCCTGTTCCCTGGCAGCTTCGATGTTTCCTGCTGAGCTGGAAGCCTCATGTCAGGTGAATTGGGGGCAAACCATCGACCTGTGACTCTCTGTGGACCTGGCAGCATGAAGCCAAACAGCAGGTAGCCATCACCAGAAGGAGCAGGCTATCCAAGGCTAGGTCCTCAGTGCCGGATCTTCATGAGGCAAGTGGCGGGGGATGCAGGCGTCATGTTGTGCATTTTGTTTGTGATATGGCGTTCTGACGGGTCTTGAAGTGTACCATAGCTTTGTGAACAGCCTTCTCAGACATGATTTCAACAAAATATGTATGGCAAAAGTTCTGCATGCGTTGTCAGTCGCTCCATTTCTTAATCCACTGGGCACTGAAAGTGCTCGACTCGCAGCTTCCAGTTGGGACCTTGCAACTTCGAAGGTTCCTGGGGACTTTGTCAAGATGTCGCGCAGTGGCGGTGGCATAGGCGCGTGCTTCTGGAACGTGGGCATAATCCGGCTTGCCCAAGTAGCGATGCAAGTTGAAGGGTATGCCGAGCTGCCCCATTCCACAATTTAGCAGCACGGTTTTGTCCCTTCATTCAATTCTTGTGACCCTATATGACAGTTGTACTGAGAGTGAACACTAAAATTACGAGTAGCTTGCGAAAGAAATGGTCACAAAGTGCCAGCAAAAAGTCTGCATTAAAAAAGGAGGGACAAAGACTGGGCTTCAACCAGCTGGTGGTGGTTTGTATCTTTGTTTCGTCGGCACAGAATGAACTGCATCGAGGTGGAAGTGACATGAAGTGACTGAGTGAAGCCGGAGAAGTGCATGGGTTTACAGGCATGGAATTTCTGCCTCAGCAATGGCTCAATGTGTATTTAGTTGGGCTTGCTCTGACATACAACCTACTTCTGCTGCCAAAGAGGTCTTCCACGGAGCGCCGGCACCTTGTCCCTCCGACAAGGAAGTAACGGCTTTCTTGCATGGGTCTTTTGCCGGTACTCGGTGGATTTCAAGTCTGTTCTCATGGAGTGTTGCAACTTACACCAGTCGTTGAAGAGCTGTCTCGTTTCTGAACGGTTTTGAAAGGGCTCGCATCGAGCACTTGCATGCGGAAGGAATCCTACTCAACAGCTTGTTTTGTGGAGGTACACACCGACCGTAGCCCGTTGCCGGCTTAGACTATTAGGCCTGTCGATGCGCCATGCTTGCCGACTTCGCCTAATGGCGAATGACTTTCGCAGCGCCCGCCAGTATGCAGCTTTTTGATCCCATCACACCGGACAGACCGCTGTACAACAGGTACAAGCTCGACGTTGGAGCTGGATCTGAAGCAGCTTGGGGCTGCCAATCGTAGGTCCGTGAAGCACAGATCCCTAGCCCTACAGGCAATGCAAGCATTCAGCGCCCCGGCTTCGGACAGATTTTGCTGCCTGTAGCGGCGCAAAACGAACAACAGGATTGCGAATGTGCTGGACGACATCAGCGAACAGGACATTCGATTCGGATATCTGATAAGAGTCCGCTCTTGACTCAGAATTGCCGCGCTGGCTTTCTAAGACAGGCATTCCTGCTCCAAGGAGGCTGGCAGCTCACTGCCACGGAAAATGGAAATCAGTGCAGCATACCAGAACGTGGTGAAGTACCTTGGAGGCCGGTACTGCTTACAAGTTGAAAACGCATCCTGAAGCGAATGCCACAGCCTTGGTTTTCAAGTTTTCAACCCAGGTGCCCGAGCGGCATGCGCAGCCACATTGGAACTGTAAAGCACAGGACGTCCATTGGGAACCAAAACAAAGCCCCACCTGCAGCTGTATGCTAGGATATCGCAGGATCTCTTGCGTTTGTCGAAGCGTCAACTCGTGCTTCGAGCATGTATGTATGTACATGTTCATACAATTATGTATATAAGTGGTGACGTGAGAGTGAGTTCTGCTTGACTTCACCAATACTGCAGCAATAGCCTTATTCAACGCATTCCGCCGCGACAGCAGAAGGCCTGCTGCGTCTTCCAGAAAGTTGGAGCGCCACCTTCGGGTGTCAACAAGGTGTCGAAAGAGTACATCAGCATGAATCTTATAAGGCAGCAAGGCCACCATGTGCGATTCAAGGGTCACAGAAACACAGTGGAATTGCAAGTGCCTGGACAGGCTGGATGCCGCATCAGCACCGTGCGCAGCTCCTGTCGATGGAGTTGGGGTGGCCAATTTTCAGACTCCCCCCGCAGAGCAAGGGACACATGAAATGCACACAGCTTGTTCCTTGTGCAACGTAGAAAACGGGGAAATGGACGAGCGGCACCTCAATGCGTGGCAACTTCGCGCATCATCGACATCGAGTTAGCTACAGTAGGGGGTTGCAATAGCATTTGCACGTCCTCATGTCACATGTGAAACGTTGTCAAGCTGATGAAAGCTTCAGCACACACATGCTGGTATTAAGCCAGGTCGCATACACACCTAGATCAAACGCAATCTGAAGAAATAGCTGCCGTATCCCTGGCCAGTCCTGTTGCACAGACATGGGTGTCCGCAGCGGCAAGACCCTGTGTACAAGATCAGCTGCAGAAGTGCCTTCACTTTCTCTCTCAGGGGTAAGCTGACCAAGCGTGTCGCCTTGGCGATCAAGACAAGGCAAGTGGCGAATTTGAGGCAAGGTACGAGCAACACATATGCATGTAGCAGACTGTGTGAAGCCTCGAGTCTTTCGATCTTGTGGGGTTGGCATGTCTTTCATTTTTTTTGGGAGGGGAAGAGGGTTTCTTTAACTTTCAATCCTAGTTTTGCTAGATGCCACAGTGGTTTACGTATGGTTCTTCTGCTTCTCCCGTCATCATCATCATCATCATCATCATCATCATCATCATCATCATCATCGCAGTCGTCGCTGTCGTCGACATTGGCATTGTGGGATTTTAGCAGTTTCAATATGTTGCAATCGTTTGTCGACGAGGCTGCTCAACACGGTCGTAGCCCTCTATGGATCGGATTTGTAGGTAACACGGACGTAATCATGGTTTCTGGCCTCGATGTTCTAAACAGCGAATTGATGGCGTCCAGTTTCGCAGATGCTACTGAAGGCCAAGCTTTTGCAAAGGGCGAATCTGGAAACTTCCGAACTTCAGCACAATAACGAAAGGCCACAAGACACAAATTGCGCAGAGGCCGAGCTTTTCAAGGCTGGGCCGTGAAATCTGCTACACATACTCGAAGGGTGTATCATGAAAGTTCCGGACAAAACCCAGACACGCAAAAAAACGCTGTTGGTTTCAAGAGCACCACGCAGGCTAAAGCCGCAAAAGGCGCAACCGTGAAATGTCCTGAAAATACAGAGATGATGAAACCGACTGCACGCTTTCGGTGCGTCAAGGATGGAATCTGCCAAAATTCCCTGGTGATTATGCTCTGGCCTTTGCCACCGTCGTCTTCGTTTGTGGTGATTAGACAACTGCCCCCCCCCCCCCCCCCCCACCACGAACTGGCCGTGTCGGCCCCTCACCCCCCCGAGGCGTCTTGTGCAAAGCCATGTTGGGTGTCATCGACTTGCTTGGGTTACTAGCCGCGGCAGCGAGCATTTCTGGAATGATGTCGTCGGCCTCGTCTGTGTCGGCCGTCTGCCCGAAGCTTGAGAAAGCCCATGGCTGGCTGCAGCCATGTGGCGAGTGGAAAACACCGCGTGAACAGGGTCACGTACACGAGCCACGAGGTCACACCCTGCACGATGCCGAGGACAAAGAAGCCTCGCAGGGAGCACGGATCTTAACGACAACAGCGAGCTGCCATCAGGTGAACTTGCGACAGGAACCTTGTAAACGAGGGATGTCTACCGACGCAGCTTGCTGCTTCTGCACGAAAAGGTCTGATGCCGGGACCAACGTTGCCGACACCCTTAGCCATCAGGAAACTGCCTTTTGTTGATGGCAAGGTACATGTCAAAGCGTCTTGCAATGCGAGGGTCGGGGTCGGCCTTGCCTTGCCTCCGCTCTTCGCTTGTTGCCCTTCTGAATTTGACCCTTACGTTCCCTACGCAGATGGGCGGCCTGTTTTGTTTCGCAACTGCTGCGAAGTGTGAACAGCCAAACAGGGCACCCGAAATCACTCAACAGTGCGTCAGTGCAAATGACACAACCGCTGAGGCAACGGAGCAGTGTTCATGACTTAGTGATCACAGCATGGGCTCATCTCTGCGAAAAATGCGAGAACTGGCCAGCTGTAGCTGCTCAGACTTCGGCATTCTGGTGCTATTGCACACGTTGCCGCACTCTGTTTCTGCAAGCTTCGGCCAGCAACAAATGCGTAAGACCTAGGATTGCGCCTAACTTGGCATAGCCGTCTGTCGCCAGTGCTTCAATCTATGAAAAGCAACCAGCTGAATTTCACGTCGCCCAGTCAAAGTTCCTTCTCAGACCTTTAATTCCCCATGCGCGGCTCTTGCGAGACCTCTCTGCTGGCATTCTGTCAGCACAAAAATGCTTCTCGTGGCAAGCCGGTGATACCCATGCACATCGGTTCTGTGCCTGGCGGTGCGCTGGCTGCACGGCTAAGTCGTCCTCAGCACCCATTGCAGTGGCACACTCATCAACATCAGGGAACTTCTTTCGGAATCCTTGTTGTGTCAACACCTATTGGAGCCTACGAGGGTGGCCAGCCTAGCCCTTCGAAAAGATTGAGGACAAGCAGCCGCAAGAACCTTGTAGAGCCGAGAGTCCTTTGTCGAGATTCTCGGATGCCGTGAGTGGCATCACGAGGAAGTTGTCGGAGGCAAACCGCCGATGCAATCCCATCTTCGAAGTTGAGGCTCTCCCGATTGCATAGCGACCCCCGAAGCACAAGGCGCTCTTCTGGATGTCGCCCAGCAGTAGGAGGTCAGCAGAAGACATGGAAGAGCTGCTTCTCTCGAGCAGGCCGGAGGTGATAACTGCCGAACGTTGGTTTGAGCTCGGGCTTAGGTTGCTTGGCATTCTAGGCCCTATAGTGCCTATAGGCTTTGCCGGCACATCTGAGGCGACAACGTCGTTGCCAGCTTCCACGTCCGGGATTTCCGGTGTTGCTGGTTCTGATGCCGGCACCTCTTCCCGAAAACTGATCGTCGCAACACTTGTGCATATCATGCCCGTCATGACCAGAAGGAAGCCACTGCTGAAGGAGACCTTCTGATCCAGCCCAAAGTTACGGAACTCATCAAAGAAGGTGCCACACACCAGAACTTGCATCAAAGCACCGCTTCCGAGGAACAGTGGCAAGCTCGTCAGAGCCTTCCTGTAATATGCGGCTGCGACCTGACAGAGGAACACGCCAATGTGCAGAGCAAGGGTCAAGGTGATGAAAGTGGACACAATCGTTTCAGCAGGTGTGTCGTCGTGCTTGCCGACCACTACAAGCCGCAGTAGTTGCAAGGTGAACTTTGTGACCAGGAGGTCAATGGCACCCACTAGTGCAAAAAGATACGCGAAGCTGACTAGTTCCAATGCCTGCTTCTTCGCTGCACGACAGAGCAACAGCAAAGATAGGATGGCCGAGACAGAAGCGCAAGTAAGGAAGGTAGGTCGCTGTACCAGTTGGCAGAGTTGAACGTAGGAATACTTCTGGTCTGCATGGCTTGAGGAAGATGTCACCATCCCACTGCCCACAACCAGGAACATCACACTTACCCAGTGCAATCTTGTCAGTTTCTCGTTGAGGACAAGTGGTGCCAACAATGCATTACTAAGCAGGGAGCCACTGAAATTCACAGAAGCTGTCAGAGAAGCTGGGGCGAGAAGTATTGCGACTTGCCCCAGCCCCTGCCCTGCCAACCAAAATATCCACCCACAGGCTTGAAGAAGCCGAGCTCTTCCTGTCACTTCTTGTGTCAATGAGCTTATCCTAAGCTGTGTCCCCAACGTCCCAGTGAAGGACCCCAGGAAGGAGGCTGCCACCCCACTCTGCCAACCCATCGGCTGTCTGGCCCATACGCACTGTCCAGGCTCGGCACACTGGCTTTGTATCGATGTTTGATGGTAAGATTCTTGAAGCGGTATTATTTGATCGGACCTTTGCACTGCGCTCTCGCTTGAACTCAATTGAATTTGGGTCAACTGGATACTTGAAAGCTTGAGCCATCCAACACGTCAAAGCAAAGCATGCCTGGCGCCCAAGGCACAATGACATGGTTCCCCGGTGGACCTGTGATGCATGTCTTCAACCTCTCATCTGGTCACTTTGCAGCAAAAGAGCATCATGTTTGTTGCAAACATGTGCTTCTTCGGGAAGCTGAGGATGCGTGTCCATGCTCCAGTACCTGCAAAGCACCAGGCCACAACAAAGTTTACCACGTCAGGCCAAGGCCTCGCTTCAGCATGATTGTAAGAAGCTCATGGGCTATTGCTATGATTCAGAATCTAGAGGTGCGACTTTTCAGTGACGTTTGTTTCTGGTGCCTATCCAGCAAAACCAGGCGCCGCCTGATTGTGTCAGAAAACCCACCTCTGCCCTTGGCTGCCCTTGGTTGCATGGCCTCCCGGCAGTACCGTGGACGTTCTCAGGCACTCGGCCGCTATATGCGCGCACCTCGAGTACAGGCCACACCGGAATTTAGCCGCTGTCAGTGCTACAGGATTTGACTAGCTGGTTTGTTTCAGTTCTCGAAACACGGACTGGGCGGGAGACGTCTTAAAATTGAGCAACAGCTATCCCCAAAATTGTGGAACAAAGAACCCACAACAAACAAACGAGACAAAAACACCTAGATCTGCGCTTGTCTGCGCTTCGTGCTATGCACCTGCGTGCCGTGGTCTTAAACTGGCAAGATTTAAACTGCGGTGCGCCAACTTGAAGAAAGCATGGCTTACAGCCAAGGGCTGGGTGGGGGGGAGGGCATGTGGAAACACTCCGCTCATGTGTGGATTGATCGTACTGTTGCACCCTCTTTAGTGTTGGCCCCCCCCCCCCCCCGGAACAGTCGAAGCTGGTTCGCCCTGTTTACATGGCCCACGGGTTTATATGATTTCAGTAGGGAGTTTATAAATAAATATGTATATATATATATATGTTTGAAAAGGGGCCCCCGATGATTTGACTTAATTCAGGATCCCACCGCGCACCCCCAAACAGTCAGGGTGTCATGAATTGCCCAGCCAATTTTGACTTTATTCAGGAGGCTTTCACAAAACAGGGTGCAACATTCTGGCTGGTGTTCTTTGAAAAAAACGGAAAGAGTGGCTTCTAAGCGAAATGCGGGGCGGGGGCGGGGCAGCCCTCGTCCGCTTCGGGGTGTGTGTGGCCCGCCCCATGAGCAAGCAGAATGCTGACCTGCGCGTGTGAGGAGGCCAGCAGCCCCATTTGCTGGCCCTTCTTGCAAGCTACAAGAAGCCATGGGGAGTGCGCACGATTTATTTGGGGTGTCAGTCAGAGCGTCACCTCACCGTCACTATCATAGCTAACCTGAGCCAAAAGTAACACTCTGCTGCAACTCTGGGGGGGCGGCTGGCGCCCTTGCCCCATGGACCGCTGCAGCCATTGCAGTGCCCGATGCTGCCACATTGAGTATGTGTGGGATGTTCCCCCTTATACTCGCAGTCCTTAATCGGGATTGTAGTAACCCCCCTGTTACAATCCTATGTAGTACCAGAGTCAGAGGACGTTCTCGATGTCTGACTACGAGCTGCATCGTGGGGGTAGTAAAGCAGCTGGTTCGAAATTGCTCTTGCTGCTCTTGCCCTCCATCGCTTTTTACTTTGACACACCCTTCTCGGCTGGAGCACACATGCGAAAGATGCATCAGGAACTCAAGAAGTCCGTGGGGCCCAAACAGTGAGTCAAACTGTCGGAATTAACAATCTCCTGCGGTGCCTTTCGGTGGGAGAAGTCGGAGAAGAAAGGCTTTTGGGCTCAGGCCCCACAATCTCGGACTCGGGCCTTGCTGTCACTCGTCTCTTTCTGCAGTTCCTGGGCATTCCAAGTGCCCCACGCAGCACGCAGATCAGAAACACTCAAAGGCCACCTGCTTTTGCCATGTATCACCATCTACTTCATCTACTTATACTAGTCTTATACTTCTCCAGTGGCTCTTGCAGGACTAGCTTTGGTCGAGCCTGCAGTGCCGGGCGGAGCTCGGAGAGAGCTTGGCTGGTTTTCTGCCGAAGCCAACACCAAACTTGCCGCGGCCAGCGTTGCCACGATGGCGTGGCCTCTTTCCTGCGAAAACATGTGGAAACGTTGTGCTTGTAAGCCGCTAGCAAGCCAATGCTTGGACCTCATGCTATTAAGACCTGGGTCTGTCATGACTAGAATTCCCTATCCCAGGAACATGCTGAAGCAGACGACCGAAAGCCAAATTCTGATTGATGGGAGTTGGGATTGCTTCCGATTGGAGTAGCGCTCCCAGGTAAGGCTGATGTTGTAATGCACAACTTGACTCCACCTCCCACGTTGAGCACTGACTTGGTTCTGCGTGCAGGAAGGCGCGGGTGCTGTTCGCGACTGTCGACTGCCAAAAAGGCGACTTGTCAATATGCAAAACCCTTTGCCGCTGAGTCCACAGGAGCCCTCTCTTTGTGCAGCCGGTTCTGCTCAGTTGCTACAGGTGGCGGTATATGCGCATATACAGTCACCACGATGTGGGCACGTGGTCGGGCTTCCTACAGATGCGTAGTCGCCATGTCGGAACGGTTCACAGCTGTAGGGAAAAATGAACTGAAGCAACCACAAGCTCGGACATCCAACAGAAGGCGCCTGGGGGCCTGGAAGTCATAGGCTGTGTAAAGAACGGGGCATGCCCTTGCAGGGCAGTTGCTCTGCTTTTGTTTTCAGCCCAGCGCATTGCCACAGTAAGTGTGGGCAGCAATGGCATGTTCTGAGAAGCCAGCTCTGCAGTTGGCGTGTATCTTGCCACCAGCTCCTCCCACCTCACGCTCAATTTGGCTTTTCCATACCCTGCAAATAGAAGCAAACGGCTAAAGAATGGCCGCGTGCACAACAGGTTCTTGCCGAGCATCTTTTCAAGAGGACAGAGCCTGCCCGTTCCATGGCAAACCTCGGACGGCAAAACTTGTTCACTTTCCAAGGCAAACTGGTTTCGCTTCGGGCGTCAGAGGTGCCCTTAGAGACCGGGCCCCCCCGCCCAATGGAATTGCCCCACCTTTCCTCCACACCCCTCCCGACCCCTGAATGGCCTTGGAGACTTTTGAACGGAAGATTTTCTGAAATTGAAGGCGGTGCTCAGGCCTGTCCGCTTGCCAAGCCTTGATGGCCTGATATTCCAGTCCGGGGGCCCTGGGAGCCCCATTGTCCTTAGAGACTGGGGCCTGAGGAGTTTAATTAGGGATCAAGAACCCAGAGAGCCTTGAAACCCTGAGCTTTTTTTCTTCATCGTGCTGTGCGATTCCCAGTGTCTGGTACAGCGAGTCCTTGACATGTCCACGCGTTTTCGTGCATGCCATTGCTGGTGTCTGTCATGCACACGTTCAAAGCGAATCCCAAGCGATGCTCGGTTGCTGGGTGCGAAACCTTTTGAACTTCGCCGTTGTAAAGGACCTTAGAATGGCCAACCCTCTCCGTCCCGAGCTGCAGGATGTCATGGTCTCATAAAGACCAACTTTGCGACCGAACACGAATGAAAAGCTTGTGGGTCTTCTTGTGCTGATACCTTGCGTCAGATGGGATGCGTTGGGAAGGGCTCATGCGGGTTTGCAAAGTTGTGCCGGGCTGGCAGTTCATGGATCAGCGCAGAGAGGTAGGGAGGCCGCCTGAAAGAACTGTCCCATGCTTGTGCAGTAGTGTAGGGTTTAGGGCGGGTTTAGGATTTTTAGCTGTCCGGGAGTCTGAAAGTCGCCGGTCAGATGCAAAGACAGCCCGAGGCATCATTGGAAGAAGAAACGAACACCCTGAGTCGGATCTACTATACTTGAGAGTGAGAGTGAGAGACAGTGAGAGTACAACGAGATCAAGAAATCGAGGGTATCGGCCCTCCTCCTCCTCCTCCTCCTCTTCCTTCCCCTACAAACATGAGGGGCGGCCCCTGATTTCCTTTTTCATGGTGTGGGGGGACAAACAATCGGGCACTCGCTCGTCGATTTAAGGTGTCCCTGTACCGACAGTAAACTGGTCGTTCCTGGTACTTCGCTCGGGTGTGCTCTCGCTTTGCCGTGCAGTGCTGCCCGTCCTTGATGCGGCTTTGGTGAAGTTGTACATCGCCAGCAGAGGCACGATGTTCGTGTCACTCATCACAGTGATGGTTCTTAGCATTTTTCGGCAATGCTTCAAGCCATCTGCATAGTTTGCAGTGCCAAATTCCATGTTGTTGAGACCGCCGCAGACGCGGAGATTCGCGGACACGAGCAGCTCCAGCCTGCCCAGTGTATGAACCAAGACGCAGCACTAAGAAGTCAAGCGCCGCACACCTGTTCTTCAATCACCTTCGACATACATAGGTTTACACGGGCTTTCTTGCAAGTCTGTTGCTACAGTGCAGTATGGCATCCAATGCCTTCAAAGGAATTTTTCGCATCTGCACACATGGCCCGAGCACATCTTTGGTGCTGTTGGCTAACGGTTCTCAGAGGCCAGGATCATTGTCCTGGCTCGCAGTGGCCTCGGCAAGAATCATGTTTCCATCTGGTGACGAGCCGGATCTCTTACATTCTCTGTCGCTGCATTCACTGCACTGAGTAGAACTCAAACTGACTTGAGAGCATGGGCCACGAAAGCTAGCTTCCACTCGAGCTGTAGATAGTGCGCTTTTGCATGCAGGCTTCGGTAAACATTGCGCTCCTTCCCATCATTGCGCAGGCGTACTTCCTGGACCCGGAGGTAAGCGTGCACGGGTGCAACAAATGCTGCGAGGGCATCTTTGGCCTGAATTTGCCTCACATGGATTGGAACGGACGCCACACCATCAAGTAAAAGGGAGGGACAAAAATGGACAAAACTTAAGTGAGGCTAAGGTGCCCCCCCCGGCCCCCACCCCCAGGCACCCCTGGCACATCTCAAATCCCCGAAGAGATGTTCAGCCAAAGAACACGTAGCTCCGCAGATTCAACTGGTCGCGATGACCCACACCTGTCTTGCTCCAGCCGTCCAAGTCGTTGTTCGACCTAAGCGGGAGAAGCAGAACCTTTTCCGGTCGCTCCGTCCAGCCCGTGCTGTCAACTAGACACATTCTTAATCATACGGATGCCTCCTCTCCAGCTGATAGCAGCTATTTGCTATGGAAGCCGCTTCAGAGCTGAGATGTGACACTGCTCCAATTCCGCCACCAAGGCCTTCAGAACTGCCAATGCCACGGCAACTTAATTTTTGAACTGCTCGACTCTGATACTCCTCAATGGCCACGATGTGGACTTGCTGGGTTCCTCTCTTCACTGCTTTTTCTCTTGCTATGTGGCCTCCGCCAGGCTTTTGGCAGCAGGTTCGCCAACTGCCCGCCGCAACGGTTCCTGCGATGCCAGATGCATGGAGGATGGTTGTAATGACTGTGCTGTGTTGCTCGCGCTGCGCGTGCAACAAGGATTCGATTCACATTTATGTTTTAGTCATGCGCGGTTTTCCCAAGCAAAACCCTGCTTGACAAGAAGACCTGCTCTGGGGTCAAATGCATCTCCGACTACTGCCTGCTTCACCAAACTTAGTGTCGCAACCTCCGTGAAGCCAAAAACAACCGCTGAAGGGTGCGCCGCGATCTAACCAGTCCTGAAGCATCTCATCCTGTGGTGGAAGCAGCATGGCACAAGCATCAAGATCCCGAAGACGCCTCTTGCGCGGGAGTAAGCAGACCGCACACAAAACATAAAGTTGCAGCGGTCTTGCGATGACCAGTGCCTCAAGGCTCGCTCGGCCCGGTTTCTGTGCAGGCCCAGGACCTTTCAGACTGTAAGCATGTGGTAGGCTGCGCTCGCTGTGCCCTGAGAAGCTCCCTGGTGCTTGTCTGTCGGTGTGTCACCCTCATGTTGTCTCATGTTGTCTCCTGCCTGGCCGCACGCACAGCGCCAAAGATCTGCATATGCAGCAAGCACCTGCTGTGCAATACCCTCAGAGAGCGAGATCTGCCGAAGCAAGGGGTTCCTTCCGCACACCATTGATAGGGGCTATACACCTACACGTCAGCGTGTGTGGATGCCTGATCTGTTGTCATTCGGCGACAGCAAGATTCAAGAATGAGTTTTCTGCCTACTTTGAGAAAGACGTGGTGCGTCTCTGAAGTACTTTGAAATATTAGTTTTCTGCATGCCTGAGGTACTTTGAGAAGGACTTGGTGCCTCTGTGGCACTTTGAGCATGAGTTTTCTGCATCTCTAAGCACTTGACTTGGTGCGTCTCTACTCTCGCACTAGCACAAGCAGGCAAGAGTTTGACCTACCGGAGCCTCTGAGATGCTTTGAGTCTACAAGTTTTCGGGCGCAACTCAGGCCATCGAATCACAACTGACGTCAAGTGCAGATAATCCTGATGAGTACATTGGTCTCACATGTCATCAGCAAGTGTGCGAAGACGTGCCGATCCCTGGTTGCTGAATGCTTGTTCACATCTGCGATGGCTGCCAAGGTTGTAAGAAAATTCTGGCTTTGTTGGTGACTGTACTGGTACTTCACCAGCTGGGTCCTAGTTTGGCAGTGGAAGGAATGCACCGGAATGCAATCTCAGACTCATTTTATCAAGCGATGCACCTCCCTTGCCAAAGGCAAGGGGATGGCAGTGGCCGCATCCTGGCGCCACGCCTTCCTTTCCACCTCCAGCTCTTCCTGGAGGTGCGTCCGCTGTAATTGCAGAGCATCATCTACCTGGATACAAGGCGGTGGCAGCTCACGTCCTGGAATGTGTGGCTATTTTGTCAACCAGATCTACACAACTCCCCCCCAAATCTCCAACTTGCTGGCTACCATGAACACCACACAAACGGACGGACAATGTCCTCAGAGCCAACAGGAAGATGACATGAACTGTTCAAGCAAGAGCCGGCCTGCTTGTGGACGTAGTTCTTTGCTTCTTGTGCATAGCGTTCCTTGACAACATCCGACAGAGAAAGACCAGACTCTGTGGTGACTACCGACTGCTGCAACTAAGACCCGCACCGCTTCTTTGGCGCGCGCATCAGCGTCGGTGCGCTCAGCTTCGGCCATGCTCTGGTTTCGCTGCGCCTGTCAGTTGCTGTTTTGATTCCGCTGCTAGGATGCGCTTGCGGGGACGGGATGCAAGATCTGCAAGGGGAGCCACTGAAGAAGGGATCTTCAAGTGCTTCAGCGTGCCAATGAAAGTCACGTCTGGACCGTCACCCACGAGCATCTACAGCCAGACTAGGAGCAGCACTTGCAAGATGATCCGCGACCCCCTGCCCCATCACCACCTTGCCGTCGTCCTTGCTTTCTTACAAGAGTCACCTTTCTTCACCTTTCGGGCCTCGATAAGGTCTGTGCGGAGCTGCCTTGCCACGGCCACCTCGGCGGCAAGCTGCCGCTGAAGCACCTCCTGACGTCAGGACGCTGAGACGCATGAGCATCTCAGCACTTTGCAGACCGTTTCAGAGAGGCATCTAGCGTCTAGCGTGGACTCAGCAAACAAACGCCACTCTGACTCCGAAGACTTCGAGCTTCGAGCAGTTTTCGGTCTATGATTGCACATTGAACATGAGCAAGTCTGAAAGCAACTGTCATGAGTGCAGGGAAGGTGCGCAGTGACCGAACTGCTCGGAAGTAGCACCCCATAGCTGCCTGCACCCGAGAGGGCTGAGCCGGCTGAGCCAATCGCACAATGCAACGTGCCAAACATGTCAGCTTGCAGCTGCGAATCTACAACCGTCAGACACGCCCAGATTTGACCAGAAGTGTTCCCCGTTTCGCATTCTTGCCAGGAATTGAACTGAAGGGCACCAGCAACAACGCAAGAAAACGCAACACCCAACTCTCGCCTTAGCTGCAGCTCTTGGCCATAGCGATGCCACAGCTGCGTGTCGGTCGCGGACTGTCATGCACCGAACCGCGATAAAGCAAAAGCAGCAAACGCATCGCGTGCAACTTCATACCCACCATGGCAAAATGTGATGCAAAGTGCCACAGGCCACAGGCCTGGAAGGTTCGCTGCAAGCTGTCCAATTCTTTGGCCAGCCGCTCGCGCTCGCGATTGCTGCTGCTAAGGGCATTGAGAAGGTCAGACACCTGCACCTCGTAGCCTTGATCAAGTCACGACACACATACACAGAGTGGAGCTGAAGGGGTCTTATAGTATGGTCTCTAGTCTAGGCCCGAAGCACTTAAAGCATTCAAGCTGCCCAGGCTGGAGGTGTCTGCTGTACGACGCACGTCCACGACCTTCCCTGAGTTCGCAAGTCGGCAGTCGCAAAATCATGCGTCATACATTGCTGATATTTTCTGCTTGTTTGTTGGAATCTAAGCTGCGAAAGGACTCCTCCCACAAATTCTGCCAGTGCTGTGCTGCCCGCTCTGCGTGCTCGGCACGATTGTGCAAGCCACCTCAGCACGTTGCAATTGTTGAATGTCATGTCAAGGTGTACAACTTGAGATCGCGGCCTCGACAATGCTTTTTCGTGAGCAAGGGCAAAGCCCGCGGTGCCAATCCCACACGTAGCATGAAAAATATGTGAAAACGAGCAGTGATGGGGGGGCCATATTGCCCCCTCTCCCCCCCCCCCCCCCCCCCCTCTTGCCATAACTTCACTCCCCCCTCCCCCCCCCCTCCCCACATATCTAGCCCCCCCCCTCCTTCTGCTCCTATTTGTTTAGCTATTGAATGATCAAGCTGAATCAAGCAGATAAGGCCGCGAGGCCATTTGATGAGCAAAGCCTCTCCAATGATTGTCCAGGCACCCAAGCAGCGGAGAAAGGCCCGCAACTTCGCGATGCCCTGCCTGCGCTTCACTCGTTCTGAAGCTCAGGAGCCAACTATTGTCGGGCTCCCAAGTGTCAATGTCAAGTAATGTGCCAGTGCAGTTACGATTGGCGGCACAGTCGAGAATTGCAGGAACTTCCAGGAAGTCCCAAGGATGTGATTTGAGCTCTTTTTGCCCCGGGCTTGCCTCAAAGGAGGGCTAAGGGGTAGTGTTCTCAGGAGCTTCTGGCCACACAGTGGCCCCTTGCTGTCTTTCAAGTGTAGACAGCCAAGCTGCTGCCCGGCAATGTCCGCGGCACGGACAAAGACTCCAAGGTGCCTGGACAGTGCGGGAATCTGCTAAGGTCGGAAGCTGTAAGAAGCTTGGCCTCAGTAGCCTGCCTTCGCTTGGTTGCATAGATGCTGCGCATGCTCTTAGTGGCACGCGCAGGTGCATATTCCGATCCAGGCTGTGAGAATATGTGCCTTTTTGAAAGACAAGCTGCGGCTCGAGGAGCGTGATGCAAGAGGCACTGCACTCCTAGGTTGACCACTGCGCTGGGCAAGTTGTTTGCTACAGTATGCACAGTGGAAGTACAGTAGAGCGGCCGATTTGCATCAAGACACCTGGGCAACTATCTCCCAAAGCGGGTGCATTGCAGTTGGCAGGTCCATAGCTTTTGCCATGGCTCGTGTTGCGTGGCGCCATGCAAAAACAAGCTGTTGGTTCACTAATCAACTCCTCATGATAAAAGGTTGGCGCCGGCGCTGTCGAAGATCCGTAGAATAATGGAGAAGCAAGCGCCCCCAACCCAAAACTTTCACCAGCCGCTTCTACCGTAGTCTGCAGGCTTCTTACAGATGAAGACTGTAGAACTTTCTTAAGAAAAGCCCGCGCAAGGAATAAGGAGCCAGGCATGGCTGTGCTGCAAGGGGTTCAAGGGTTCAGGGTTCAGAGTTCGGTCACCAAGCAACCGCACCTCCTATTGGTCCCACAGCTGTGGCAGGTGTATTACCACCGGAACAATGCCGAAGCCCGAAAGCAACACGGCAATCACAAGCTGCGCAGGACCATCTGGAAGAACTCGGCGGAATGGTGCTCACAACTAGAGTCTAGAGGCTGTGCAATGCTTGCCTTGAGCTGGTCGGCGATGATGGCCAGAAAGTAGCCTGACGACTCATCGCGCAGTGCTTTCTGGCTGGGTTCTCCCTGCAACTGGAGTAAGGCCTGTATAGACAGGCAGATGGCGAGACATGGTGCTATGTGGCCGGCCGTAGTAAAGAGAAGCAAACTCCTCGAACTGTGCCGAACCTTTGGATCGCCTTACGCGCGCCAATGAATTAATTTCAGATTTCTGCCAAATCTGCGAAGTCGGCGCGATGAAGGCAAAGTACAGATGCTAGGGCTACTGCCAGTAGTCCAGCGCCCATCTGACATCTTTGGTCTCGTTTCGGTCAAGGTCTGCAAACAAGCCCGACCTGTCATGCTGGAATAAGAGGTTTTGGGTCGTGCGTCGGTGAAATCGCCACGAGGTTTGTTCCGATGCCTTTCATGCACTTAAGACTCTCAAAGGGTGGCGGACAATTCGCGCGGCCATGGTTCAGAAACCAAAGCAGCAATTCAGAAACCAACAACGCCCAAACCAGACACCCAGCACAGGACAATGCAGACAACAACCATCCCACCTTAAAGCCAACCTATCCAACCCAAAACCCTAAACCCTAGACCCACAACCCCGAACCCCAAATCCCGAACCCTACCTGACCTCACCTCAACCAAACCCCAAATCCCGAACCCTCCCTGACCTCGCCTAAACTTTAAACCCAACCTAACCTCAGCTAACCTAAGCTGACCTAACCCTAAACCCATCCTAACCTAACCTAACCCTAAACCCGAAATCGTAAACCCCAAATCCAGAACCCTACCCTACCTAAACCCAACCCAACCAACCCTAAACCCTAAACCTAAACCTAAGCCCTAAACCCCCAATCCCGAACCCAACCCAACCTAAACACCAAACAAACCCTAAAACCCTAAACCCTAAACCCCAAACCCGAAACCCTAAACCCCAAATCCCGAACCCTACCTGACCCTAAACCCTAAACCCAAATCCCGAACCCTCCCTTACTAACCTCACTGAAACCCAATGTAACCTAACCAAACCCTTCCTAACCTTAACCTGACCTAACCCTAAACCCTAAACCCCAGACCGCAAACCCTGAATCCTAAACCCTAAACTTAAACCCTAAACCCACATCCCGAACCCTACCTAACCTAAACCCGACCTAACCAACCCTAAACACTAAACCCCAAAACCGCAAATCCCGAACCCTACCTGACCTCACCTAAACCCGACATAACGAGCATTGTGTTTGCAAATGCCCCCCCCCCCCCCCCCCCCCCGCTTAACCCACCCAAACCGAGACACGAATTCAAACCCGAATGCAGAGCCAACAAGCATGTCAGCTTGTTTTGTGAATCGGCTTTGTTTGCTGACTCGTGGGTGTGTGAATTGTGCCTATGTTTTGTGAATGGTCCAGCTCCCACTCTCAAACACAACATTTTCGACACAACACCTGCCACTGAGGCTGCGACTCTCCTGGCAGCTTCGTGTCCTCGTCCTGAGTCTGTTTAGTCTGAAGAAATTATTGACTCCCCAGCAGATGATGCAAGCCCATCCCGGCTGAGCAGTGGCCTATATACCGCATGGCATTTGTGAGCCATGGTTGGCATCTGACAGTCTGAGCTGCTGGCGACCAACTCAGAAGGAACATCCTGCATGGAGTGTCATCAAGCGGCGACTCTCAGCCGGGGTTCTGTAGTTGGGAAACATTAGGGGGTGCAGCCCTTTCCAATTTCCAAGGAAATCCTGGAGCCCAGTGCAGGCGTGCACCACCACGCAATCCACCACCGCAGCCAAGAACCGGGCAGCCTGTAGTTGATGCAGGCACTGTAACCGATGGTCAGCATGTGGCTTCAAAGCTCCAGAGTGTCTTTTGTGGCTTGGGTCATTCAGCTGCCGGCAGAACCGAGAACAGCGGCCTTGACTAGCTTCTTTTTTGGCATCCGCTTCGCTGCGCGTATCCAGAGGCTGAAATGAAAGAAACGAGGCGCTGTCTTCACATGCCTTGTTTCTAGGTCGACTTTCCAGTGGCGCGATTGATCCGTGCATCATGACTGGCGAGCTTTCGGAGAGCTGCCCGAGAACATGATCGTTGAGAGAAAATTGAGGGTTCATACTTCAGGACTAGACATGATCCACGGCACGCTCGAGCTCAAAGGCCGGCCCCGTCTTCATCACAGGTCCCATGGGAAATCGCTGCAGCCAGTGAAGAACGACAGGCTTCCTTGCAGTCATCACGAGTCTGACGGCTGAGCCCAATCATACATCAACATCGCCCGGCGAGAAGCCGGACAACTTCGCCAAGCGTCGTATCCGTGATGCCCCGAAAGTCTTCAAAGCCTGCGCTGCCTCCGCTACGAGTTGCGGGGTGCAGCTTCCCAGGAGTTGCAAGCTAGTTGAACGCCAACGATGCATGTCGGCGCAGCAGGCTCTGCACATTTCGGTTAGGCACATGGCAAATTCCCAGATTGCGCACCTTGGCATCGAGGCATCCTGCCAACTTGTCGAGTGCCGCCTGTGTGCCCTCCTCGCTTGGCGGGGACATGCATGCCAGAGCTTGAGAACTTGGGGAAATCATGCTAAATCATGTTGCCTAAAGTGGTGTCCAAGGGTGTACAGAAGAATCATGACCGTCACATGGCACTCAATCAGTGCTTTCATCCGGAGACGTCGTGTGGAGCCCTCCTCGTTGCGGCTTTCGGTTGCTAAAGCAGCTGCCACGGCACGTTCACCATCCTCTGTGTCCTGTCAGAAGCAACATGGGCTCTGAAAGTTCTATGCACAAGGCGTGCTGCACGCTGTATGCATAATATGTCTTGCTTGAAGCTGCATTTCAGCTGCAGCATCTGCGACCGTAAGCAAATGCAGGCGCACCCAGCGTCCTCCCAGCCAGCACTGCGCTGCGCCACGGCTGCAGCCACTTTCGCAGCTGCAGCGCTTACGCTGACTCCTGCGGCCTGGCTAGACGTACATGCTGGCTGGCAACATCTGGTTTTGGGTGCTGGGTGCTGGGCCCCGTCCTCGAGGGTACAGGCTGCAAGGAAGTGTCGCGCAGCCAGAAACGGTGTCCGACCAGGCACAGCTGCATCGCCTCAGTGCACGTTGACATTTCTTGATGAAATCGACCTAAGTGAGCTATGCCAGCGTCTCCTAAGTGCTCCTCCATGCTCCTCCCATCTGGCCAAGATATGCCAAAGATTGGCCAAGCTACCGGGCCCCACCAACACAGCAAAGCGCTCGGCTGCTGCTGCCAGTGGCTCCCAGCTCAAAGCTCCCGAGCTCCTCGGTTGACAACATGATTCCCCTTGAGCTCCTCTACCTTCTGCTGCCGGTGACACTTCTTGCAAAAGACTCTTCGTCAAACCTCGTTGCCGCGAAGGTTCTGTGCATGCAGCTTCGCTAAACTGGCAGCCAGCGCCAGCCCTGCGGCCTGAACCTGCATTCGAAGAGCAATCCCTTAGAGATTCTTAAAGTCTTGGATTCTGAGAGTTCAGTCTGGGGGCATGCTCCGTAGAGCAAGGGCTCACAAATGCGGCAAGGACTTCGTGAACAATGGAATCAGACATGCAGACGTACTGAAACTAGGTCTACAAGTCATTCTACACCTTCATTCCACTTTCCAAAGTTTGAGCTTCGGGAAGACTGCAAGTTCACGGACTGAGACGAGGCAGAGAGGCCGGTTCTTTTGCGCACGGCGATGTTGGCTCTTGTGCCGACGATGTGCCGTACTACGCGGGGTGTGTGCACGTCTATGCCCATACAATGGTGAACTCATGTCGCCAAGCAGTTGTCGATGACTCAAAAGGGACATCTGGAGGCTTCGCGTTCAAAAGTTGCGGCGCTCTCGCACGCGCCAACCGTCCAAAGTCTTGGGGCTTCAGTTTGGGGGGGGGGGGTGGTTCATGGGCCCATGGTCCCCATCGAGGACTTAGGCCGAGAAAGAACGGGCCTCAGCATCCTTGTCCTTCAAGAATTGCGGCAGGCTGGACACTGCCAACTCATCCTCAGCGTGGCAGTCTGAAACGCCGAAACATTTCGAGACCTCGCATCGGCATCTTCCCCTCCGCTTCCCTTCCTTTAGCTTCTTGCTTCAAGGTCTCCGCAGGCTTCTTGAGGGCTTCGTCGGCGGGCTCTGCAAGATTCGGCTGCTGTACCCAACAGATTCCTGCGCGTGGGGTACAAAGGCAGCAATTTGATTGCGGAACAACAACTCGCGTGGGCCTGCCAAAGCGAATGCAGCGAAGCTTCGCTGCGGACCTTTCTCGTTGACAAGTGGCGATACCTTCTCAGGTTCTCCGGCGAACTCTCACGTTTGCATACACATGAACGTGGGAAACCGCCCCCTTTGACCAGCCTTCTCATTGAATTCTTCCAGAGCTTGTTCTGCTGGCATATGCCTCCTTAACAAGATCCCGAGAGCCCAGCCGCAGGCCTTGCAGATTTCAAGCAAGCGTGACCACAGTTACACCAACGAGGCAGCGATGCAACTAAGTTCTACCAGTCAACACTGGCACCTGTCGCTCGTCAGCTGCAGCATCGGCAGTCGAGCCACGTGACACGACGGCATTCAAGGCCTTCTCCTGCGGCCACATGCAGCATGCGTGCAAACAAAGGCCCGGCAATCAACTCCGGCAATGCCCATAACAGAACGCGCTCAGTCACCAAACATGTAACTGTTGACGCTCAGGGAATGCGTGGCAGCTGCAAGGAGCATTGACAGCTAGGAAAAGGCTTGGAAAGGTCTTCAGCTACTCTGCCTGGACAGCCTGGCTCGGGCTCTGCTTCACATTGAGCAGCACCTGTCAGAATGACATATGACAAGTTCTTGCTGGGATGATCGCAGGGCAGACATTGCAGGCCGGCTTGGCTTTCAAGGTAACTGTCAGAAAACCCGTCGTGTGCCCTGACTGACAACACGCCACCAACATAGGAAGGACGCCTCACCCAAAGCGACGACGAGCGCAACCCGCGCAGCAGGGTCAGAGTTTCCGGGGAAAGCGCTGAGCCTAGCTGTGCTCAACTGCGCAACATGGCCTACGTTTGCAGACTTGAAGCGGCCGCAACCCATTGCTCCGTGTATCTCTTACTGCAAGCATTTTGACTTCTGGCCAAAGCTGCTCGTTGATGAGCGGCTCGGTACGAGCAGCCCTGCTAGCAAGCACACGCGGCAGTGTGATGTAACATGCATGAAGACAAGTCTACGTGCAACACCAGTCCGAACGCAACGTTGGGATTTATAGCGTGCAGGCCTCCTTGCCAGAAGCCCAAGGGACTCCGCTGCTTTGCGGCGAACTGCCTGCCATGCCTAAGTTACCTCTACCATGTGGACGACTCCCCTCCGACATCCTCCGACAATTTCGTGCACTTGCAAACCCTTGCCGCACTTCCGAGGCGACTCAGGATGCAGATCTGCAGGTTTGACTGAACACTCCAAATTCACGCAAGCCGGAGAAGCTTGCCTCGGAGTTTGGTGGATCTGTAAGGCACTTCACATAGGTCGTCTGAAGCTGGGGCAAGAAAGGCTTCAGGGTGTCACCTGCCAAGACGGATTCTGAAGCCCACTTCAGCTCCATCAAGTTTTGCTTTGTGCTTTAGGACAAGTACGCCGAGTCATGGAAGTCACAACATTCCGGTGCCCGGGGCCTCCTCGAATGAGGAGAGCTTGTAAGGTATCCACAATCGCCTTCTTGACGTTTCCGGGGAACTTATCACCGACAATGCGGATCAAAGGACCTGTGATTTCCGAGTCAGCGGATCCCATGGGGCGAGCCCTCTCTCGACCCGGCCTGTGATCTTGACAGCATGGGGCGCCAACGCCTTCTCAGTTGTGTGGTTGACGAGTTCACCAAGACCTGACGGCTGCATTCTTGAGTTCGTGACAGTTTGTCACACCAAAAAAGCCTGAGGTTAAGCGATTACGCGAGTAGGCGCGGGGCCTTTTGCTGCCAACTCTCGAGCTTCAGCTGTACCATACATGAGACCATGCTGGTAGATGGGGTAGAGTGGCTCCAAGCCCTTGTGATCGCAAAGTCCTGCGCTTGACGAGCTACGTGAACGACATGCACGGCTCGGAAGATTTGGGGCCTTTGAGTTTTTGAGACTTTTTTCGCTCGGCGCAATTAGGAGTCCGGCTGCAGTTCCCTGACTCGCTGCTTTCTTGTTTGCAGTCTTCGTAGTATTAGTTAGTTGCTTCTCTCACGCCACACAGGGCATTGGAAGAAGCGAAGCTGTTCTGCCGAGTCTCTGCAGACACCCTTGTGATGCCTTGTGATCACTTGTGCGCACCAGCCAGCTTCTGCTCTCGACTCTGGAAGCTGTGCTTCTCTGTTGCGAACCTGTCATGTTTTGTAATCTCTGCATGCCGGCGTCGTCCCTTCGGAGAGGGAACAACATGGCGGCAACGATTGCAAGGGTGTGCAGCTCCACGAGCAAGGGCGTTCACAGGTGCTCCAGTGCCACCAACACTTGATCACCATGGTTTCTCATAGTGCCTGTGCATCTCTTGCCGGGTCTTGTCGTGTGTCGATCGGCAAAAACGGCGCCTCCGCTTGGATTCCTGCTTTTCTGCCTCTGTTTGCTCAGCCTTGTCCGCCTTATCCACCTTGTCCTGCTGAATCAAAAGCTGTCTCTTGGCCTCGGCCTTCTGCTGCGCAACCCGGACATCAGACGCAATCGCCTCGATTTCCTCGGCAAGGTCTCCAGACAACAGATCTGTTGGTATAAGACAGAGCAAGTCTTCTGCAGGGATTTCATGGCCAGCATCCCGGAACACTGCAGCCTGTGCAAGGACGTCGACTTCTAAGGCATTCTGCAACATGTCGTGCACGGCGCGCCGGTAGACTTGCTGCACTAGGCCACATGATCTCATGGCGGCTCGCAAGCTGCCAAGACAGGGGTAATCTGCCTCCATGGCTGACCTGAACCTTCGCCACTCCACGTCTGATTGAAGCCGTTCCGCCGGGGCTGCACCAATACACCGTGGCAGCGCCGCAGGCCTTCTGGCTGCCTGCGCCAGGCGCCGTAAAGCAACGCCTGTGAGCATGTCTCTGGCCCGGCAAGGAATGGAACAAACAAAACCTGGATTTGATGGCTTCCCTTCCAAGCGTTCGGATGCGTTTACTCCCTCTGTCTCTGTCAGTGTGTGTGCGTGTGTGTGTGTGTGTACGATGCAAGGCCAGCAACATACCATCATGTGCAATTGCTTGATGGGCGCGTGCGTCTGTCAGGAACTGCTGAAGTACCAAGCATGCCTGCAGTCTGTTGCATGCCAGGCGATGCTCACGATACTACACAGTCATCCTCAGCCGCTGCATCTAGATTCGAGACACCTCTTAAGTCAGAGCAGGTCACCGTCCTGGAAGGAAGATGTTTGGATCTTCCTTCTTGGTCTGGTGGTCCGTGATGAGATTGAGGACGGCTGAGCGCACATCATTCAAGTAAGGGGCAAGCTCCTCCTTCTTGCCTCGGACTGGTGGCATATGCTTGGGTTTAAGTTTACTCAAGCGCTTGTCAGCAGCCACTGGTAGTGGCCTCCACTAGAGCGCTTTTCAGCAATGTTGTGATGGCTCGGTTGCGTGAGAAGGCGCACTTCTTGGTAATGGCATTCAGTGCCGCCATAGCTGTGGCCAGCGCCTCGCAGTTCATGGGTTGTCAATTGGAAGGCTCCCTGGAATTTTGCAGTTTTTTGAAACGTATGGAATATTGAAATGAAACTTGCCTCGTCATCTTCATCAGCCAGCGCAGATGGCAAAACGGCTGGAAGCGTGAGGCTCAGGACGGACACCACGTCTAAGCCTTGCAACATTGACATTGAGTTCGATGTCACGGCATGGGCCTCAAGGGTCAACACCCCGTTGTCGCACCACCCGTCACTACGCCCCTGCCGCCGATGGCCTTCGGATACAAATTCCTTGTGGTGGCCTCCTGTTTCATACCCTCTCTCGGGGACTGTGAAGTAGAATCTTTCCGTGAAGCCAGCTTAGCTAAGTACCAGTACTACGACTATCTATCCCCGCGCTATGCCGCTTGGGCTTGTTGCAGGGCTACCTTGTACTGTATCATGGCAATGGGCTCCGTGGATTGCCAAATTTGTCAAGCCCACGATGAAGGCTTCTGTGACTACTCTGCACAGTTTGTCGCACGCCATCTATCAGGGTCTTCACATGCAGGCTTGCTGCAAGCAGAACCGTTTCGATACAAACCCCAACAAGGCTCACAGTGATATTTCTCACGGAGTGATAGGTCCATGTCAATGCCGGAAGCATTTGATTTATACAGGAACGAAAGAGAGGCAACCAAAAACACAAAAGTGAAACTACCTGTCCTGCAGTCAGGCAGCTAGTGTTCTCGAAGAAAGTTTGCAATAGCTGCGCTGCAACTTTTCGGTGTGAGGCGTTGTTCTTGTCCTGCACACTGCTCGGCACAGTGGATAAGTCTATACAGGCTGCTTCCTTTTCCGCCAGTAGGCAAAGATAGGGCAAAGAAAGAACCTTGTGTCACTGGTTGAACCTGTGAAGCATGGCAAGCCCGAGCAAGCAGGATCAAGCTAGGGGAACCCGTTTTCAGTGCATCTCCTGCATCGGTCCCTGCAGCTCGGTCATCAGCAAAGTCAATCCATCTTGGTTCACTGCGTCCATCACCCGTGTTGCAGACTCAATCGCGATCTCTTGCATTTCGGGCTGATCCTCGTCCTCGGCTCTCTGTTTCCCAGCGATTCCCCGCTGCTCATTTGGCTCGCTCTGTCTCTCTCTCTCTCTCTCTCCTGATTCCTTCCTTCTGGCGCATGAGGCCTCTCTTTATTTCTTTGGGGCATGGAGCAGGGCTCCGCGCCGAGGCGCCCCCCCCCGTCTGCTTTGACTGAACCTCTACCACCCGAGAAAAGACGGGCCGAGGCCTCTGTCTCTCTAGGGGCTTCGGGTTTAGGGTTTAGGGTTTAGCGGCTCAATGGCTAGACATATGACCGGATGACTGGTGATCACCAGCAAGGATGCTGGACTCACTTTGCAGAGGAAGGAGCATCCAGGCTTGCCACTTCGATGAAAACGGGCATTACGTCCGAAAGGTGTTCTCAGCCAGCATGTTTGCACAACAACAGGTTGACAGTGGCATGACACTTGGCGACCCCTACCTTGCTACCTCACACAAGATGACGCCTGAAATGAAAGACAAACAGTGCTCGGAGCTGAGAAGCTATGGACTGTGTGGCTGTCAGGTACAACAGCTAGAGTCGCCAGCCCTTGTACCTGACAGGGCATGCAGTGCATGTGTACTTTCGCAGGCTCCCTGGGCAGATGGGGGTGCCTGCAGTCGGGTCCAGCCGTCTTCCCCAGGAGAGGTCAAACGACCGAGGACCAGGTCTTTCACGGCTCCTGTCTCGGACACGGTTGCTTCACTCATTACACGACGAAGAGAGTGACTTTATCAGTGACTCTATGGACCATCAGTTTTGGGGGAGGCTGCACCTGGCTGCTTTTTCATGAGCTGCTCCAAGCCGAGCACGAAAAGATCACCTTCTTCAACAACCTGTCTGATGAATGAGCGGAGGCATGGTGGCATGGAGATTCCTGTCTTTTTCCTCTGCTCTGCGTGAGGTTACATACATGACTGCTATGGCGAGATCAGATGCAAGTTTTGCAGATCGTTGCCAGACGTGATCTCTCCATGTCACGCATGCTATGCCGTGATGTTTGTCCACTGTGCTCGTAACCCAGAGCCTCCTGCATCAGCTGATCCAGCAGCCACTCTACAATCTCGTTCGTTGCACGTGCCCCGACTGCGTTGTGAAGCAAGGCCACCACCTCAGCACGCGTCATAGTGAAAAGGCATGAAGGCACATAGATGGCTGATGTTGCACCCATGATCGTCCATGCCTCTTGCCATGCCTCTTGCCTGCAAGGCACGGTACTTGCTTGAAGCCTGACGGCTTCATCGTCGTCAATAAGTGCTTGCTGAATGGCAGGGATGAGCTGCTCCAAATACGTCGTCAGCAACTCCTATGAGAGGATAACGTGATGACAACTTAAGATCTTGGTGCCTGACCTAAAGCCTGACATGGTGTGGCACTCCTTTGTGGTCGCATTGATGAGTTCGGCCAGCCCAAGACACACACCTTCTCGCACGTGCGTGTCGCCTCCCAGAAAAATGTGGTGGCTGCGGCTCCGTACACTTTCGCCTACTCTCTACTGCAGCTGTAAGCTGGCAGCCTTCCGAAAGCGTGTCCATGAAAATGGGCATCAGTTCGGGCATCACGCGCTCTCCTTATTGATCACTTAATGTCGGACCCTCGCGGACCCTTCACCCAAAACCCGGGTTGATGAATCAAGGGGGGTCTCTTGCCTCCGCCAAGGCCCAACATCGAGGCATGTTACGACATGTTGCGGTACCACCATGTGCTGCTCAGTTCTGGATTGCCAGTGCCGTGCGTTGCCGTGCTCGGCACGTGACACCTCCCTTGCTGCCATTTCAGGACTGCTAAGGGCACGCTGATTCTGGCCGCGCTTCCGAGCTTGCCAACAAGGTCACCAACGCAGCGAGCAGCCACTCGCTGGCGTTCACGATTTGTTGAAGCAAGGTTTGCCTTGGCAGGACATGTCCCAACCGAGAGCACCATGATGCCGCGCACACGCCAACATGCAATGGTCGCTGCGGTGCCGTGGGAATCGGGAAAATAGGCGGCGAGCTCTGTTTGCCCTACATGCATCGCACAATGCTGCGTCTCTGTCAAGGTGCGATCAAGCGCGTCATCAGTGTAGGAAGTAGCTCTTTCAGAGTTCTCGGCGGATTTTGCACGACAGCCTTCCAGACCTGCTGGCACGCCTGCTTCACCATGACATTCCTTGGGAATCTGAAGGCTACTATAGAACAGCCGATCTGCAAGCGATGCTTGGATCTGTTTCGAGCATTTCGGGCGCAAGGCTTAGAATCAAGGAGCTCATCACTGCGCACGATGTACAAAGAAGCCAGCATGTGGCATCGCCACTCTTTTGGAAGCGCCTCGACCTTGCCACGACGGGGGGATGACGAAGATGTTGTGCTTTACTTGTGAATTTTCATGGCTTCGGATTTCTTGTGGGGTCCTCTTATGACAAGAGCTGGTGGCACCCAATACCCACATCTCCTATTCAGTGCAATTCGATGCCCATGCTCGGCCTGCATCAGCTCCGCGCTGTTGGTTGGGATGCGATGTGCGCGCAGGATCTGCTGGATCCTTGGTTGAGAGTTGAACCAAAGCCCAAGGGTTTTTACCGGTCATGTGGGACTGTCATCGCTTCGACTTGCAGTATGGTACTTCAGGCTCCACCCCCAATCTTCTACAACATAGCTCAAGCCTGGCAGCAGCTGCCCCATCAACTGAATAGCTCCATGTCGTACTCTCCAGTCCACGACGAAGACGCCCTGCGAAAACAGAAACAAACCAGAGAGCGCTAGGAGCCAACTTGCCTCCGGCCCCTATGAACATAGTCTTTTTGGGCTGGTAATATTTCTAGCAGTATATTCGCACTATTGATAGCGTATAGGCTCTCTCACTAGATATATCCCCATCGGCCAAAAGAAAGAGGAAAAAGAAAAAGGTTCACGGATTGATATATAGATATATATATATATATATTGATAACGGCTGCATGTGGTGGAGATAATAACCGAGCCTTTGGAGGAGGTAGCTTTCTATTGTTACAGGAGATCTTCCATCACTTCCAATGAACGAACCATGCATTACAGGTAGTGGGCGAAACACTCCTTGAAAAACCGGAGAGAGAATAGAATAACTTTACGTGGTCTTTGAGGATTAGACGCTTAGTATCACTTAGCAATAGAAACCGGAATCCTGTTCTATGTCGGAAACGAAAATGCTTACGGCAGCTTACGTTTTTCAAGCCTTTGCTTTCGACACGACTGTGTTGTTCTTTCTGCTTACGCCGCTTACGCCGGCAACAACGTTGCCCCAGAATTGCTCACGCAACACCTTACGGAACACAACACTTTGCCTACGGCAAACCTTGTTTCCTTAAAGCCCCTGTCTTGCTTTAAAGGAGGAGGCTTCTGCCCCACCCAAATTGCCTGCCTCCTCCAGCGGCGGCAGGAGCAGGGCGGTGTGGGAAGAGCCGAAGTGCCTGATGATAACCTGGGCGGCCTGCAGGTCGCTCTGAAGTGTCCCAAAGCCTTGTAGGATCTGGCCTTCCACAGATACTGTGGAGTGTTTTTGGAGCAAGCCTTCAATGCCGTGTCACGCACAGACGCAGTATCGTCAGACATGCCATCCAGCAGTGTGGTGAGGACCTCTTCCAGGTATGGCCTGCGGCTCGCAAGCGTCCATTCCATGCATCCTAGGGATGTGTGAAGCATTCTTGCTTGCGTGCAGGCTGCTCGAAGCTGCTTCCCATCGCAGGCGGAAGATATTCGAACAGACCCAGGTAGCCTCAGAGTTCCATTTGCCAGCGAGGCAAGATGACACGGTGTGGGTCTTGTGCATCCCGAGCACCCTCTCTTGCGAGCGGTTCTGCGTCCTCGTGGGGAAGGTGTTGAGCAGCTGTTGAGCACTTGCTGAGCAGTTGTTAGCATCACATTGCACTTTGATGCTACTAGTTGTTGTCCGGGAAGGCAACGCACATATCAGCACGCGGCGTGAAGCCATGACCAGGGTCTTCAAGCAGGTCTAGACGATCATAGACTCTAGACTCGTGGTCGTCAATGCTCTGTGTTAACTCGCTGGTCCTTGTTGCTCGCATTGAAAAGAATGTCGGGCAAAAGCCTGAGTCGGAACACGTCGAAGCCAAAGGATTTCGAGTACTTTGTGAGAAAAAGCTGGCGGTGCAATCGCTGTTCTGCCCGAGCCTCGGGGCACACTATTTGAGCTAAGTCGCTCCTGGACTCGTTCCGGGCCCTTGGCCATGAGGACCTGCAGCCGTCGTAGACTCACAGACGATTCTTTTTTCGGGCCATACCATACGGCATCAGCCAGCCTCGGACAAGCCGTGTGCAGCTCCTGTGCGCTCCACGTTGGACTCGGGCGACTTGAGCATCTCAAAAAGCCAGGGCATAACACCGCCTGGCACTGTCCGATTCTACAGATGTCAATTCTCCCTGTGCTTGAGTGCATTGCAATGGTATGAGCAATATCGTTATCGCTGGAAAGCCTCGCCTAGCATGTCTTCTGGCAGGACCTGCGCCAGAATTCCAAAAGCTTTCGCGGAGGTCGCGCGCCTGTGAAAGACAGTTAAATTCGACAGTTCTTGGGCCGCCAGCTGCGTGATAGGCAACCTTCCTGGCATGCCGAGGAACACATCTGGGATAGGATCAACCAAGGTGAGCTTCAGCTGGGGTAGAAGAAGAGGAAGGTACGGCTGTATGTCCTTGGGATCCTGACAGGGCAGGGGGAGATGGATGGGATGGTTGTCCCACATGTCCTGCTGGGGTTGTACAGGATTGAAGAGTCTGGAAGTATACTGCACGTTGCAAGACGCCATTCGACGCGTTCTAGCTGGCGTCCTTGATGAGCATAACCATCGAGCCCACTATCTGTGCCCCTTTCCGCTTCATCTCAGCAGAACGTTCTTTGAGGGCACGCTGGATGACGGGACATACCTGTCCGGGAATGGCACACGTACTTTCAACAGGTGTGCCTCTAGCCCTCTAGCATGCTCGATGTACTTCAACCGTACAACATCGGCCGAAGGTGCCGAATGAGAGGTGCCGAGATGCAAGGGAGAGGGACGGCGCGTCGACATGCGTTGCGAAGGAGGTGCCCAGGAGCTTGTCCAACACATCCCGAGTGATATGTTCATACCTTGCAGCCGCTTGGGAACAGAACAGCTTCTTTTAACTTCACTCTTCCCTACAATCTGGAGAACAACTTTGCAGCTTATACAGTAGCGGCACTGCGCCCCATCAGTCAAGGCCGAGATGAGCTCGGGCGCGATGGCTCTGAGCTCTGGACCTTCAGCTCTGTCTGGTGCGTGCTGTGACTTCATCTACAGTAGAACTATGTAGAACTCGTTGAACAAAGCAGACATGGCTGCCTCACTAGCTGCTGAAACTCTTGGCTGACAAGTAAGCAAGCACCCATGGGGTGTCAACAGCACGGTACAGTACGGCCAACATCCTTTTTCTGCATAACAGGCCTATCGAAATACTGAAGAACTGCCAAAACGACTGGCTAAAGCAAGTATGCCGAAGTTTACCCTCTCCGATTCATCCAGCCGACTTTTGATAATGTTGGCGATCTTGTTGAACGCTTCTCGGGCCGCTTCTTTTACCTGTTTCTCCACTGCATGCTGTCAAGGTTGTTGCAAAGCTTGGGTGAATTCGATCATGAGTTTAGACTGGTAGAGTGCCTTTGCATGCTCATCGTTGATGACATTGCAAAGGGCCGGCACCACCTGCAATTTCAAGCTGCAGCATCCAGATGCATCGGGCACGTGACCGGGCAGACTATTCTGACGTGTGCCCCGACCCTTGCCCTTGCCCTTGCCCTTGCCCTTGCCCTTGCCCTTGCCCTTGCCGCAAATCGAGTATCGCTTTTGACCATGCAAAGAAACCGGTCAACCAGAGCTTTGGCCTGCGGCAGGCACGCTCCCAGCCGCTCTCTGGCGCAGCTTGTCATGGATGCCAGCAATTCGATACTTCCCAGCTTTGTACGCCACCTCATGTCGACGTCTACCAGGGCTCTCTGCGTGTCTCTGCGTAGCTCTGCGTCTTCAGGCACCTCCATGCTTCCGAGCTGTGCCGCCGAGATTCGGTGAGTTCCGGTCCTCGATGGGAGCCAGGAGAGGCTTCAAGACCTCTGCACTCTGCACGACAAGGCTTCAGCATTCTTAAGTGAGCAGGACCCTCACACTGCTTGCAAGGCCCAGCCCCATTTGCAATTGCCTGCTTCACACCCGGTCCACTGATCTGAGACATCATGGCATTTGCAGCGACCTGGGCAGGCTTCAAGGTCAACTTATAACTGTCGGGAACACATGGGCTGTGGGAGGAAAGCTGCAGTCATAACGCCAAGCTTCTGACCTGTGACGCTTTTCGCACCGTCTGCTGCGAGTCCGAGAATGCCTCACAGGCGGCAAACCCGTCACCCATCATGCGTACTGCGGATGTGCATCCCCCACCCTCTGCAGCATGGGCAGGGACAAGACAGTGTAGGGATCGAAAAGGCGGCCTGGCTCGGAGAAATCTAGCAATGCAACAACACTGATATACACTGATGCACCCCTTGTGCACCAAGCCCTCCGCGCCTAGGTTCACAGCCAAGCCCTCCAAGCAAAGGACAGCGCCCTCCCGAACTGCTGCGCTCTTCTTGTCCTCCACTCAGCAGCCCGGCATTTTGTTCCAAGGTGGCGCACAAACACTCCGGACTACGCTGTACTGCAATAAGCTGCTTCAAGCTGCACCTCCGCAACATCCTCGATTCGCTTCAGTATCTGGTACTGAGACATCGCTTGGATGCTCAAGCCTGGCACAAACAGTCCATGCAAGATTTGGGCTGCCGCGTGGAAGGGTCGAAGCGCCTTTCACCGTTGCCCCAAGCCCCATGGCTGCCCCACGTCGCGTCACCTCGCCACAAGACATCAATCGCTTTTCAGTGCATCTTCAACGCGGCACGCAATTTAGGGTTTTTTTGCCACCCGTCTAGCAATGCAATTTAATCGCTCACACTCGGACAAGCCAGGCGAGGCACAGGGTTTAGGGTTTAGGGTTTAAGGTTTAGGGTTTACTGCTATTTCTAGGAAGCAGCACCTTTGCAGCTCCCTGTCTCGCAAAGCTGGCAAGCTGCCGGGTCCGTCTTGGGCGCCAGGGCTGTCTCCAACAACTGCTCCAGCGCTTCCGCTGCTTGCTCCTCACACACAGTGCGTATGCAAACCCTTGAGCTCCAATGAATGCAAGAAAAAGTCACAGTTATCAGAGAAACGGTTGTATATATATATATATCTATATATTGTACAGAGTACAAGAGAGAGTACGGTCTGCTCCGCACCTTGTTGGCCTTCATGAGAGGCGGCATCACCTGCATTTAAAGTCTACCCGAGCCATGGCAGTTTGCTTTGGCTATGTAGTTGTGGTGAGAACCGAGCAGGACTACGAAAAGACCAGTAGCTTGGAGAGGCAGAAATCGCTACTGTCTTTCGGTAATCTACATTAGAACAGCAAGGCCTTCACGATCGCATCTTGAACGGATGGCGTCGAAGCCTTGTCCAGCAACCTGCTCTCTTGCAGCAGGGGGCTACGGATGGCGCTGCTTTGATGCAGTCGCCACTTGGGCCTTGCAAGCAGCCTGGGGATGGTCTCCTCCACCTGACCCGTGCCAAACTACTGAGCCATGGTGTTCAAGACCGCTCTGCAGCGTGCCATGTGGCCTTGGGGTTGTCGCTGCTCAAATGCTTTGAGAGCGCCCCCAAGAACACGGCGATTCCCAAAGAAGCGGACTCACCTCTGACAAGGAGACAACAGCGGACACTCGACCAGTCTATGAAGATTTCCGAAGGATTGGGCCGTATAAACATTCACAGCTTTTACGAACATCATGATATCATTTCAACCCTCAGAAAGACCAAGTGTATGGATGCCACTCTGACTTGTGTGATCCGGCCTGCAGCTTTTGCAGCCTCACTATCCTCGAAGCTTTCGACTGTCTTGTACAAGTCCTCGGCGAACTCCTCCCCATGCTGCTCGATGAGAGTAATGCCTTGAATGCAAGGCTGCAAACCCAGCTCGAAAACCCACATGAAAATCTCACGGCTGTGACTTTGTCCACCGACTTTCGGCTGCAGTGAATGCCGGCTTTCATGACCTCTGGAATCCATCGGCCCTGAACATTGCACAGGTGCCTGCAGCGAGCAGCACATCCCGCAGTTCGCTGGCCTGACCAAGGTCTTGTCTGCCCCATGAGCTTTACGTGACGACTGTTCTCCTCCCGTGTGCCATGTTCTCTCTTCAAGTTGTCTCCTGCTCCAGGTTGTTGACTTCGATATTCTTCGAACACGCGAATTTTAAAAAAAAACAAACATATATATATATATATACATGTGTATGTATGCATGTATGCATGTATATGTGCGCGAATGTGCTCATGTGATCCCACATCGCCATGCCTCGAAGCTTGAGGGTGGTCATGGTTTGGGTTGGTAGTGGCATGTATGCATACCATCCATGCGCTTCGGGGGGGTCACCAGCACATAGCACTGAACGTGTAGATTCGATTCTTCCACCTCTTCTTCCTATCCCTTGCCTCAGCTGTCGAGCCATTTGTCAGGCCCAGCCCCTGCCGCAGGATGAACTTGAAGGCCAAATTCACCTGCCCGTCACAGCACAGGTAACTGCAAGCCAAACACCAGAATATTCTAACATAGTAATATAATCATGTTAACATAATGTTGCAACAGAGGATTGGTATAAACATATTATAATATAAGCCCTTCATGCGATGCTGTGACGCCTGGTCTACGCCTTGGAGATTGGTTGCGTAGATGCGCTCCAAGCATCGGGCGATTGTGATCCTGCGCAATGCTACTGGGGCCCCTCCAAAGAGTTTTCAACGAGTGTTGATGATTGAGACTATCTGAAGACAGCGTTCTCAGCCGTGCAGTGGCTGTTTAGATGCTTAGCGAAGGCAAAGGTCAGTTTGCCAAACCAGCATCGGCTTGTAAGCTTGACAAGAGGAGTCAGCCTGTACCATCAGAAGCCTTGATGAGTGGAATGCACAGATTCTTCCGGCAAATGAAGGGACAGACTTGCTACGAGTTCCTGAGCGGCCGATTTCTTTCAATTACTGCCACCTCCGTCGGCCGACTCACAAACGCGAAGAAACAGGCTCGAGGCTGGAGGAGTAGATTGCATGACACACGCGAGTTGCCCGAAAGCGGTGCTTCGAGCTTGGTGTTGACAAAAAAAGAAAGAAAGAGATGCAGAATGGGCATCAACTTAGAAGTGGACAACGTTGAGAGCATTCACACGCATTCACATTGGCGTGCTCACGGCGTTCTCCGACTTAATGAACAGTCTCCTTGGTGCCGACTGCTCACGGAAGAGCTGCATCAGCAAATCCAGGGCTGTGTCAGTAAACTTGAGGTCATCAAGCTCCTGAAGAACCTGCGTCAAGGATGGCCCTATTGAGTCACTGCTACCTGCTGCCAGCAGCTGCTAGCACGCAGGCGCCTCTGCCAGAGCTTTGGCAATAAGCTCCTGGATGTCTTTCCCTACGCCTCCTTGCTCCCTAGCGAAGTCAATAAGCTCCATCATCAGAACCTGGGGATGCAGCGTGGCTTGTCGCCTTGTTCATGCTTGCTGCGGTCCAGCTGATGCCAACAGATGCCAACAGATGCCAACGGCCAAGCGAGTGACCTCATCAGCTTCCAGTTCAAGATCTTCCAAGGTCTTCTTTGCAGTCTCCTCGGCTTGGCTTGTGCAATTGTAGTCTCCCTTTGTGCATCGTTTGTCTGGGGCTAAGTAGCATAACGCTGCGCCCCACAGCCCCCAAAGAGAGAATAATGATCCAAGCCTCTGCGCAGTCTTTGTCTAAAGCACCGAGCCTTAACACCGCTCGCGCCGCATCAGGATCAACGTCTCCCTCCTGCATGCCGTTGCAAAGTGTGATGCCTTATGACGTAGCTTACTGCAGCAATCGCTTCTTGCGGTTCCCTTCCCTTCATCAGCACAACAACGACACTTCAGATCCCAGCAGTTCTCTTGTTCAGGAGGAGATGGCTTTGGAGGCTTGACGGACTTGCTGCACGGTCTCTAGTGAACGGCCAATGACTAAAGTCGTGGCGTGCAGTGAGGGCTCCACTGATTGGACGCAGGGCATGAACCCATGAATCCGACTTGCAGAGGTGTAGATGCTTCACAAGTGGCTCAGCTCACCAAGGAAACCCTTGCAGCAGGCTACCCTAAACCCTAAAGGCCCTAAACCCTAGGCCCTAAACCCTAAACCCCTAACCCTAAACAACCAAAGCTTGACATCTGCAATAAAATGAAAGAATGTGCTTCCAAAGGCCGATGGTTGGCAGCGCCCACGCTTTTTCTCAAGCCGCAGCTTTACGAAGGGAACGCCTCCTCTGCTCCTCTACTCCTCTACGGCACAACCTCAGCTTGAGCTGCACTTCCGGGCTCCACACTGTGGGTTGGCAAGGAGGCAAAGGAACCAGTCAGGTTTGGACTTGACTAAGTACATGCCGAATCGCCTCCCAACGATTTAGGGCTCCGTCGCGCCGCACATGCCGTGACTGCCAGCGCTGGGGACCATCAACAATCGATTGCAGCGATGCCTGGGGCACAACATTGAGCAGTCAAATTATTCAAACCGATGCCATGACCGACTGGAACGCACTGCCCTTAAAAGCGCTGGAAGCACTTCGCATTGATTTTGAGATATCTTGGGTTGCGGCCTGGTCAATGGCCAGTCGCAGCAGCAAGTAGTCCTCACTTTGCCAGGGTGGCGGCGGCTCCTCTCTGGCAAGCCACTTTACAGTTGCTGCATGTCACGGTTTTGCATGAAAACTGGCCATGCAGAACGCAGTGTATGGATCCTCTGGCTGTGTCGGAGCTGCAGAGGGCGGTTTTGCTGGAAGTGCTGGGCTTGCAAAGCAGAAAGACCACGAGGATTTCCAGTATCCTTAACAAGTGGACAAGACTTAGGCCAAGGTTGTGGATCCCCAAAGTGGTGTCTGCCGCGTGCGCACGCCACATAACGCCACTGGATGGCAAGCTAAGGCTCGCCGTCTAGACTCAGGATCGGAAAGCACACTGAGCCTGAGTTGCCCAAGTGCATAGCCCTGGGTTCACTACTACCTCGGGACAACACATGGAAAGATGATGGACAAAATCTCAGGACGACTCTGCCCACTCAGCGTGCAGTATGCTGCCCGGGTATGTGAAACGTACAGCAAGCCTCCTCGCCTGAGCACAAAGCCAAAGGCTGCCACAAGTGTCACGAGCTCAAAGACATAACAGAAAAAGGACAGAAGTGACATGAAGCCTTCGTCCTTCGGCAACTGCACGACCCTCTGGAGAGGCTTTGGCGACGGCGAAGTGCACGAAGCCAAGACCGCTTACAGCTGGAGATTCCACCAAGTCCTGCATGCAGAAAAATGTCAGAACAATGCTGCCTCACGACTGGTGCCAGCAACCTTTCGCGGCCGAACTCGCTCACGGCATGCGTCCGTCAGGAAATTTCGCTCCAGCTGTGGTACTAGTGGCAGGGGTTCCTTGGCCAATGCCCGAGCAATGACACTTAAACACTGCCGCTTGTATGCTCAGAATATGCTCTCTGCCGGCAAGGTGCTGTCGGGGGCACATAGGCCGAAGCCTCCGGGGCGTGTGGATCCACTCGTAGTGTTCCGGCAACGCGGTTTGCAGTGGCCTCTCACGATACATCCGGCATTGTATCAAGCACGGCGATGGTGATCAGCCAAAGAACTTCCAACCTCTGCATCTTGAAGCAAAAAGCAAACCGAAGAAGTTCGAGTCACCTCAGTCACACACGGCCGCTTTCTGGCAGCCTTGTATGGGGTTGGCAGTTGGCAATCATCGTCTGCATTCCGTTTAAGGCCATGCTGAGTCTGAGTTGCTCGAAGGACCTCCGCCGCGATATCCTCCGGAAGTGACGGGAGCGAGAGCAGGGCCATCTGCGTCCTCTGCGTCCTCTGCTCCCTGCATCTCGTATATTCAATATATTCTCATTTTTATCCTACTTTCGAGGTGCTCTCTGACTGCATCAATATGCCGCCGCCTCAAATAGTACATCAAGGCAGCGAAGGGGACAGCATTGCAAAGGAAAAAGATGAACAGCGCCTTTCCTCCTCAAAAACAAGGTCGTCATTATCGGCACTTCTCTCAGATCGTGATCATCTGCTACATGCTACGCGTATCTTCTGCTGGCCTCGGAATCCTGGCTTGGGGTCCTCTTCTGGGAGCGGCGGCCGTGGGACATAGCCGGCTCCTGGAGCAGAATGCTTGGCACACAATGGCCTGCGTCGGCCTGAGATCATCTTGTGGAATGCCTTCTTTTTTTCCAACCAAGTTTCGCTCTGACAAGGCAGTGAGCGACTCTCCGGGAGCCACTTCTGCCTGCGGAGAGACCTGCACGCAGTGAAGGCTCGGGGTTGTGCCTTGACAACTGAGCTGTCACTGGAGACAGCCCAGCTATGTGACGCCCAACTAACAACTGCCCATGGCCAGCTGAAACTTCCTACAACTATTCGTGGCGTCGAGTTCCATCTTTTCCACATTGCAGCCAAGCAAACCTGTGGGGTCAAGGTTGACATCCGCAAGGAAGCTCCCCTTTGCGGCAAGACACGGCAAGCATGCCGCATCCCTACCATCAACAATAGCCACAGCAACGCAGGCTGCCTTTGCCCTGTCCGCCAAGGTCTGCACGCAAGCGCCGGGCTGTGCAGAACTGTAGCTGCAACATGGCGCCGAGCACGGCCGAGAAGCATGTCTAGACAGGGGGGATGCTGCACGCGCAATGCATCCTGCGTGCTTTCTGGCTTGAGTGCCCGCCACTGTGGCGAAGCTAGATCTCGGTGGCGGGAAAAAGGCACAAGAATCACAAGAACTAGCCGTCTGGTGACATCGTGAAACCTCACACACCGCTTCGTCCACCACGTATGTTAAACCTACTTTAGTGTGACCAGTGTAAAAACTTCATGGCCATGCTTGAGAAGATCGAGCCAAACACACGGACCCATCTCACACCGGATGCTGGTGCCTGAACGGGTTCTAATCATCTGTCTGTTTGGGCATCATGTTGTCCTTCACGTGCAAGTTCTCCGGTAGAACTCCCAACGCTGTGATGACGGACTCCCGCATCAATTCTTCATCTGAGAAGAACCTTATCAGCTTTTAGGGCGTTAATTAGGGCAACTCTGTCATCTCACAAGCTCAGGCCAATTCTGCACAGTGCAAGTCAAACACACATCGTTCATGAACTCGATGGTGACGGAAATGGACCAAACATACGTACGGTGTGAATTAACTGATTCAAGAGAGCCCCTTGCGTGGTCCAAGCGGCATTTGTGCCAATCTTCCTAAGGTCTCGGTTGATGCCACCATGTGCTTGCAGGCTGCAGCCATGGCTGCCTGAGGCAAGCTCCCAGCAAGAAGACACTAGTCAAAACATGACACGCTGTTGTTCCCGTTTCGTTCTACTATAAGGTATAATGAGCTGTGCAAAGACCCCTCTCTCTTGCGTAACTCGTACGCCAGCAGGACACCACATTGAAAGGGCCAAGAGCCGGGAGCGCCTGAGTGCCATGCGCCATGCCGGGCAAGGCCAGCAATACCACACTCAAAGAGTCAAAGACTTCATGGGCCGTCTCCTCGGACACCTATACAGGTGAAAGGCCAGGGGGCTTCTGTCACTCGTTGCTTCATTGTAACACCATGTAACACCACCCCATTTTTTGGAGGGAGTGGATGGGAATGGAACTTGCAAGTCGCCTGCATGCCCAGTGCGAGTTGATGCTCGAGAAGGTGAAGGGCGCGAGTGCACAGGACCTTCGAAGCTGCAGAAGCTGCGGTTGCAGCTTGTGCGTCAAGCTTCTTTCGGTGTTTAGCTGAACGGGAAAGATGACAGCACGGCCTTGTATGACACTACCATACGCTACCAGCCAATACTTTCTGCCGCAGTCGGTTGAGCAATCGATTGCACTTCCCAACCATGCCTGAAGCAAAGAACCACCATCATAGAGAGCACGGATGATGATGGGCAAGATCTGAGATGTCACGTTGATGGAACAGTCAAGCCGTCTAAGCGAACAGCAACACTATTTCCTGGCCGTGTGCCACGCATCATGTCTGTCTTGCATCGCGGGCACGAGTGCCACGGAACAGTTGTCCAACTTCCTGACAGAGTCCACACCATCCAGCACAACCTCCAGTATCTCCAGTGCAAGGACAGAAAACAGCTTGACAGCATGTGCTGCATTCTAGCATTAGCGCCTCACAGACTCGCTCTTTTCCAGGGGTGCCAGCGCTGGCAGGGCTGCGAGCCAGCCAGTGCTTGCCCACAACCATGAGCGCATCCGGAAGGAGGTCGCGCCTTGTCACCATAGACACAAGCCAAAGTCTGCCTTCCCCAACTGCGAGCCAACGCCTGGTGATGCTTTCCCGTGGAACCACGAGGCTCACGAGGCTTCGGAGACACCTCCTTGTTTGCCTTGGGCTGTCATATCTGTCACTGTCATATCTGTCACTGGGTACGCCTGCATTGCAGCTGCTGCAAAAAACAACCCGAGCTTCTGCTTGAAGAGGTTCCCTCCCTCGCGATGAGCCCTGAAAGAACTTATGGGACAGCTGGTCGAAACGGTGATCCTCCCTTCAACCAAGGCAAGTCTCAGCACCGTCAGGGGCGACTGCAACAACTTGAGGAAGCTCGGCACGAGCTCTGGCAGTAGCTCCTCGAAGGCCTAGAAGGTCAACGATCAGCAACTAGGCAAGGAATTGTCCAAGAGTCGAGGGCGGCCGACGGTCAGTGCTCTTTTTGGTAGCCTTACCTATAGTACCTGCTAGACTGAGCTACCAGGTCAATTTGTCCTTATCGTTGTCTTCAGTGCATGATGCCACCCAGGACACTACGACACCCCGCCGCCCCGTCCCGCGGCGCAAGGCTGGCAAACTAACAACAGGATGCACATGCCGACCGTCTGTCGCCACATGTGGGATAAGCAAACTCCATGCAATGGGCGCATCAACTGGGCCTGTGCCGTGTGCCGACCTTGTACTTCTACAGTGTTCAATTTGTAGTTAGAAGGGACATGAAGGGACACAAAATCACTTGACCCGGTGCGGGAAAGACAGAGAAAGAGAGCGAAACGCGGGTCGGTCTCATCCGGCAATGTTCACAATGGAACGCAGCTGTCCAGCAACTGGCTGAGGCCAAAAGAATTAAGGGTGATGTGGTGCGAAACCGATCTTGCACATCTAAGAGTTGGGTTGCTGGAATTATCTCGAAACCTTCCGTTCATCTCGCTACCGCCACGTATAATGCAGGCTCGGACTCCTGACTACAAGTATTTAATGCATCATGAGCCATCACATCCACATATCTAGGACTCTATGCATCGGCACCTCTTTGCTGCTCTCGTTCCTGGACAGGGAGACCATCCTCGGTGTCTTCTAAGTGTTGACAGGAACCCACACCGCGCCGACCGTAGTCTTCGGTATCTTGCTCACATCGATGCTAAAAAGGACAAAGCGAGACAACACAGAGCAATGGACAATAGTTCGGCCCTGCCAAGCAGCACGTCCATCGCAAAGCTCGCTTCGTCCACGTAGCCTACTCTATAACCACGTTCTTAATGTAAAGAGTGGGCAGAGAACGATGGGGACATTCAATGGCATTGCATTGCCCAAGGATGGATCTGCGTGAATCTGCCCCACAAGAGAGGTCGAGGGACATCGGATGCGTGCTCTTGTTTCTGACTGCTCCTGGATCTTTGCCACCTCTATCTGGGCCTGAGTCATTGCCTCGGCACATGCTTCAGGGCATGAAAGAGGCTCGCCCCACCTTGCTGACTCCCTGTCCCATCTAGCAGGCCGCATCTAAGCAAAGCATTCTGAGCTGCTCCCTTCTCCGCCGTGGCTGCGCCCTTGCTCTTGCCTTTTGCGGGCTTTGAGTCTTTTCCATCCTGAAGGAGCAGTACATGCGCAGATAGGAGGGTCTTAGGAGAGCAGACAACCTCTGGCCGACTCTCCGGTCCTTTGCTTTGCTTTCCTTCGCCTTGTCCCCCTCCTGCCAGCACCCGAACCTTGTCCTCACTGCACCTGGGGGCCTGCTGGCTACGAGTACCGGTAGTTGTGTAAGGAGATGGATCAGGTGGCCCCAGTATATACACTCGAACCATGAAGAAGACCGCGCAGTGTTGTGTCCTTGGGCGCAAACTTGAGCCGCGATGCCGAAGGGCCTTGTTTTACCTCCTCCTCCTCGAATGTGCCGAGGTATTTGTTCTTTTGAAGGTTCTTGTTCTCCCGCTCTTCAGCCACATAGACACCCTCCTAGAATGGGGAAGCGACGAGGGTCTCCCACGCATGCAGAAACATGACACGCTGTGTCCTCGATCCACAAGACGCCTTCCGGAGCAAAGTAGATCTTCACGTCCTCACGACGCGCGCATCCCGGGCACAAGTTGCAGGCGACGGCCTAGGCCTCACCTGCTCTGCCCAGGCTTCAAGAAACCTCTCGTGCTACAACTGTCCTCGATTGCTTCTGCACTAACCTTGGCTTGCAAGATACGAAGCCCACGGGCCGCAAGAGCTATGTAAAACTCTACCATTGTGGCAGATCAAAAGGAGGCTATGCAGCGACATTGCCTCACAACCACCCGTGGGCATGCTATGGCATGATGTAGGAAGGGGGACATATGGGACATCTTGCAAAGCCCGGGCACCTGTTCCGTGGGCAACGCAGCCACGCACTCCTGAGCGCAGTGTCTGGACATCACATCCAGGCGCATATTGGAAATATCTACACTACAGGTAAGTATGCTAATTCCACGTGGGATGCTGCTTTGTGCTGCAGCTGATAGCCTTCACAGGACTCGCTGGTTTCGACCAGGCTCGACACCCAAATTCTCTTTGCAGATGCGCGGCGCGGACGAGTGCAGCTGCCTCTTCGTGCAGTGCCGGCTCGCTGCCATCGAAGGCGGAGGCCAAAGAGATGGCAGCCAGGCGGCAGCCAGAGGCATCGGTCCGGGGAAGCTTTCCTTAAATGCACTCACCTCACCCTTTCGGCAGCAGAAAGTGCACAGCGCGGCTTGTCAGGTATAGTGAAATAGCACTGCAAAATGTAACTAAGACTCGGCCGGCACAAATCAAATCGCGGAGGGTTGCCCAAACATTGGAGCTGGCCTTTCAGGGATGAAAGAGCTTCAACAATGCTTGATTCATGTTCCGTAGCATCACAACATCTCAAAATCTCCATGCATTTGCACGGTTTCCGATGCTTCCACAAGATCCCTCGGAGCAAAGTCAATGTTGCTGGCTTTCGCCCTCTTAAACGTCCCTGGACTGGCCGAGCGTCCCTCTGAGACACTGACACCTGCCTTGTCGAAGCATGCTGCCAGTGGGCCCCGATAGCGGAGCCATTTCCAGTACTTCAGCTGCGGCCAGTGCCGCGATCCCAGAAGCGGGTGGTGAGCCGCGAGGCAAAGCCTCACAGTGAGTTGAGTTTACACTCTGAAAACTCAAATTCCCGACCGAATCAACGATCGCATGATTTGCACAAGGCTGTGCTACCTTACCATGTTACCATGTCAGTCGTTGCTGAGAATCGCTTGTGCCGCGGCTATTCAGGTTCACAGTACCATTACCAGTGTCCCGAACAATGATCTCGCAAATCGAGGGTGCATGTAGAGCTATGCTGCTGCCGTGGAGCAAGCCAATGATCTCCGGACGAAGTGAGGCAGCGGCAGCAGCGGCGTGACAAAGATCGACCAGAATGCTTCGCAAGGCTGCGCTGCTCACCTTCAGGGATGCCGTGCGAGGGTTGTGGCAAACTTGTCTGGTGCTGCGCAGTCGCTGAGCCTGCCGTTGTGGCTTCGGCAGGGCAGCGAGCTCGGCAAGCCAAGCGATCAGCGCCTGCTAAAGCGCAGGCTTGAAAAAGAACCGTACCCTCGGCAGGTATTTGGACACCGCACGCTGGAGAGACAACCCCAAATGCCTGTGCCAACAACAGCAGCGTGCTGTCGGTGCCTTTCTCCTGGCAGCGGCAGGAGGCTTCACGAAATCGGTCGCATGATGCCACATGAGGGCAAGGCATCTAAGTTGTTTCACCTGCCGTCTCGGAAGACCAGCCTGCAGCTGCTGAATGATGTCCTTGAGGCTCAGGAGCTGACTCGGCTTCTCTGCCTGACAAGCAAGCCCCCGCAACTCGCATGCTGGGCTGAACCACGCATGTCAAAAACTGTGGGATTGCATGGGAATTTCGTCATACTTTGCTTGTCCCTTGCAAGCCTTATCGGGTTTGCTTCTTCCTCATCGCAAAGCACATCCTAAAAAAGCAAAGCCCAACCACGTCGTTGAATTCTGTTCCCTCTCACAAAGGGACCTGGCAAACCTAGACGCAATCAACTTTTCGTATTATACTTTGCATCTCCCATGTGGTACTTGTTTCTTCCAATATGTGGCCTGCGACATCCTGCGACCACTCGAAACAGTCCGCCCAAAGACCAAGTTGATCCAAGTTGCCTCCGACTCGTTGAGGCTACGCTCAGGAGAGGTGCTATACAAGCCTCACAGGGCAGGCTCAACGTTGCCGATCTCGTCGGAAGTCTTTGGGCTCTTCACATGAACAAAAGGTTGTGCCATGAACAGCTGTGCCACACAGTGCGATGTTGAGCAAAAATCGGCAATCGACCTGCGAGGAGTACAATGGTGCTTCGGGCCACTGGCAGTGCCTCTCCGAACCTGCCGGCTGCAGGTGCAGGAATTGGCGGAAGCGAATCGGACCTACTGTGGCGAACAGGCATCCAAGTCCCCGGCGGCTTTGGTGGCAAAGCTAGCCAGGGTATGTCTTTCGCAGCATCATCAACAGATGGGCTGCCAGGAACTCGGCCTGCCAGTAGTGCTCGCCAAAGTTGTGCCTCGGCACAAGGGAGCCGGCACTTTACTGTCGTCAAGATTTGCGTGCCCCCTCTGGCCTGAGAAGATAGCTCCGTCATGGGTGCTTTCTGGATCGTGGGAATTGCATTCAGGAAGGAGACGCCTTCCTGGCAAAAGTGCAAGCTCCCCGACGCAGTTGTTTCATCGCCGTGCGTGGCATTGAGAGTGAAACTCGGTCCTTGATCAAGCTAAGCTGATCCTTCTTCAGCTTGGAGCTCAAGGCTTCTTCGTCGGCCTGCGCCACCAATCTGTGATTCGCCAACCAGCTCAGCTCATGTTGCGGCCATGTGCGCGCCGGCCTTCGCCAATGATCCAATGGAGGCCCAGGCCAAAAGACTCTGCAGCCGCTGTGCAGGCTTGGTGGCGGCCAGAGTCAGCAAAGGCAGAGCCTTTCAGATCGTCGTGGCACAACATCTTCGCCAACACCTTTGTGAAGTCGTGAAGTCTTGCCACGACCCACCCCGAGCCTTGTCCACAAAGCTGCCGGCCCAGGACCTGGAGATTCCTGCAGGGAATAGGGGCGCGCAGTTCTCAGCGCCTTGATAAGCAAAAACGCCGCGCGAGATCAATGTGCCTTCGCTTTGTTGCGTCACCTGCGCCATGGCTGTCAGCGCAGCCAAACGTGCGCGTTCTGGTGCCTTCTTGTCAGCCAGTGGCTTCAAAAGCTCAGCCACAACCTGGCCAGGGACAATCGAGCACATAGCACATAGCACCGCGCCGACTACGCTAATCTCTTAAAGGTCTTACGTGGCAGCTGCGACTCAGCACTGACCAAGTGTGCCTGGTCTTGCGCTGACACGGGGAGAAGCACGGCCAGTGCACCCAATGCTGTGTAGGCCAAGAACCGTGTCCTTGGACCGTGATGCTAAAGGCTTCTCGTTCTGGTTTGCGGGATGTACCGCATGCAAAAACAGAGGGCCGGTATGTACCACTTGGACCTTTCTCTGACAAAATGTAGAAGAAACCTTGATGGCTGGGCCCGTGCTGGCGCTAAGCGTCTCTTCATTGGCATCCTCGGCAGCAACTTTGATGAGCGGCCCTTTGGGATCCTTAGTATCGGAAGGAGGTCCTTCAAGAACACTGCTCTACTCTACTGCCCCATTGGACAATGGTTGGGCGTGTTTTAATCAGAGGCCTGCAACAAAAATTGGCTTCGGCTCTCGAGGTCAAGTTTGCCCATGGGCGTTTCCTCGCTGCTTTACCTTCTTCGGTCTCGGGTGAGCTCCAGGCGTGTGACATGGACTTTGCGCTTGGCCTTACCCTGCACTGTGGAAGACCTTCATGCCTGACGCAGGCCATGCTTCTTGCCAAAACATGGCATGGTGAAAGCTTCTGTATCAGATGGGCACGCAAGTAGCTCTGGAACTCGTGGAGGCGAGTGGGTTGGAGATTTAAGTGAGGGTTCTTGAGGCGCTGGTGTGTAGCAACTCGCGCCCTGCATGTTTGCTCAAGATCCCAGATGCTGCTTGCGCTATTTCGCAGCTTTGCACTGAAGTTTATGCACCGATCCAAGTTCCACCTGAAAACGTTCCAAGTAACAAGGATGCAGCCGAATTTCGATCAACTTTGCAACTGCCGTGACTTCCTCCTGCTTGGGCAAATGGCTGGCAAGCCTTGGTGCCGATTCTAGTCATAATCAAAGCACGGGCAACAAGAGGGGAACCCATGGCAGTATGTCATGCTGCGCCTTCTGAATGGATGTTGGGCCAGCATGCCTTTTCCAGCTTTGCCGCCGGGAGTCTTTGTTGAGTCAAAAGCGCACAAGGCTGACGGCACGTGACAGTCGACTGCACGGCAACTGTTTTAAAGCCCCCGGAGTCAACTCACGGGCGCTCGGCAAATTAAGTGGAGTGGAGAAGCTCAGAAAGAATGAACATAATCGCAAGTGAACGTGCCTTTCGCAGTCCGGTGGGTCTCACATGGTCTCACACAGCATCCGACGACAGGAGCTGTGAGACGGGGATGCCTTGCTGAATGCATCGCATGTAGTGATAAATGAAGTCACCCATGATCAGCAGCTGGACGAGCTGCGCGCACACGACCCAATTGCCAACGAAGGCCTTGATGTGATGGTTTGGGTCTGACAGCTCGCTGAAGGAGGAAGCCCAAAAGATGAAGGACATCACCTTCGCCAAGGCCTGTGCCGCAAGGAAGTGGGAAGTGTGCTCCTGGGCGCGGCCCTCCTTCATGAACATAAAAAGCTGGCACAAGACGGCCACTGACTCCAGGTACAGCGCAAAGGCCCAGCCGATGTCCGAGGGGAGGAAGCCGTTCAAGTTCGGATGGAAGATCAAGGACAAACCCAAGGCCCCAACACCCAGGTACAGGTGCTGGAAGGTGTCCGTCTCGGGGTTGTAGCTGGCCGCATACTTCACGCGGCAGAAGTACACCATGGTTCCAGCGAGGCAGAAGCCCAGGGCTTCGCATGTCTGGTAGAACCAGTCACCAGACTTGTCAAATGGCAGGTAGCCTTCGAAGGGGATGATTGCACAAAGCCGAAAGAAGAAAATCACCAAGTAGCACTCCATCATTTTCAGGGAGACTCCTTTGCAGGATCGTCCGATTTCCATCTTCAAGGCCACCATCAAAAAGCTGAATGTGCTAAGCAGGGACGAGAGGGTCAAGAGGAATGAGAAGTCACCGCTGGACACCAACATGAAGACAATAAACGCGATGACGGCAAAGCCGGCCCAAATCTTGAAGGCCTCGCTTTGGGAGTACTTCATCATGTAGGCCTTCAGCTTCTCTGGGTCCTTCAATGTGTCCATGCTGAAGCTCGGGCCGTGCTTCTTCTCATCCATGGCTCGTGTGCTCTTGTCTACAGCGGCTCTAAGGATATTAAAAAAAATCTGTGCCCCTGAAGCCTTGCAAACGTCAGCGGAAAAAATGCACCGTCTGCCACTGGGCACGAGGAATCACTCCATGTCGGCAAGCTTGCGCATATGGAGTACGCAAAACATGCAGACAAGTGGCTCGGCAAGAGCTTGTAATGCTGCCTGCCATGTCGAATCAGCTGACAGAACCCCGGGCATCTGCTTGGCCTAGTGAAGATGGAAACTGATGCCTGCTTCTCATCCACCTTTCCAGCTTTCTTTGCCAGCTCTGCCCAGGACTGCAAGGGGAGGCCAGCATCAGCCATGCACAGTACGCCACAGCGTGACTTCACACGCGGTCTGTCTCTCTAGGAAATACTGACTGCTGGCTTGCTTTGCCATTACTTGAGTCACTGTCATCATTCTACGCAAGAAGCGCATCTGTGGCCTCAGCAACAGCTACCAGCGCTGTCAAGTCGGCCGACTTTGCTACCACATCGCGGACGAGCTGTCGGCCACTCAAGCGTTTCTCCTGCACCACCGGTGAACTTTTCTCCGACGGTTCCTCTTCTCATTGCAAATTCCACATTTCTTTGCCCGCACAGTTGCCTTGTCTTTGAGTCTCTCGGGAGCCAGATCTAGCAGCTCCTTTGCTTGAGATGAAAGATCCAGCTTTGCCTTGTTCACCTGCACAGGGCAGGTATGAGCCCGGAGCTACAATATGCTACAAACATGACTTGTGCAAGGTGACGGAAGCGTGTGGACTTCACTGCATGCATTGACTTGGAACATGTCTCACCATGGCAGGGAAGGATGTTGCGCTGGCTGCCGGCTGTCGTTTCCTGAGGACAGGTCATCACTTATCACTAATCTCCGCACCACAAGATTTTGCCAGTATTCCCCAAACAAGCACATAAGGTTCACCACCTTGCTACCATGCATCACGCACCCCTGTCCATATAAAGTTGCAGGTGTGGGGGTGGGGGGTGGGGGTTGAGGCCTAGACTAAGCCGTGTTTCATGGAGGTTCCACATGCAAGCTTGCAAAGGCGTGTTGTGCTGTTTCTGCGAGGCTTGCCAGAGCTTGCTTCGACTGCGTTCTTCCCCACGGTCCTGTGGAGTACCGGTCACGAGTACATCGCATAAAACCGCGTAAAGAACCGACAACACATCTCAGGTGAAGAGCAACGGCACTGTGGGAGGGATGCTTTCCCGGACTGGTGATCGGACGAAGACCAAAAATGACCGAAGCGGTGCGCGTGTGGCGAACCGGAAATACTGCGAACGCGACTAAACAGTCCGCAGGCAACCGACATGCGACGGCGAACTCGGCCACGACAAGCAATTTGGCTATACGTGTGCGTCGAGGCCAGAAAGACTGAAAAATGAATACTCTGCTTACATTTGCCCGAATCTGCCCCACTTTCCAGCGGCTTCTGAAATGGCGGTAATGTGTAGGTGCAGAACAACGAAGGCTAACACCTGGCCTGACACGAATGTGCTGCTGAGCCGCATCATCCGCATAGCTGTTGGTAGGAGCTGCTTTTCAAACTCCTCTGCCGGGCTTCAATTCAACAGCAGAATCCAAAAGCACCTCCGCACCCGGCCTCCGCGCTGGCTCCGCTAACTGCCGGACCCCATGCGGCGAGGCCTCATGCTGGATGGACTTGTATGACACCGCCACGAAGGCATCGAGCATGGCTCGTAGGACTGACTGCTACCTGTTAACTATAGTTACGCATGCCACGCATTTCATGTTGCTGCCGCTTGCTCTCCGCAGTAAACCAACTTGTTTCGGCAGCTTGGTAGCTTTCCGGCGCATGACCGCATTGTAGGTATGAAGCATGCTAGGATTCTTAACCCAAGCCGGCGGCTAAACTCGGCCAATGGCTTCTTGGCCTCCAGGACCTGGGTTGCAAATCTGAGACGCAAGGATGGGCTGATACATCTCATGCACACGTGTTTTTGTTGCTTCCAGTCTGGTGCGTGTCACCGGGTGATCTGAGACGTACCTACAAAAATATAACACACACACACACATATACATATATATAATTGCATTTAATTGTGGCATATGTCCTGCTACATGTCCACTAGTTGCCGACAGCGAATGGCAACCACCTCAGTAAACCACCGCGAGACACGTCGGCCATGTGCCATCTGAAGGGCATGTTTCGTGTAGAGCTCCATCAAGGCAGCACGATCAACACCCTCACTGGTGGTAATGGCGGCGACCAGCAGTGCCGGAGGGTCCTGGTCGACTTTTCGATTGGCGAGGGTGGGCTCAATGTTTCTTTTGGATTCCAACTCAGGAACAGAACGATTCTATGCCTTGCAGCGCCAGTTGCCTCCTGTATTCTGGAACATCCCCACGTCCCTGCGTGTCAGCATCTGCGAGGCTGTCCTCAGCCTTCTTCAGGAAGGCCAGCGCCCAAGGTATTGCAACCTGCAGACCAATGACAAGACAGGAAGTTGCGGCTTGGGTGACACGTCCCTTCTGACCATGATCTGCAAGTTCTGCCATGCCACAACGACATGACGGAACCTCCGTTCCTACATCCCTGACATCCGTGAACCAGCGGTGGCAGTTTCAGGCTTTTGACTCGAACATGCTCGCGGCCTCACGAGTGGCGGCCAAGACCTTGCGCAGGGCCCGTGTTGCCTGGAGACGTCAGGCGCTGGTTGCACACAAGGACACGAGAGCTTAGCCAACAAAGCGGCGCCCTCCGCATGGCTGTGTCATCATTGCTTCGCATGTGATGGATGAGAGTCGAAAGTGGAGGCCTTGAGCTGCCACCTCTGCTGCCATCGGAGACATTTGCCCATCTCCGCGGCCAGCGTCTCCAACAAGGATGTGATCACCTGGCGCTCTCGCATCCGGTTTTTTAGGCGAATGAGTCCATGGTTCTGGGTTCATGTCCGGTTCTGGTGCCTCAGGCTTGAAGGCGCCTTCCTTTGAGATGCTCTTCAAAGCATTGCTCGACTGGAGCCAGCGCAGGAGGTACTGCAGCAGGAAGACCTCGTGGCAGATCTTTGCATTGGAAACTCAAAGATGTCACCCCCCCCCTCCCGCAACAAGATCGGGGCCCGAATCGCAACTGGGGTCCGTGCCATGACTCTTGGCTTGAACGCTGGCTGTGCTTTGGCCTCTTGTCATCTCTAGCAAGACTTTCGTGTGTATTTGTTGCTGTGTGCTACATTGTGCCACTGTAGTGACGACCTCCGCGCCTCCTTTTTGAGCAGCTTGAAGAAGAAGGCCTGCACATCTGCCTTGCTGGCATCCTCGTCATAGGCTCGAACAGCCAGGCCTGCACAACGGACAATCGCTTTGCCTCAATGACATGTCAATCATGCACGCGTGACGCCAGCCATGTGGAACTCACAACTATTACCAGCGTGTTGCTTTGGGATGTTCTGTCATGTTTTCTCAGTTGCTGCTTGTTCAGAAATCTCATACCACATTGAGTTCTGGCACAGCGGCCTGCTCTTCCCAGCAGCTCCAAGCAGGGGAACTGGAGCTCCCTCAATGCAACAGTGGCATGATGGCACAACGATCCGCCGATCGGCATCAATCAAGGTCAGGACGACGATGGACAAAGCAAAAAATGTACTGCGGCACGGTAAGTATGAGCACGCTAGGTTCATGCAACAGGACACTTCTACTAGCAGTCGATCGCAGCGCCACCTGGACTTGTGCATGTGGGACACATGTGTATTTCTCCAAGCTTCGGCTGCGCAGCAACACGTGGAGATGCCACCGAGCAGACGAAGGTCAGGACCGCTTTGCACAGGTCCGGAGGAAGATCTTTCCCTCTTTCCTGAGCTGCCCTGCTTTACATTTGGGACTGCTTTTACCTCGCAGTTGTCGCGCACAGCTTTGCGACATGATTCGTATGTCAACAAGAAACTCCAGACGTTGCGTGCTCTCAATGTGGTGCAATCTGCGCCTATAAGGATACTCAATCTGAAGCTGAAAAATTAAGACTCGTACCCTGAGGTTGTACCCCCTAAAGGTTCCCTTTAATATACTCCTGATATGGCCTTATACTATCCTTATACTGCCTTAGGAATCTTAAAAAAGGGTCCCGGGACCCAAGGCTACCACCTTAAGGGTCCAAGGTATAGAATCCCATGATAAGCCTTAAGCCACGGCATGCCACGCCCTGGCCCTAAGCAAGTCGCAGCGCCCTTCTCGGAGAGCTCTTCAATCGCCGCACGGCAGCGTGCAGGAAAAGCCGAGGGCAGCTCCTGCGCCAGCGACTTCACGAGCCTCGGAAGCCATGTGCGCTGGTGGTGTGGACATGTGTGGACCACTGTGTGGACATCTACTTTGGGCATGATCTCGCGCGACCAAGCTGTTTGGCCACCCGCCTAGCCACGCTTAGTGCGTTAATAGGCAACCTGTAGGTAAAAAAACAGTGGACCCCGGCGTTTCTGAAGTACTGGCCGAGGAGCGCCAAGAATTGCGCATCGCTCAGGGGCATCCAGGCTTGAAGCCCGAGGACAGTGCTCGACCGATCTACGCCACGATGCAAAACTGTGAGCAGGCTGCAGGGAAGCTTGCGGCTGCAGGTCATGGGCGGAGTTGAAACACAAAAGTGTCGACTACCTGAAGGCCATGCCAGCAGCAACTGCTCACAAGCAAAGAGTTCGCCCGAGTCACCTGTCGTGCTGGCGGTGGTCGCTTCTTCAGGACTTTGGCCGCACGGCGCGCGGCTTCCTGGACCTCGTATTGTGTGTTTCCGTGAGCTTCTACCGCCCCTAAAGTTCTACCTCAACGACCTTCTCAGAAACGGCCGCAGCACTTCTATTCGAGGTTTGTCTCAAAATGAGGTCCTTGCGAGCCGCCGTTCTGCATTGTGCGTATGTCGGTACTTCTTCAAATCCGCGTGCACGCAGACCCGTGTGCAAAGGACGGCACTTAAGCATTGAACGTCTACAGGCATGACGAGACTAGTCATGCAGGAGATGTCAATCGGCATTTATGTCAAAGCCCGGCTATGCTGCTTCTCAATGGTCTTGTGACGACCCCTCCCCAGCTGAAAGCTTAACCGAGCAGGAGTCAGCTCAGCCGGGATCAGTAGACAAGATGTGAGGCTACAGTGTAAGGCCATTCTTGATGCAAGATCAAGGCCTGTTCCTTCCACCACGGAGTGCTTTCCTTTGCTTCGGCAGCCTGTGCACGAACAATATGACATGGGACGGTGGGACAGGTGGGAGGCTACCCAGTTCTGTGATTCTCAGTGGCAGCTCACGCAAGCGCCCTTCTTCATCACACAAATCGGAGTACTTTTTGCCCATGTTGACTTACACCATGCGGCGGCTCTCGCATTCATCGGAGAGCCATGCCACGCAATGCAAATTGCCTCTCGCGAGAGGTTGGCCAATCTTTCACCCTGGCACCTGGCGGGAGACGGGGCGCTGTCCCCCCAGAACTTTGTCAGGTTTGCAGAGTGCTTGCAGACTGCTTTCGGCAGCGCTTTCTGAGATGCCAACTGGGCTGGTCTTGCATACCACGCCATGCCTTTCTTTGGAGGCTCTCTGCTGCCTTGGTATTATCAGACTTGTCACGGTACATCCTGCGCTGGTGAGCGCACTTCAGAAAACAAGTTGGCTAGAAAACGAAGGCTGAGACCGTAGTCACAGGTCGACCCGTTGAACGCAAACATACGCGTGGCCAGTGGGCCAGGCATATACAGTGCTGGATTGTTCTTCAACGCTGCGGGATGCTCTGCGGGAAACTTGAGCGGGCATGTGCATGTGAAGCTTGAGCTGTGCCGACACAAGGTGTGCAAAGCAAAGGTCCGACATCTCTCAAAGCAATTGTAGTTCGGAAACTAACGTGGAACTAAATCGCCACATCTTCACAACTTTATAGTATCTATGTCATACTTAAGAAAGGGGAATTTGGGATGGTGCGACATGCACACTCCTGACAGGGGGTGATTGAGGCCTGCGAACCCCGAAACAAACACCAAAGCGGAAACGTTCCTCTCACCACAGGTGTGCACCTGAATGAGCTCAGTGGGTGATAGGGTAGAGCGGAGGGTGGGGTAGTTCGATGCAACGCTTAGCATCAGCCAGTGACGAAGGCATGGAGACGGCAAAAGTTAAACCGAGCAATAAAACAGCAACCACACTGGTACGTTCCAATCATGCTCTCCTTCTCTGCGTCCTACAGGTCTTGGACACTTTTTTCTTCTGCCAGGCTTCTGGGTGTGCATCACTTCTTGCTCTTTTTTGCTGCTTGAAAGCTTCTCTTCTGCTGACAGTTTTCTTTTCCTGTGCTGGATGTGTTTGCAATGTTTCTTCTGCTGGTACCCTCTTTTGGGGGAAGGGGGGCCGGGCAGGGGACCATAGGAGCCAGGGGAGCCAATTGCATCTCGTCAGGCTGGGGGCCGAGTAGCAATGAAACAGCTCTGAGGCCAGCGCTAATCAGGGTAAAGTTCTTGGGGTACTCCTGTAGCGTCGCTGGTCGCTCGCACAGGGCCTGCGCCAGTGGCTAAGTTACTGATAGAGTTCGAGTTCGCCTGTCTCGAAAGAAGAAGTCCGGCTTCTGCGCGTGGGCGTTGGATGTCATAAGGTGTCAGGCGCATACCCTTCCATGCCTCGAAAGTTACCTGAAGAGCTAGCTCATTCTTGTGAGCCGCGTCCTCGGGGGGGGCCGGTGGACGCAACTAGCACATGGAACCTCGGCTCTGGTGTTCTGGGACCTCTGGGGGTCACACGGTGTAAAGGGCCACTTGCTTTGCTGGGCAAAGTGCTCCAAGAAAGCCGGAGCCTTAGGGCAGCTTTTGCTACAGGAGACCCCCTTTGTTCCAGCACGTCTGCATGGCAAAGTGTGTTGCCTACACCTGGGATCCATAACTGCAAGCAGTCTTGTTTCAACTGCGAGTGGGCATCATCCGCATGCTGAGCACGCTGGCCAACATATTGCCTGCCAAACGTGGGTGCAGTTCGGCATGTGGGGCTTACTTCTGACCCCAGCTTGCTCAACAAGCGCTGCCAGATTTACCTCAAATAAAAACTGAGTTGCTTTATGCTTTAAACTGTTTCGCCGATGATCTCTGATGAAGATCTCAACGGACACAAAACGTCAGATTCAATCGTCAGCGGCTTCGGTCGGTTCGGAAGCGTGCCAAGCTCGGCCACCAAAGCAGATCTCCCCAACGTCGAGCCTCGCCCGCGCGAAAGCAACAAACGCATTTGACAAGCCACATTCTACAGCCCCAGCATCTGCAGCGCTGGTCACTTTTCGATAACACAAGCTGCCCTTCGGTGGGCTCCCAAACCGTCTGGAGGCCAAGCACCTCACATCCTGGACTGCTGGACTCCTGGATCCTTTGGTTCTTGAGGGCAAGGTTTGGGTTTGCTCATGAAGAACCCCGAGACTCTTACAGTCGTGGGGTCTGTGTGACACAACACCCGAGAAGCCACAAGGTTTGTGTTGAACCTGCTTACGTTTGGAACAGTGCGCTGCGGCTTGTTCATTTTGTTGCGCAAGCTGTCTTGCAATTCTAGCGCCTCGTGCACAGTCCAGGATGCTCCGTTCAACGCACGCCATTGTCTTTGGACAAGGCGCTGCTAATGGATAGTAATGGTGAGACCGTATGCCTTGCCCCGTGCATGGCACACTTGCCCTAGTCCTCTAAATGCGCATCGCACAAAAGAGACACGTTTGTTGAAAAGTTCTAAGCCTTATATGGAGGCCAGAGCACCTGGTGGCGCCTTCACTTCGGAGACGCGTGGCTTGCATTTACTAGCTATACCAAAAGCCTGAGGCAGCTCCATCTGAAATCAGTACACCGTGCCAAGCTTTCGATACAGCTGAACGTTGCACTCGCTTTCTTGAGGCCACCCCCTATCATCTAAAATAATTGGGCTTAGTAAGTTTCCCGAGTTTGTTGTTGGGGTCGCAGTCCAAAGCTTTGTGGGGTTTTCTCGTTCCCAAGTCTTTGGCTGCAGTCTGAGGCACATGCTTTCTTCAGCTGACTTCAAAAAGGCAGGCCTTTGCGGTCCGAGTTGGCTTCAGGCCCGGAAGGCAAAGGTACCTTCAGGCCTCCCCAAGAGGCGGATTCAAGGCCCTGGGGTTCCAGAAAGCTTCGAGGGAGCCAGGGCCCAGAGAATCCAGGAAGCTAAGCCCAACCAGCTCCATCTAAAAAGCCTTTGCCGGATAGTTGCCTTGCGATACGAAGCCAGGATGATACGAAACAAGGCCCCAAACAGTTTTCGAGATGGGTAGCTCCCAGCCCGACTCGGCGCCGTAAGCTTGTTGGATTACCCGCTATAATATCAAGGTGCGGTTTTGACGGGGTGCACAGGAAGGCAGGAGTAACTGCAGGCCTTGAGGGCCCTAAGGCCCTCAGGCGTCAAGAGCCTTCCTCCCCTGAAAATTGTGCGGGGCGCGCTGGAGGATGTTTTCCGAAAGGTGTGCCAGCGTTGCTGGGGGCTAGGTGTCCCAGAGTGCGGGTTTAGCGAACCCGTAGCGGCCCAACTGAGCCACACCCCGGACAGAATCTGTGTAAGGGTACTCCAGGCTGGCATTCAAGGATCAGAAAACGACAGCATTTGGTTCTTCATGTGTGACCTACTGAGGATCCTACTGAAAGCGAGTGCAGCATTGATTCGTTGACTAAGCCTCTTCTCGCACATCAGCATCTGCTGGAGGCGCGCCTCGAACAGCCAGGGCTGAACTCTGCTTGCTGTCGATGTGTGTTCTGCGCGCGCTGTTTTGACGTGGTTGCCAAGGTGCACAAGGCATTGCTGCATTTTGAAAGCATAATCTGGCCGGTGATCGTGGAGATGATGACAGCCTCGCCGGCAAGGGGCTGGGATTTTTTCCGTAGTTTTTTTTCCGTTTTTTTTTGTGTTTTTTTTCTGGCTTGCTGGTCGGGAACCTCTTGGCTTCCCCCCTCTGTCGAGGGGGTACTGAGCCCTCGCGCAGCCCAAGCGGGGGGGGTTGGGGGGGGGCGCAGCCCCCCCCCATTTGCAAACTCAATGCTTGCATGATGAGTTTGCTTGCATGATGGGTTTCAAGATTCACATGCTTTGAAAGAAGCTAAAAAACGGGGTTTAGGGTTTAGGGGGGCTTAGGGCTTAGGGCTTAGGGTTTTAGGGTTTAGGGTTTTAGGGTTTTAGGTTTTTTAGGGTTTAGGGGTTTAGGGGTTTAGGGGTTTTAGGGTTTAGGGGTTTAGGGGTTTAGGGTTTAGGGGTTTAGGGTTTAGGGTTAGGGGGTTCAGGGTTCAGGGTTCAGGTTCAGGGTTCAGGGTTTAGGGTTTAGGGTTTAGGGTTTAGGGTTTAGGGTTTAGGGTTTAGGGTTTAGGGTTTAGGGTTTAGGGTTTAGGGTTTAGGGTTTAGGGTTTAGGGTTTAGTAAGGTGTTCCCATGGGTTTTTCCAATAAGGTTGGTTCCAATATGCCCTTAGTAAGGTGTTCCCATGGGTTTTTCCAGGGTTTAGGGTTTAGGGTTTAGGGTTTAGGGTTTAGGGTTTAGGGTTTAGGGTTTAGGGTTTAGTAAGGTGTTCCCATGGGTTTTTCCAATAAGGTTGGTTCCAATATGCCCTTAGTAAGGTGTTAGGGTTTGGGGTTTAGTATTTAGGGTTTAGGGTTTAGGGAGGTGTTCCCATGGGTTTTTCCAATAAGGTTGGTTCCAATATGCCCTTAGTAAGGTGTTCCCATGGGTTTAGGGTTTAGGGTTTAGGGTTTAGGGTCTAGGGTTTAGGGTTTAGGGTTTTGGGTTTAGGGCCTAAACCCCGAACCCTGATCCCCAAACCCTAAACTCTAAACCCTAAACCCTGGACCCTAAAACCAAAAACCCTAAACCCTAAACCCTAAACGCCTTTCCTTGCTTGCTTCCTTGCTGTCCTGCTCGCTTGCTTGCTTGCTTGCTCGCTTGTTGCATGCTTCCGTGCGTGCTTGCTGTCTTGCCTGCTTGCTTGCTTGCTTGCTGTCCTGCGCTTGCTTGCTTACTTGCTTGCTTCCTCTCCTGTGCTTGCTTGCTTGCTGTCCTGCGCTTGCTTGCTTGCTTGCTTGCTTGCTGGCTGGTCCCCCTGATTGTTGGCTTGCTTGCTTGCCTAATGTGCTGTGATTGCTTGCTTACTTGCTTGGTTGGCCCCCTAGCTTGCTTGCTTGATTGCCTGCCTACTTGAATGCCTGAATGATGGCTTGCTTGATTGATGGTTGCCTGCTTCCCCAGCTGTTTGCTTGCTTGCTTGGTTGCCCACTTGCTTGCCCACTTGCTAGCCGGCTTGCTTGCCTGCTTGATTGCTGGCTTGTTTGCTTGCTTGCTTGCTTGCTGGCCCGCTTGCTCGCTCGCTTGCTTGCTTGCTTGCTTGGTTGCTTGCTTGTTTGCTTGCTTGCTTGCTTGATTGCTTGCTTGCTGGTACCGTTGCTTGTTTTCCTTGCTTGCTTGCTGGCTCGCTTGCTTACTTGCTTGCTCGCTTGCTGGGCCAGGCGGCCGGAAAAAAAAACTACAAAAAAAAACGGAGAAAAAAAACACGGAAAAAACACCGCCACCGCCGGCAAGCATTCAGCGTCAGGAATAATTACTCAGTCTACTGTCAGATACTGTCAGGAGTTGCTGAAACAACTGTTCATGGAATCGACGCAAAGCTTGCCGCATATGTCAAGAAATGCGATCGAAAGAACGCGGTGCCAGACTGCGCGCAAGTGCGTGCATGTGCCGCCAAAGGACGATCGCCAACACCAGGAATCCAGGTCGCAGCGTCGAGTCCACGTCAAAGCACGTGACGCCGCCTGCAACATCTCCGCACCACTTCAAGGCCTTGAACTGTCAACTCTCCAACTGAGTGGAGTGCCTGGCAGCTTGTCCGCCAAGGCTGTTTTCGCAATTGCTTGATTGATGGCGTCCTTAGTGCCAATGGGTGGAGTCAGCTGGGGACTGCTCAGGCCCACCGATTCATATTCTGGCTCATGCAGTCGAGACCCCGCACCTAGGACCTCGGCCTAGTTGCGAGGACAAATTTCGTATCATGATGTATCATGGTCCTGAGGTCCGGGCACACTTGTCGCCGACAATGAACTTCGCAAACTCCCGGAGCTCCAGAATCCCCGCCAAGATGGTAACACAGAACACATCCAGGCCACTCCTCGTATCGAGAGGTGTTGTGGATCATGCTATGGGCAGGCTTGAGCTCAACTGGGGTGCTTGCCAGGCATTGAAGACCTGTGCTGTCAGAAACCACTGCTTCTGCATTCGTCTGGTCATTGGGGCAGTCCAGAGAACCAGCAGAATCCTAAGCTGATCAGGTAGGGGTTCCATGATGTTCCATGCACTTCACATGCACCTGACATAATTCATGCAACACCCTGGTTGCATTGGACTCTTGTGATGCGCTTCTTGTGGGCAGAGGGCACGTGGTACGCAACCACGACCAGAATCGTGAACAGGAAGTAAACTCCTTCAGCTCAAAGCTGAGAGAGTAGTGATTGCAATGATTAGAGCTGGCTACATCTGCACGAGCTGACGGTCCTTGAAGGATCAGGATTCCGGCACCTGGGAAGCGTCAGCTTGCAGGTGCGAGCCCAGCGCGTGTGCCCGTAAGGTCGTAAGGTCTAGCTCAGCTTTTGGAGACTGGGCCGCGTCTAATGAGTCACTTTTGGCCCGCAAGCCCTCACACCACAAGGCTAACACAGGCAAACAAATTTCGGGGTACTAATGCACTCGCAGATGCAAGCATGGTTTTTGCACTTCTTGATGTTTGTCGGTGGCATGTTGGAAAATCTCCCAGGCGAACAGGACTCCAAAACGCGAGCCACATGCAGGGCCGTCGATACATGCTGTTGCCGGGGGTATGACAACATGTCAGTGATGTTGGCCAAGCGGCTGCCCGGCTCCAGAGTACTGCTCTGCATCATTGCACCTCCAAGGAAGGCCACGTGACGCCACGTGCTGTGACAGTCAACACAATCTGTTTGCGCACTTGGACGGCAGCTCTTGCATGCTGATGTCTTGACTTCACGAACTTTTGCAGCAGAGAAGCCCAGGCTGAACACTGAGAATGGACGGTGCCGTTCCTTCATTCTGGAAACGGGCTGGTTTCGACATGTGCGGCCTTCGATTCACGAAAATTTCGTCAGGGAGGTTACAGGAATACAATACCCGGTGGCCAGGTCAACATGCAGGGAACAATGGCTTCATGACAGGATTCGAGCAAGGTTGCAACGGGTAGGTTCTTGAAGTGGGGGGAGGAAGCCGACCCACTTACAGCGGTGTTCGTTCGGGTGTTGCATGTTGATGCGTCCCACAACAAACGAAACAGACCTGAATCCCGATAGACCCTGGCACGCAAAGTCCTCTCCCAGGGCATAGCCGGCCAGGCCGAGGAAATTGAAATTGAACGTCTCGAGGAATGTGCCGCAAAGAACCAGCCTGTCTCTACCAGCTTGCCATTCAGTAACTTGCCATGTATGGACGGCTCTTGGACAGATCTTGTCTTGTCTTGCCGGGAGACAGCAGGGACACGCTGATGGCAACTGTCGGGCCATGCACATCCGTGCCATTGCTGCACAGGACGTAGCACAACCGGCGCTTGTCGTTGTCCTGTGCGGGGCATGGCAGACGCTGCGTCATCAGAGGCAGTCAAGGCACTGGACCATTAACCATGAGCTGAGCGCACATTGCAGGTATATCCAGCACTTGCCTCATCGACTCCGAACTCGCCCAACTTGTGCGCGTATCGGTGGCACGCCGTCGTCAAATGGCCAGCAATGAGGGAGCAGAAGGTCGCGGCAAGGAAAGTACTTAGTTTACAAATGAAGACAGCACAGGCGCTGGAGTCAGCGGAGTGCAAAGGCCCGGACTATGCAGGCAAGGTGCTAGAAACCAAGGTCCGGCTGCACATAGACATTGAAATTTGCATCATCTCCAGCCTCTCGGAAAATGTCCTGAAGCAACCCGGATCCATCGGCAGCCTCAGACAAATATCTTCAGTCTTGCTGAAAATTCTTGGGCCTGTGCACGAGCCTCCGAGCGTGCACCCCAAGCGGCTCGTAAGTTAAATCGGAACGCAACCATGCAAAGCACCATGAAAAACCTTGGCTTGATGTTTCCACATGCTTTGAGACAGTGATGAAGGAGGCCATCATGACTCCAAAACGTGTGCGAGAAGAGGAAGAGGTCGGGCAACAAAGGTCCCTCAATTCCCGCAAGGACAATCAAGGAGACATGGGAAGTCAAAAGGAGATAAGAGATTCCGTGGGATTCGCGGCATTGCGGCAGGGCCACGTGTCCACCAGTGACCACTTGCCAAAGGCATCCAGAAAGTTCAACAAGCCCTGGCGCTTGGAGACGCTCAGGTGCGAAGGTGGCGTGAACCAACAGACCAGCCTCGGCACCCCTACCCGATGATTGGCGATGGGCGCCAGCTTTCCACAGCTTTGTAGCGCGTGACATTGAGAAAGCATCAACCACGTAATCGAACACAAGACTAAGGACGCAGAACAAGCACAGAGCGAACCCTGTCTCATCCTAAGCCCACAGTTTGCCACCCTGCAGTGACGATGTACCATATATGTACCCTGAATACTCAAAACCATAGCTCGACAAGCCTTCTTACTCACGTATGCGCAAAAGAAGATCGGCTTTCCCCTGTAGCAGGCCAGTTTGCTGAAATCGTTGTCTTGACGCTGGGCCAGTGTTTCTGATGTCAGCTCTCCAGGCTTGACATTCCATGCTTTGACAAGCAAGCCGAGGCGCATTAAGATCGGCTTAATGTAGGGCCAAAGTCCACTGAAGCAAAGAATGAGAAAGGCGAGGCCATAAACTTTACCTCACCAGCTGGCAGCCAAGGCGGTGTGCATAGCTCTCGCAACACAGATTTAACCTTCGTCGAAGCCCAAGCTTTGCCAGACTTTCATCCGAGCGTCCCTGCCACATGTCTTTAATCGAGCCGATAAGTGAGAAGCTGAATGTAGGTGGGAGGTCCACCACAGGCCGTCCGTTGGCTGTAACAGAAACCTGACGCACAGCAAGACAAAGAGAGTGCCGCGCTCACCTAGCTGAAGGCCCACTCGCTTCCTGCACAATGTGTCCTAGTTGCTGAGGTCCTTGCCATGACACCAGCTCCAATGCCCGAGTTGCTGGACAAGAACCTTTGCAGCAGGTTGAGCTTCGGCCGACCCTTTGCCATGGTACGGCTGAGAGAGCAACCACGTCGGTGCAATGCAGAGAGAAGCAGCTGCATGAAGCGAGGCGTTTGTGCTCCGATTGCGAGCGAGGTGCATCAGCATTGTCCCGATCATTAGCAAGGGCAGGCCCCAGCCTTTGCAAAAGAAGAGTACGAAGAGTGGAGCTCCCGGCAGCTTCCGACGCGCTGAACTGTGCTGAACTGCAGCTCAGCAGCGCATGCATGGCCGCGTTCGCGGGTGGAATGCCAAAGCGTGTGGTGGTGCGATGGCAGACAGAGCACCTGCACGGCCGCCTGTCCGGGAAACATGCCAAATGCAGGATGACACAGGTCAGATGTTTCAAAACAAGGAGAGGCGGACAAACTGAGGCGAAACTTAACCTTTAACAATTCTGAATCGAATGCTCTCAGTTTGCCCATTTGACCCTGCCTATCTCCGCCACCATGGAGGTGGGTGTGGGCCCCGTGTCGGTACTTGTCGTCACACAAGATACATCCTGCAGCACTTGCTGCGTTCACACCGGTAAAGTAAAAGACTCATCTTCTTTTTGAACCCAGACTCTTAGCCCTCATCACCAAACCGAACTTGGCATAACTTGGCACTGCTTGCCGTTTCAGTGAGCCCCGCTGTGGTGCATTGTGGGCAAGTTTGGGGGGCAAAGACATTCATCTGATGGTGGCAACCATCGTTGAACCGAGTCCACATCATGCCCTGCTCTGCGGTCATGCAGCTTCTTCGACCTATTTGTATGCAGCTGCATCTTGCTGCATGACTCTGCGTGCTTTAGAGAGAGCAGCTCTCCTGCACCTGGCAGGTCCGCGCATCTTTTTCTTTCCTCAGCGTTTCCAAAGACAGCTTCTCAGCTGGTTTGCCATTCATGGTACTTTATTGTGATTCATTCTTTTTTTGCCCCCCCCCCCCCCACAAAGAGAAAGCTACCAAGTCTCGTCGTCATCGAAAGACACAGGCAAGTGCACATGGATGCCTGCAGATTGTCAAGCTTTCACCACGCGACCCAAAGCTGGCATGGAAGAACTTGGAAACCTGCGTCCCGCACTCAGCCCCAACTAGGGAAGCGACCAGCATGCACACGACAAATCCAGCGAGTGCTGAATTCGACAGCATGGCGTTGCTGAAGTCCTGAGCGCAGGGGTGGCCACAGAAACTAACCATGAAATGAGCCCTGTGCGGATCATGCTAATCTTGATTTATGCCAGCCACGAGAGTCATATCTACTCCCCATGTTTCGCCTCCTCACGGCTGCACCAACCATGACATGCAAGCCCATGTTGCAGCCAAGAGCGCATCTTGAGGTGGCGGACACGGCGGAGGTGCCGACAGGAAACTGTTAATATGCTCGTTCACCTGAGCTACGCACCAGGCTCCGCAATTGTCACATACAATCATTTCAAGCACTTCGGAGCGGTTGAGGTCTGAGGGGGTTTGTGAGTCCGAGGCCATTTGAAGACCACGCGCCGTCAGCATGGCATGTCCGACCTGGTGGATTGCATCCTTGTATGCTCCTGGAAGACAAGCGGCGGTTGCAATGGGCATGATGCGACAATGCTCGTCAGCTTCAGGAGACTAGCATGTATTCACCTGTAGCTCAACATGCGACTTAACAGCCACACCTTCATTCTTCATTGGGCATCCTCCGACAAGTAACTACAGCACAGCCATACTTCTTGATCTTATACCCCCAGGCTGCTTGAAGGCTGGCACTCTGTGCGTGCCAGCGGAAGAAACAGTTCCTCCTAGTTTTGATGCTGATAAGGGCCCAGAACTCAGATCGACCCCATTAGGCTACTGTTGCATGCTGGGCTGCGCTGCCAAACACCCAAAGGGCCCAAGAGTCGGAGCGCTCAGCTCAAGCGCTGGTCTATAAACATGTGCTTACTGTGCCACAAGGGGTGTGCTGCTGCGGTGGGTTTGCAAGTTCTGCGTTGGAAAATCAGGCAACCTCGAGGGGGCTCCTAGGAGAAAGGCTGCCACGGAGTTCAGCATGTGGTCGACATCGTCCTCCAAATCGCCGCTGCCTGGGAAATTAAGGAGGGTCTGAGCATGTCATGCAACCCAGACTGATCACGACTACCTTTGTGCTACGTGCTCAGCTGACACCGACACTCGCATCTGGGTAGTGGTGTTTTGGTTAGCCTTGGCTCCATTTGCCTTTGGTTCGTTAGGAATGGCTGCATCCGCCGGAAGTTTGTCAAGAAGCGGTTTAATTCACCATCAATACTACTGGAAACTCCATCCATTAATCATGCGCTCTAACCATCTAAGGGGGATCAACAAAGTTACCGCACCAAAAAGTTAACGAGACTCATGGGGGTCCTCCAAGTCTTGGGTGTTCAAGCAACGATGGCGTTCATGGTTTGGAAAAAGGATCTGGGTTTCACCCTGAGGCAGGCGAATATTGGAACGGATGAGGTTTGTTAACACAAACGAAATTTTAACAACACCGAAAACAACTTTACTGAAAACCTTATCTGCTCTTGTTTCCTCACGCGCAAGAGGCTTTGAGTTTCACAAACGTTTCGCTGGCAAATCAGGCTTTTCAGAACTCCTCGAGAACCCTTTTTGAAATCTGGGGGTGGGGTGGGGTCCATGATCCATGTTCATACGGTTGAGCACTTGTTCATGTTCATTGATCACTGTGATCTCCTCCCCCCTCACCCGCCCCCAGCCCCAATTGTCCAGAAAGCATTTTGGCTTCTTGCAAAAACCTTGGCCAGGCAGGAATCTAAATGTAATCCTAAACCACATGGCTCAGACCCACCACCAATCGTTGAGGGTCACTGTAGAGAAATGGAGGGGGGGTGCAAAATTTTCATCCATTTTGGCCAAGACCTTAATATGCGATGATTTGCCCTTTTAATCTCTTGGCGACCTGCAAACGCTGCAATTTCGACAGGTGCCATTTGCGGCATTTGGCCCCCCCCCCCCCCCCCCCCCCCCCCCCGCCCTTCTTTCCTGGAGAACTTAGGGACGCCCCATTGCCCGGCCTTCCACCCACAACAAACCCGAACCGGGATGCATGCGCAGCCGCGCCTAGTTGACCACACGTGTCTCAGGATGTCTCAGGACTCTACCGGCTCGAGGGGTCAGCGCTGTTCCCAGGGAGGTCACACCCAGCGCTGCCTGGAGAGCAGCCGCAGCGTCAATGCCTGCATCAAGATACTCAGAGTCAGGCAACCATGGACAGCAAGGACTAACGAGGTGTTGCTTGCCCTTCATGGTCCCAAGCATGGCTGCCCGATGCCGTTACTGCACGGCTCTACACCGCAAGTGCCTGAGGCCAAACAACCGGGTGCCCCCAGCTGATCTGCAGTGAGAGCGTGCAGGCTGGTGGTGTTGAGGGCCTTGGGCAATTGGGTTTTGAAATGTCTTGAGCCTAACGCGGCACACTGGCATCCTGGCCACTACATGGCGCCAAGACGCTAGAAAGGCCTTCCCGGCCAATGAAAGATCAGACCTGAGTTCCACAGCTTGAATGCTGCCGCCCCCTGTTGCAGCTGCGCGCTGCATGGGAAACAATCTGAAGGAAGGTTTCTGTCAAAGTCCGGGTGCATCCCTTTAAGATCCACATGCTGGCAAGCGCTTGGTTCGGAACCAAGATGCATTTTCAGTGACACTTCGAACTGCTCCTGCAGCTCGGAGCCAGCTACTGGCCCGCTACCAGGTCGAATGCCAAGCGTCAACCTTGAAACCAATCTCAATGCAGGACGTGCATACGTTTGCTTTTTGCTGACGCCTTCTATTGGTCCAACTTCCGCCCTTCTCAGCTGTTGGTGCTTCAGGCGATGGCTACCGGCATTTAGAGAATTTTGGGCTGCCGGTTTTCGCCCCTCACTCTCGCACGGTGCTGTTTGCCCTGTGCCATTATGCATTGTTGCTTTGGCTCTTTCCGGGCTCGGCTCGAGTGAGCAGGGCGTCTCAGGCCCCCGTGCAGGGAGACAAGGGAGACCACATTGGGTGGCCGTCAGAAGAGATGGAGCTTCCTTGTGTCTAGCCAGATTCTCGAAGGATCCGGTTCCAGTTCTGGTCGGGTCTCCGCGTCCCTTTGCCATTGGCAGCGGAAACCGCTACATCTGGGTTAAGCTTCGAAGCCCCTACTCTTGTTTTCCCCCCGCTGCAGCAGGTCACATTTCCTGCAACAATCACGCCTGACTGGGATGCCATTCTTAGCTGCTTGGACCGTGGCATTGATGCTCTGCAGCCGTTTTGCTGCTTCTTATATGACGCCACCATGGATCATCATCATCATCATCATCATCATCATCATCATCATCATCATCATCATTCTTCGTCGTCGTCGTCGTCAAATTCCGCCCGCTGCTAGACTTAAGATTCTTGCGCCGAAGCTACCATCGCTGGTCCCACTCCAAGTCCAGCTTCCCAAGTGGCTGCCACTCGCACAAGTTCAGCAGACAGTTCTGCAGCAACTTGCAGCATTTGATTCAGGGCTCCGGGATTCGGGGTCCAAACCTTAACCGTTAAGCCAAAAGCAGATTTGTAGTTCTTGGTCCGGGAATCTGACCCACACGCGACGCGCCCTGCCTTAGGCCTTTGCTATACATGTTGACAAGTCTACTATTTGGCGACATCTTCGACCCCTCACTCCCCACACTTTATCGTAGGTCACCCCCGCTTCAAAGGCCTGCTGGCTCAAGTCGAGTGGCTGGGCATTCAGCTCCAGCTTGGCAAGGTCCAAGCCCAAGGACAACTCCTGAAAGGCGTTGACAGTTTACAACTTATACAACTTACAATGCAGACAATACACATGTATGCCGCGGCGTCGCCTTGCAAAATGAAAACCTACTCTTGGAATTTGGGTGCCCGAGGCTGCAAACCTGACTTCGGACGGTCTTTCAGCACAACTTTGTGGTGTCCATTGCAGGCTCATTCCTCGCCTGCGGCTTGGGGCTGTACACGTCCATGGCAGCCCAAGAGTTTAGATGGCCTGTGCATCATGGAGGCAAATGGCCGCACATGTCCATGTGCTCCACGTGCTGGTTTTCCATGCTACAATTATCCGGTGTCCGTGTCGCGAGTGCTCTAAGGATCTGGCTTAAGGACGCATTCTGCAGCGTAATGTTGAGCTGGGCCAGCTTGTCTATGCGAAGAACCTGTCAGGGCGTAAAACACGGCACCAATCTTGCACTCTGCCCCGGAATGTGGCAACATGGCAAAGCATGGCAAAAGCATGGCAAAAAAGTATGGCAAAGCATGGCGAAGCGTAGCCTTAGAGATCGGCAGCTTCACCAATGACTCCACGGAGAGATTCCCATCAGCTCCAAGGGCTTTGGTGAGTAGATTGTTGACACCTTACATCCAGAGGTTTTTATGAGTTCTCTGTGGGAAGCAAATCCGTCAAGTTGCTGTGGGGCGAATGTGGGTTCCTTGGCAAGAGATGCCCAGCGCACATGAAGCAGGACACACTCTGCTTTGAACGAACATCGCACGAAACCCTGCCACAAAAATGCCTCAACTACGTTCAACTACGCCTTTACCTGAACGCCTAAACTATCGAAAGCACTGCGTTTTCTGCCACATATGCCAAAACAGCTTTGGCATATTCACTCAATTCCCTGACGGCCTTGATGCTTGGCCGAGGTTCCCCAGCACTTTGGTCACGATGTGATGCATGAGTTCCTTACCCAAAGCACGACACAGCACCCATCTACCCTGGTGTCCAGCAAATAAATACGCCTTAAGCAACAAAAGCAGAGCCAATTGAGCCACAAAGGCGGCGCAGGGCCGGCAACTCGACCTTTTTGCATCTGGGCTCGTGACGGGTTTCTATACACGGCAGGCTTACGCATATTCCCGGCACATTGCATGATTCAGAGAAGCCCTGCCGCTCTGATTTACGCAGGCAGGTAGGTCCTCCAGCAAATTCGGCATTCTACGCAGATTCCACGTCGAGCCAATCTTGCCTTGATGCATTGAGCCTGATGTGCCTGGTTGCGCATGCACTGTAGGCCGTAGCTCGAGCACTTAAAAACATCTATCCTTGCCATACCAGCATGTACCAGCGGCATGGCATCTAGCACACTGGACATCGCATGCTGATCCGATGCGACTTGAGCCGCTCATCGACGAACAGTGAGACAAAGGACACAACTTGGAGGTCGATATCCAGGCTTGTTTGAACTAGGGGGCCAGGGCATCTGAACTGGAATTGCAAGCTTTCTGCTCGAAAGCTTCTTGCACCAGCAAGTTGTTCGCATACTCCTACCGTGCGCGGAATTTCCTGCAGCTCAATCCGCTGGGTGTCGAGAGCCTGGCAAGATTAGATTCATCGCTTCAACTAGCGACGTAGCAGACGTGGCAGTCAGCTAGACACTTTGCTCGTGATCGTTCTGCTGGAGCGAGGCTTGAACGCGCGGTTGCGAAGTGATTTCGATCACACCCTCTATAGTGCTACATAGTACTAGTACCTGGTCCAATGACACATCTGCTGCCGAACCTGCTCCGACAATTGTTCGGAGGTCTCTCCCAAGCGGTGCCGTCAAAGGTAGTGGTGAGCTAAGAGTACCAGGAGCTGCAAAACTTCCCCAAGGCTGTCGTGGAATTTTATTCCTTGCGGGCTTTGTCAGCTTGACTGATGACATGCCGCGAGAAAGCACAAGAACAGTTGCTGCACAGTACAGTGTAATTACAGGGTGGAGGGTATACAGCACAAAGGGTCCAACATCGGGCATCTGTTCCAAATTTCAGGCTGTCTGGTTACATGAACATTTAGTCGTCTCTTATTGGGCTCCGCGCAAAGCCCACCCAAAAAGCACAAAGGCACAAAATCTGCCAACTGCATGGGGCCGCCAGGACCGCCGTTCGCACGACACGGAGGGCACATGGTCGAAGGAGTTCTGGGAGTAACTGCTTCGACGACTCTCGGCTTGATTCGGACCGTTGCTTTGCAAAGATCGCTGGCACGTGATTGGAAGCCTTCGACGCGGCCTTTGAGGCTCGGGTCGCACGGTGGGATGCCGCTGCACACTCTCTTGCAAAGCAGATTCAACCAAGGCCATGCACTTTTGAAGGGCAATTTCGGTGGTGGCCATGATAAGCTCGTCCAACTTCTCCATGCGAACTTTCGGCATCTCCTCCGTCTTGGTGGGTGCCTGTTACTGTCATGCATTGTGCGTGTTTCTTGACCGTGTGCAGCCAAAAACTAACGGCCTACATCGTGCTGCTAGAGCTATCTGCACCGCATACCTTGAAACCACCTCCCCCCTGCTACTCCTGTGCCTCAGCAATCAAAGCCACAGGGCTCTTGGATGCAGGTGGCTGCACCACAGGCTCATCATCACAATCGAAATAACTGGAAGCACGTAGGAGGTCCCTGGCCACTTTGTGCTCCACAGCGACGCGAGTACTTTCGGTCTCTGACACTGACAATTCGGAGCTCGAATTGTGTGAATCTTTCTTTTGCCGGGAGCACTGCAGTGTGAACAAGGTGTTTATCATGCTTTGCATCTCGGACATTCGCTCCGCAAGTGCTTCATGGTTGTCAATGGTAACTGCATAGAGCTCCTCTTGCTGATGTAAAGCTCGCAGCACGTTGTACTTAATGAAGCGGGTGGCCGTCTTTGAATCATGGACCCACCGACTAAGTGGCGCCACGAACTCAGACAAGTGGATTTGGCCCTCTCCAGTCGTATCAATCATCTCAAAGAGCTGTTGCAAATCCGCCTCATCAATGTCCATCACACGCAGCCTGCTTTGAAATTGTGGATCCCTGCGGGCTCCTTCTAGAAGCTCTTCAAACGTCACTTCTCCACTTCCATCAGTGTCGATACGTTGAAAAATTGCCTCCAAGCTCTTGACATCGTTCGCAAGGTTGAATTCCAGCTCCTCTGCCAAGTTCAATACATCCCTTTGGCGAGCTTCTGCAAAGGTGTCCACCACAACTGCCACCTTTGCAGCAGCGGAACGAATGTAATTAGCATGTAGATGCCCATGCGTGCTTCCCAGCCTAACCGCATGGCCATAAGCTCAGCCTAATATGTGCACGTTTCATTCCGCAAAAACATGTCCGCATGCTACGCAGGTAGTCAGGAGCCACTATTGCCATCATGTCGACGTACGGTCCCTTATCCTCAAAGCACGGCGAATTTCAGCTACACGAGCCGGCAGGTACCAAGTTGTTGTATACAGTAAATGCCGCTCTCCTTGCCCCCACTTTGCTTGACACACGCGGACACAACACATGTTTGCGAACGTGCCCATGGACATGACTGGGACATCCCGACCCTCTTGGCGGTCAAAACCTGGGGGGAGGGTGAATTTTAATAATTGGAGGGGCGACAAGCTTTTTCTCTCCTACAGGCGGCTTTGCCCTACCAGCTCAAGCATTCAACACCCCGTTTCGTGCTCTGGACAGCTGGACGAGTTATGCTATTGCCGCGGGACAATAGCACAACTCATGGATTGGCAGTGTGGACGGCTCTCCACGCCGCAAGGCCACAGTAAAAACAAAAAAAGAGATAGGGAAAAGAACAAACTAGAAAAAATGTAAAATAGAAGAACACAACTTTTACACGTTCCGCTTGCAGAGGCCAGTGCGATGTGACCGATGCCGCCAACGAGACGCGACTAACTCCAGGCCCCACATACGTGTCTGACATCTGCCTGGCCGAACCTCTGCATATGTACTTGTCATCGCCGCCGGCGAAAATTAAATCTGCCCATGCCAGGATACCAAGAGACGAGAAGGAGCTTCTACAATTGCACTCGTGTCCAGTAAACTGAGATTCTGGAAAGGAGAAGTCTTCTTTTGTGACCCCCCCCCCCCCCCCCCCATCGTTTTTCTGACCCAAGCTTTTTTCTGACCCTCCCCCCTTCCATTTGTTGGACCACCATCCGGTTTGTCTTTATATACAGATCGAGCTTGCACGGGTAAAACAGAGCAGCGGGCATCGGCGAGGCTTTGCAATAAAACTTTAGAATCTCAAGCCGACTGTGGATTTTTGACAGGAATAGAAGAGATATGTATGGTGCTTCCAATAAGAGTCTAGAGAGAGAGAAACTTTTGTGACATACAAGTCCATCGGAAAATTACTGGAATCTAACTGGAAGCTACTTTTTAATCGAAGTCCACAAAATCTCTAACAGTCATGTCAGGGGATCTAATGGGCGGCTGGGCGGGGGGGGGGCGGGGGGGCAACCATTCGTGTGTTTTTGGCCGAGAGTCCTTTCATAGCACGCACTTCTTTACGAAGTAAGCTGGCGCGGCTTTTAAAAAAAAGCGAGGGCCCATTTGCGAGCATGATGGGTTCGAAAAGGATTCGTATGTTTCTGAAGTAAGGTATGCTCGCACGCCGGACTTGTGTCGCAAGCCCTCTTTGACGGCATGAACTTCTTTAGAATGCACACACAGAGCGCAGCCCCGCTTCAGCCCCCGTTTGCGCACAGCTTGGCCGGCTTTCTCGAATGGAAACCCCAGACTGTGGATTGGGTTCACATGAAGTTTCGCATTGTTCTATGCACACACGGGATGGACGCACCCTCTCTCTGTCATACAGCCCTATGATGTGTACATCATGCGTGAGACATGCGCTCAGCCATGTCAGCAAAACGGCTGCTGCATGCATCTCTGCCACTTGACTCATGTTGCGTTAGCCGGCTTTGTTCACTTGACATCTCGTGAACTCTGTTTCAGATGCATTGACTCGTTTTCGGCATCTGTGATACGGTCCTGTCCCAAGGCCCTTCTCTGACATTTTTGCATGTGCTGCATGTCAGTGTGCAAACTAATCATACCCTGCAGTGCAAAAGGCAAAAGTTGGAAGCGCACAATTGCATGTTCCAGTGTCCTGAGCTTCGAACGATGAGGTTCAGAACGCCAAAGACAAGCGTCAGCAACGAGCCGCAGAAAATAATTGCTGTTGCAGGATATTCCCGGATGACAGGAACGGCGATGGTGCCCCAACTGTCCCCAGCAATCACTGTTTTGAAAAGCAATAAATTAGCTTCCATCACGGCAGAGGTAGAGGTGACACATTGTGGGCATTCTTGAGCAATGTTGGGAATGTCGCTTGCTTCCATGTCGTCCATCTTCTCCAACATGATGGGATGCACGAACTCAACTATCAACATGGCCCACACCGTCATTATCATGAAGCAGAAAACGAAGGACCAAAACAATGCTTTTAAGCATGTGGCCATCATTCGCACTAGCTTCTGCAATTCCCGAAATGCACGCAGTCGCTTGAGGAGCCGGGCCAAGCGGAGGACCCGAACCATGCGCAGGACGGGAACGAATCCGAGGTTGAACATAATCTCAGCCGCAAAATTCTGCAGCAGCAGCTCTGTCAAGCCGGAAAGCACGATGAAGACATCGAGCCGCACCATCCAATGCCCACAAGCCTTCCGTGTTCCCTTCACGATACACAAGGTGATCACTTCCAGTGTGTACATGGCGAGGCACACGTTCGAAAGGAGCGGGTAGACTTGTGGTGTTTGTGTCCCACTAGCTCTTGCATCAATGTCCACGATCGTGCAAAAGGCATCGACCAGGATCACCAAGGTCATCAAGTTGGCCACGAACGAACTGTTCAACAACCTGTTTGCCACTTTCCAGGTTTCGGCACAAGTTGCACCATGATGTTCCACCTCCTCCGCCCCCTCGACGCTCTTGATGAAGTTGCTGCTGACAGTTAAGTTCCGTTTTGGTGAATCGAGACTCGACGAAGCGCCAACAGATTTTGGACTGCCTGATCCGGTTGGCCCCGCAGCAAATGTGGTAAATGATCTTGAACCGGTTGATTCGGTGGACCCGGTGGTCATTGCAAACCCTCCGGCTTTCTCCGCGGGGCTGTTCCGCTCCATGATGCGCTTGAGAGGACGCGCCTGCAGAACCTATGATCCTCACCTGCACAAGCGCAACCCGAGCACAGCACTTTGCGACAGGCCCTGCACCCAAGTGACGATTCTAGAGGATTCTAACCCATGTGAGTCGTGTTGCCCTCGTTTGTGAGCCGGTTGAAGGATACACCACCCCCGTTGCAAGGAATCCTGTCGAGGCCCCTTCACAGAGTGGCGACCATTCTTTCTCCGAAGCGTTCGTTGGGAATGCACATCATGTGGCCCCTGGGAATGATTTTTGAAGGGATTGAAACTGACTGCAGTTCTCCACGATCCTTTAGCCCCTCCCTTCCCCAGCAGGGAGAAGCAAGTATTGGTAGAGAAGGCATGCGCGTGGAGTTGCGTGACAGAACATAAGCCCTTCAAGCTCCCGGGCAACAATGCAGGCCCATGCCCCGAGCAACCAAACTCCCAACTCTGCGAGATCTACAGTTCGAAATATCTGCCAGGCATCAAGCCCGGAATTCTGGCCGAAGTCAACCAGCTCCTTCTTAGGATCTGCTATGACCTTGCTCATGACGCAATCGAGGAAAGACAAGGCAATCAAGATAGTTGGACAACAAACTCCCACATGCCTACAAGCTTGATGCATGTTTCTGTACGCTTTCTCATCACCCTCGTGTCGTCCGTGCTTGAAAGAATCAACAAAGGCTGCCATCAAGTCGTGTGCACATTCTAGGACCCAAGAATATCCGGGTCCCAGCACGGGATAGCTATTCTTGCTACTTTGGTGCCAGTCCTGCCATGGGTGGCGGCAGTCAAGGATTTCGTGGGGGCGAACCCGAAAACACCTTAAAAAGAGAAGCAAACCAAACAGCCAGGCTTCGGGAGTCGGCGGAGGTGTGGGGGTATCCTTCAGCATCTCTCGGATTTCCTGGCTCACGTTCTGCAGGGCCTCTGATCCTGCCACAGCTGTCTGCATCTCTCTCCCCTAAGATGGTGGCCTCATGAACTGAAGTGCGGTCCTTTGCTATTGATCACAGAGTCCACGTTTGTGCAGATCAGGGCCTGCAGCGCCAAGGTCCACAGGAACGACCGGCTGCTCATAATAACTATAATCATAATCATCATCATAAAATAGTAGCAAGAGGCGAATAATATAGTAGTAACCAAACCAAAAGCACAGGCTGCATGCCGAGAAGCCGTCAGGCGCTTGTTGAGAGCAGACTGGATCAAAGGTTTCAGAAATTGGAGGACAGTCGACATACCAGAGCCCGTAAACTCCAGGTCCACCTTGCAGGGCTGTAGGGATGCAGCATTTGCAATCTCCAGCTTCGGTTCTTCAGGCTTCTTCTTGGCAAGCATGGGCAAAGCTACTGCATGCTGTACGGAGGGTTCGTATACCCCTACTGGACCATAATCCTGAGGTTCCCTGTTTGGGGTTCAAATAGGGTTTTCTTGTACGTGGCAGGCATTTAAGGCAGCTCTCCTTAAAACTCGGCCCGAAACAGTCCGAAACCATCTTTCAAACCGTGGGCCCCGATATTGGAAGGGGAGAGAATTCACAGTACATAAAAAGGAGCTCACAGCCTGAACTCTCCCAGAGCAGTCTTGCGCGTGTATAGCGCTGGGCAGCGGGGGATCGAGGCTGTCTGACACCTTGCGCTCCAGGTGGACAGTTTGGGAGTGATCTCACCGGGTCTCCCGAGAAGGAAGTACGGGAAAGGTGTGGTGAAGAGGTGGCGAGAGGAAAGACATGGAAAGAATGCTCGAACTTGACTTCTTGGCTTGCCGCCATTGTGATGGGCCCGCCAAGCATACCGTTCCCGACCGTTGCCAAAACCTTGATGCGACAGACAGTGTAGCATGTATGGGCGCTTACCCCGAGCACGGTGGGCTGGCTAAGCAGCAGACGTCGCCATTGAAATGAAGGCTGCTGATCAACGTTGATTGTGCATCCCACTTCAGGGTGCAGTGGATGCTCAGACCAGATGCCTTAGGCCAGTGGCAGCTGCACGTTGCCGGTTCCCTTGTCCGGTCTCGACGCGACTTGCACAGACCCGAAAAGGCCAACTGCAGGAGCACCAGCCCGAACTATACAATTGGCCCAACAAGATCTGGGGGCCGAAGGCCCAACTACTGGTAGCTTCGACCGTCAACAACAACATGTAGTACAGCTTCTGATTGTGAGGCATTGCGAGGGGCTGCATGTCCAAGGACTCCGCTGCCACCATACCACTTGCTCATCCAAGTGGCTGTGATATTAAGACCATGATAAACTGCTGCTGTCAGGATGTGGTCTACTTTGAAATTGGTGCACAGGCCGTCTGATATGGTGAAGTTGAAGCCGCCTGGGCAGCAAGTAGAATTCCTCAACCGCTCACATCTCGAACACGCCAGGCAAGGATTCTGAGTCAGCGCAGCTTACAGCTACACCAGCTTCAGGAACACGCAGGCAGAAGGCGACAGCTTCTCAATGAAATGCACAAGCGCCCACTAGCTCAGCGAGGCCACCTGCTACATCTGAGAAGGTCGGAATCTGAACTCTAAGTTTCCAAAGCCACTCCTCCAGCCAGCTCCTGGGCATGTGCTTGGGATGCTTGGCAAAGCTGGAGGTGGCACATATACAATATATATATATATATATAATATGTATATATACACATATTTATTTACTTATTTATTTGTGACCACAATCGAACATGCATTGCCCATAAAATGATCCGAAGGGGCTGGGATCGAACCATGCTCAGGAGTTTCAGCCCTCCGGCCAGCTTCTCGATGATGCTGTTCCTGGCCAATGCCGCTTGCAAACTGGCCTTTTGCAAGGCAAGTTCAGGCATCGGGTGCCCGGGTCACGCCATCGCAAGGATCGGAGCATGTGCACACGCTGGCCACCAGATATGGCGACGATCAGCCCTTTCTATCCCTTTCTGTATGTTTCATGCGACCTCCCTCAACCAATCGAAAACCCCAGCAAACAGCCAAAGCAACACGGCTTCCATTTGCATACCAGGGCGTGCCCAGCTTGCACAGCCAACACATATACTCAGCACCGCGACTACGATGACGGTTACTATTACGACTACGACAACCACCACCACCACGACGACGACCACGACGCCTACTACCCATACGTTTCGTATCTGACGCTATGTCTTTCTTGTTTTCCACACCTGGCGACCTTCTCCTAACTGTCGAAAAAAAGACTGTTACTTTTTTGTACCTCAAGCGATCCGGGCAAGTACCTTCCACAGCTACAGTCCGAGGATGTCCGCAGCGCAACTGGCCCTGCTTCTGAGGCGGCGCGAACCAGCAGAAAAAAGCCCACAGGCCTGAAGGCCAGCGCCTACTTCTGAGGGCGGCACCAACTACAAAAAGGAAGCCGACAAGGGCTTCGAGCCAGCCCAGTGACATACTGCAGCGGCTGCCGGTGTTATTGACAATGTTTACAGCACGTCCATTGAGATGCTGTGCTTCAGAAGGCCTTTTCAAAAAAGTGCTTGTCGTTTTTCTGTACGACGACGACTTGGCTCACAAAAGAGCCCCTCTACTCTATAGTGATAAGATGATTTTGCACCCCCCCCCCCCATGTACATGGCGTTGAAACACGCAGACCTGCTAAACTGCAGGGCCGAATTGCAAGACTGCCTATTTGTTAGGCTAAAGAAAGGGGAAAATCCACAGCCGAGCGTCGCACCATGTACTATATGCGAGTACCATGTCGCGTGTAGCTACCCTTGCACACGTTGCAGAAGCAATTGAAAACAAGCATAGTATGTGAGGGCTTCATGGCTAGGTCGGCGGAGGCGACTGCGCTGCTTGCTGGCCAAAGGTCGTATCGACATCGCTGCGGCTCGCCTGCCAGCACCGGATGAATGAGACTTCTCAGCCGAAGTGGCCTCCATCGCCTGAAACTTGTCAGCCCTAGGCCCTAGGCACGACCTGGCAGGGTGGTCCCTGGACGGGACCCAGTTTTTGGTCAAGGCACATCGATGTCCAAGGCTTCATGTGGAGCCAGTGCGCTTTGTGACGGACTTGCGGCCCAAATCAAGCAATACCTGAGACCAGGACCCCGTGAACCATAAGCAAAAAGAGGTACGCGCGCCGCAGGTTCGATGCGCCACAAGCCCTAAGTGAAGGTGAATCAACCCTGGAAAACCTCTTAGAAAATGTGCTCAGACAAGCGGAGCTACTGCATACTGCACAACCCTCACTGAACACGAGTTTTCCGAGTCAGGAACTTCCGGTTTACTCCGGAGGTCTGGCTCTGTTCTGGCTCTGAAGCTGGTTTTGGGGGGAAAAATCTCGAAACTCTTATGGCCCATTCTGGCGTACTGCAACCTGATACATGCAGCAAAAGCTTGTTCTGGAGCGCTTCAGCATGATCTGTCTACCGTTCGCGGAGGTGTCTCAGTCTAAGGTCCAAGGTGTCGTGCCTCTTCTGATTTGTGCATTGCTCGCAAGTTACCAGCCCTCGCGCCATCACCGCGATCCCTTGTACAAGCGACACTCATCTTAAAAGACGTGCACCAGGGTGCAGGCCCAAGCGCCAAAGCACGGCGACTCCATTGGTCATGGCCAAAGACCAATGACGTAATGAAACTAAAATTGGTTGTAGCATGCTGTCTCCGAAATTGAAGGGGCCGTCATGGCGTGCATGGGCTGCGGCTGCACGAATACCAACTGCATCCCTGTCTTGCTCTCCAAACTCGTCGCGGCATTCCCTATCATGGCATCATGAGCCAATAGGCTTTGAGCGTCTACGCCCCACACGATTCGGCAAGTGTGAAGAAACCACAGCATTGCGAAGTTCCTGAAGCAACATGCGATCAGCACTAAACTTCTCTATGCCTCCGGTCTCCAGAGATAACTTCAGCCACATTCTGTTGTGCTTCAGCCGTGTCCAAGGCGAGGGCATGTCGCTCACCCTGGCGAGTTGCTTGTGGCCCTGAGCCATGCTTTCGCAATGTAGCTGGGAGACAAAATCTTGAGCCACTGTCATGCAATGAGGACGCTCGTGTTGTGAAGGCGCTGTTTTCTGCTTCCTGCGGGCAAGCTCTAAGGGTCCGACGACTGCCAGCCATGCGACAGTAGCCCTTAAGCGGTGCCTTATGACCAAGTGGCGCAGGTGCGTTGACAGCTGGGGGTGGGCGAAACACGATGACAACGCAGTGCCACAAGCAGAGCGAGGGCATGTGTTTCTGTCAACCATGCCCCAGCATGATGCATTGTCGAGCATGATCCGGGCCAGCAGCAGCAAATGGGTCGCTTCTCCCAGCCCACGACCTCATGCCAACGCATACCAACCACGCCTATGTTCGACTGCAGCTTTATGTGGCATGGCCCATGGCCCTAAATTCACCTGCCACCCCTCAACTCAGCCAAGCCAATCTAGTAAACAACGTTGCGTAGTCGACGACTGAAGGCCCCGGCTCCCACACCTGACTCTGCTGAATGGGCAGTGGCTTCCATGGACTGTAAAAAACCATGCGCAATGGGGCCCAGTTCGAAAGCCATTCTCCGCTCCACAACTTCGCACTGAGGAGTCGTCAGTTTTGAGCGAGCCATTCCTGAGTTCTTGCACCCTCTGAAGAAACAACCGATTCTGTGCAAATGGCCCCTCCCCTAGTGGCAACATAAGCTCCGCAACATGAAGTTCACTGGCTAATGCAGGCAAGGCTCCGCCCATAGCAGCCCTCACAGTCCCTGCACTCAGAAACCTGATCAGGAGTCGTGGTTCATCATGCACGCAGAGTTATGGCATAGCATGCTGCATGTCTCAGCATGAGCGGCACGTACTTAGCGCGAGCTTTTAAATAGAGAAGGACAGTCCCAAGTGCAGAAGTCGATCTCCATCCTGTGCCATTAAGCTGACGACAAAGCTCACCTGAGCTTAATGCGGCAAGAGCAGAGCTCGCGGATGAGGAGTTCAGCTGGCCGCTCCTTGTGAGGGCACATGTCGACAAATCCCCACCAACAGGGCGGCCCGGCAGAGTGTAACCCATCAACTGTCTCTCCAGCATCACTCGGCACTGCAGTTGTATCCGGATGTGACGGTGTTGCGTGCAGGGTGCGCATGCACGCAAGCATGACACGAGCATGACAATAGAGCGACGCAAGCTGAGTGTAAGGTGGACATGACTCGCACAGGCCCGGGCCAGCACTCATTGCCGATCGTGTCGTGGCCTTACTTGCCGGGCAGTTTTATTTGACAGACATCATTTTTGGAATTGCCGTTCGGCGATGGTGCACAATAGAATCCAGCAGGGGTGGGTGTTGGCTTAATGGGATTTGGCTTTTTTCTAATCTTTCCAAGCTAGATCTGAATGGCGGAGCCCTCGACGTGGATACTGCATGAAATGTCGAAAACTCACTAAACAAACCAAACAAACCCTGGGCTGACTGATTCCGCAGATTGTACAAAGTGCGGCATACTACACGTTCCAAATTTGGCTACTGTAGCAACAACTGGCAGCGGTATGCGGCCGACCTATTGAATATTAAGTCTGAAAAGCCTGCCCCATCCTGCTGCTACTTCTGAGAGCTTCTGAGATTTGCCATGCTTGGGGTACTACTTTGGAAGCGATGGCATGGGTCGCAGAGCTATCTGGCCGCCAACTGACGGAGCGTCCGTCCGGCTCTGAACTAACCAGAATGACTAAATTTACGCGAACCGCTATCGCGCCACCGCATCACCCATGTGCTGCGACATTGCGCCCACTCTTGTCGACCATTTCTTCTCACTACTCAGAACATCTGAGCACATGGCTGTAGAGCCACCGGTCTGTGTGTCTCTGAAGCACCTTGGCAGCGGCAAATCTCCCAGCGCAGCTCGCAGAATGAGGCCACCTAGCCTCATGGAGTCTCTTGCTCAGCAAGGATCCACAGCAACCTCTTGCGCAGCAACAGCGCGCAAGCTCCATGCGGAGCAATCGCTTTTTCCACGGGCAAGGTTCCTGAGAGCGCCCAGGAGCTGCGGCAGCCAGCGCACTTCCCTTTGCGCCCTTAGAGCACGCAGCCAACCCTAACCCGCCGAAAACTCAGCTTGCAGGTATGCACTGGGGTCATACCAAAAGCAGGAAGAAAGCAGCACCCGAGCAGTCCATCACGACTTCAGTCTCAACAACATGCAAGGTTCGCCAAAGAATTGCAGCCAATCAGGTCTGGGACTCTATACGGCTTGACCGGAACATGCATCAGTGCTCAGCAGGTTAGAAGCTGCACATGCCCAGGGGAACCGTTTCAGAATTCTGGGAAGACTTGGGTAATGGATGTGGATCAGGCTACCACGAATCGCAAAGGAACCAGGGATCTAGTCGTTGTCACGAGCTGTCGAGAGCCGTCCCGTACAGACATGTATAGAATAGATGTTAACATGGTGAAGAAATGGATGGGTCCCGCGCAATGCTCTTGATCAGCAGACCGCCGTGTACCCAAAAAAATTCGTGCAAACGAAAGTGCGGAAGTGTGCATCACGTCGAATGAGTCCAATATGTGCCCTCTGCTGGTATCAGCATGTCGGGCAGTCTTTACCACAACGTACTGCATGGGCCGGTGGGGTCACAAGTGACGCCCGCACCAGCACACAGCCAGCGCCGAGCCAGTGCACATGTGATGGCGCGCCGAATCGACAGATGCCGGCTGGAATGGGGCCTTTGAAACCCTTTGAAATGCGAAGGCTATCCGATGCTGCAATGTTGCGTCGCTGGGTGCTGCACGCCACTAGTGCGAACGCGGTGCCGGAACGACCACGCCATTGGACCAACCACTCTATACAGCAGCTGGTTTGGCTGACACAACGAACAATTCACGGGACGTGTACCGATGGTATACAAGCCGAACCCAAAACCCGCCAAAGCCTTGCAGATGTTGTTGCCACCTAATTCGGTTAAAGACTAGAACGACTACCCTCTGATCTAGCTTCTGCTACTTTATCTAAAGCCCCAACAATCTTGACCACTTCCCAAACGGCATTGGCTTCCTTGACGGTCAACTACGGCACTTCCCACATGTTCGCGGGGGTTGCAGATGACTGAAGATGCTGGTAGACGGGTGTCTCAGGGTGTCCCAGCATCAACCGAGCTTGCAGTCAAAATGCAGCTGAGCATCTCAGCTGCACGGGCCACAAGAAGGTGTGTGAGCATGTCGTGCGTCGCACCTTCGAACGACACACACTGCACAAGGCCCCCGAATGCTTGAGCCGCAGCCGCAACCACTTGCACTGTGATGCGGCCTGCAAGATCTTTCCGCTCTCTTGCTTCTGAATTGCCCTCCAAGCAGCACGTACTTCGCATCAGCGGTGTCAGTTTTCCCAGCTGACCAGATTTTGCACAGGCAGCCGCAGTGCGCTGCTGACCTTGGAAGCAGTTCATCCGTACCCCACATGAGGATACGACATGATATGACCTGTCATGCGACGTAAGTCTAGTGTTGGCTTTGCAAGAACTCAGACGCTGGCTTATTCTGTCTGACATCCTCTGGACTGCCATATACGACAAGAGCTCGAGCGCGGGTTGCCAAGAGTGTCCGTTCTCACACGCTCGCAAGAGACCTTAGGTACGAGCTGATGGAATTGCAGTGTTGGCAACTCCGAAACTCCCTCGGCATCGTCACTGAACCATGTCCTTAAGTAGTCACACTCCTAACCCTTGAGGAGCGGCAACAACTCGCAGTAACCAGAGAGATGGAAAGCTGAAAGCTCAGCTGCCGCCACGGTGCAGCGATATGTAATCGAGTTCGGACCCAAACTCTTTGCCATGTACATTGGCTCAAGCAACGCCACTGCTGTTTGCCATTTGCGCTCGCAAGCTGCCACTGCAGAGGTGAAGCCTCACATGAAGCTGAAAACTGCAGGAAGATGCAGGCTGCCAGATGCATGGCATCCCCACTTGCTCACGCAACCCTCACCCTGCCACACTTTACTTGCTCTGAATGTCGATTCACACGGTACGACTCATGTCTGCGTTTATGGCATGTGCCGGATTCTATGCACTTTTGATGTTTTTGAGGCGGGGCGGGGCGGGGGGGAGGGGGGGGACGTCCAGTGCCACATCTCTTGTTCCACAACATAGCTCGGATCTACCGAGCCATGCGGCTCAGGCAGCGACACAGTAAGACCGTACCAATGTAGACTCCAGCGCTCAGATGGCTCAGTGCTTGGGCAGTGGAATATGTGGAAAAAGTGCTCAGAGAGCAGCAAAGTCTCAACGGAAACACTGCTCTGAATATGTTTCAGCCAGGAAGCTGACCACATCCGCACGCAAGGCCTGGCACTTGAACAGTTTAGAGCAGACTGCTCCCAGCATTATTTGCTCTTCTCTTAGACACCGGGCTGCTTTGTGTTGTTAAGTTGACAAACTTGACAATGGAGGTTGGGCAGAAACACTCGTGACTCGCGATGGAGGCGCAGACAAAGCCACGACCTGGGATGCTTTTCACGCACCCGGCCCGATTTGGTGCGGCCAGGTTGCTATAGAAGCCATCCCAGAGAGCAGGGCAATCGCAGCCAGCCATTGGCCAAAGCTTTGAATCTCTTCGCAGTCACCTGCCAGCTCTCACATGCTCTTACCGTGCTGATGCTTCGTCTAGCCTGTGATTTATGCTGTGGCAGTCTTAGTCTCTCCGCTTCAGAAAATCGAGCGACCTCGTACAGTGAGGGTATCTATAGCAATTAACAACTAGCAGCTTTGACGTCACTCATCTTGCTTGAGTCACCAAGGCCCTCGGCCATCCGACGCCGTGGCACCGCTGCCGCTGCGCCGATTACAGCATTCAGGCCAGCAGTGTCCAAACGCAGGCCACCCTGCCACGCCGTGCATGTGCATCATCCACATTTGAAGTGGGACAGATGCTGCGACTGCCACGCGCCAAAAAACAACAGGAAGCTGAACATTACAACCCAACAAAGAGCACAAACAACTACGAGGGGCACCTGAGACGAATCAAGATTCAACAGTGCGAATGCGAGTTCGTGGATCGACGATATCAATGAATGCGACAGCAGATATCAATTTTCTTCGAATTATCAGAACAATACGACTTTTTCGAATGATCAAATTTGCCCCGGGGAGTCACCTTACTATTTCGGGTGCAATAACCTCAAAGTCATATACTTTTCGAGCCTAGGCTTTTCAAACAAATCTCTTCCAAGACTTGTCGGACCTATGCTTTACTTGGAATTTCATTTTTCGGACTAAATGCTATCGCAAAGAACTTGGTGCAAGGCATCTATCCGGACATTCTGCATTTGGGCTCGCCGGACTTTATAGAAAAGAGCCTGAACACGACGGACACGCAGGTCACAACTTCAAAACCATGAATCGCGCACAACGCACAAGAGAGCGCTGCTTCTGGCTGTCTGCTCGTATTTGTGAAGCTCCGACATCATTCAAGGCCAGGCCGTTGCTGCCTACCCTATAGAAACGAATGCTTGCGCAAGCACCCCAAGTCGATGCGGAACACGAGATACACGTTTCGCACAGGGCCCAAGGGCTGCATGAAAGTGCCACCACGGGGTTGCCTGCAGTGCTTTGAAGATACCAAGTGCCAGCTGCCAGCGGCCACCAATTCTTCCAAGGATGGAGCTGAGTGTCACGTGATTCGGCCTTGACAGATCGAGGAGACTTGCAAATCGGTGGCTCTCAATTCCTCTCAGAAAGTCACAAAACTCTTGACTTTCCCCCGCCTGACTCGCTGGCACGGCATTGAATTCATGAGGGACAACCCAAGACCCCATGCTCCCTCACCATCCTTTGCTGCGGCAAGGAATTGTTTGGCAAGCAACTCCCTGTGCGGAACTCTGCGTCGCATGGTAGTTGCAGCTGCAGGATCTAGCTCATCCGAACCAATGCAGGCACTGAAGCTCACGACGTTTGGAGAAGGACCATCCTGTCAAGCTGAGAACTGCAAGAACTCAGACCGTAGTTCCTCTGCAGCCCAAGCTTGCGGAAGCCACTCCGAGAGCTACGGCATCCCACGATAGAGTCACAGGGTATTCCGATATTCCCTACAAGGCCTGCAACATGGTGGCCAAAATCCTTGCAGCGCTCTCCCACTGGCCAAGGGCGCACGTCATGGTGACCACACTCACACGCACCTGATAGCTCACAACGTCAAACTCATAATCATCTTACACCGTCAAACCACAACGACGACATAATGCAGGTTGGCGTCGCCCTGACAAGCCATGCAGTCTGTGAGCTCCAAAGCCCGGTGCCAGCAGCCCTGCAGCCTGGGCAGGCTCTCACTTTCTCGTTGCACACACTGGTATGAGCCTCCTCAAAGCCAGGCACTCCGCAAGGCGAGGAACATGATGCACAACGTTACAAGCAAGACTCAAAGAAATGACTTCGCGTGGCCTGGTATTGCTTCCAGGCAACTATGCGACTATGAAGCACCCCACTCGTCGCTACGACTTTTTGAGGGTTGTGACTGTCATCGCCGTGATAGTCATGACAGAGACCCTTTGTCCACATCTCGCGGGCAGTAGTACTCGTTACCGCAGGGGTTTAGAGTTTAAATCGTCAATGCCACTCCGGCTGCCCCAGTCAGAATCTCGACGACTGGAGGCATTGCTGCGACATCTTCGCCGACTACAAAGAACTATCGCAAAGGTTTCGATTGCAAAGCACCTTGAAACCAGCAAGCAAAGCTGACGAGGAGACTGGGCTGGTCTCAAGTTTCAAAAGAAAGCACGTACGAAGTCCCAGACAATGTGCATGTCATGATGTCCTACAGAGAACTCGTCCGGACAAGCGTCTGGAAGGCGTGTGCTGTCGCCCCAAAGTGGAAATCATTGCGTTCGATGGACATCTCCTGCATGCCCTGATGAAGTGTGACATCTGGAGAAGCGGGCGCACCAAGCATGCATCGGAGAACTAAGGGGCAGCAAGAATCAGAGAGGACGTGGTGTGCTCGCAATGCCTGCAATGCAGGATGCCCAAGCCCATCTGTCACTGATCTGTCAAAGGCACTCGCAGCAGTGCTTCGCACACTCGAGCAACGCGAGCCTGAACCACTGCCGGAGCAATCGGAGCTCTTCAGCGAAAAGGGTAAACATGGTTGCACATGTAGCTACATATTTCGGCCTTGGCAATGGTAGTTAGCACAGAAGTTGCTGCTGCAGGCCGGCCGAGCCATCCACTAAGGAAGCCTCTTCCATGTCGCTTCGCCTCCTTGCATCACCAAAACTCCCCCCTACCCCCCTCTCTGCAAAAGTGGATCAACTTCAAAAGCTTGAGGTTGGTTTGGCAGTCTTTGCTTGCGGTGTGTCCTGCACCGTATACGCCAGCTGCTGCAAGGCAGTGTCCCACATACGGGTGATGGCGCACGCAGACATGGCAGATGCCTGAACCACGACGTTTGCCACAGCCTGCGTACTAAATGCAGTTTTTGTTCAACTAAGACATGCCGCCAGGTTTAGTCTATAGGCAAACTGGAAGCAACAATTTGTACCCTGGGGATGTTCTGGGTGTGGCAGACCGCAGCCCGTACAAACCTCATTGCAAACCTCCGATCGCAGATCTCCTTGCCTGCTACCGTCTTTTATTCAGCTCCGGCGGCACCTGCGCCCATCGCATCTCTGTGAGCTTTTGCAAGGCCGCCAGCCACAAGATGGAGCTCCTGACAGGTTGTGATTCGGCATAAGACCACACTCATCATGACAGCGCGCTGAGAGTTCACTGAGCGAGCCACTGCATGTTGGCAGCTGCACTGCCGGGCCGGCGCGCTATCGCCGAGCTGCATTCAAGCTGTGCGCTAAAGGCATTCGGTGGGAAAAGGGACAAGCAACAAATTCTCTGGAATTCGAGCCAAAAGGCTGGGGTCCTACGCCTGTAGATCCACCATGCGTGTTGTGAGAAGTGAGAACCAAGATGAGTTGCAGCACGGCTCACTGAGGCTGAAGCATATGCGCTGAGAAGTTCAAACCGGGTTGTGTCCACGGACACCTTGGCAATGTTGAAGCTGATGCCAGCAGATCATGCTACGAGTACTAGATATTGGCTTGAGGATTTATCTTCAAGCTGATCTATGCTTCTTTATTGGTGGCTAGTCGAATCTAATCTGGACTTCTTCGATCTATGTTTCGATGCTGTATTTGGAACAGCTTCTCCATTTCCTATTTTAGTATCATCGGAGCCCAACCACCCACCCACCTCACCCTCCCCTCCCGACGCTTGTGGGTGGCTGAGTCTTTCTGACAGCTTCTCAGGGGGCTGCTCTGCAGTCCCCACCTGAAAACCTCGACTTCCGGCGGCTACGGTTCCATCCTCGCCTGCCTGTGTTGCGTTGTCATTCCTGCTTTTATTTCATAACCCTCTTATTTTCTTTGAGCACCCGGGGGACCAATTCAGGGTACCCCGAAAGCGGATCCCATGTCTCAAGCGCCTGGGACTCCTGAATAATTGAACACGCACTACTAGTAACTTGCGGCATTTCCGTGGAAGGTGGAACGTAGAAGCATGCCCCGCGCATCCTTCTGTGCTTGGCTGAGCGGCATCCTCGAAGTTGACCTCGACCAGCGCCTCCGGGCTTGCCGGCTGCCCTCTACAGTCTCTACAGCTTCAAGTATGATGGGTGTGATTAGAATCAGGATGGCCCGTGGCCAGCTACATCACAAGCTTTCTGACTCAGCAGATGCAACAGCCAAGAAGAGACTTCTATGCCTCTATGCCCGCCTGGTTGAGGCAAGCCGCGCTGGTGAACGTTGTCGGGACCTCACACAGGGCCCGGAGCATTTTAACATGTAGAATGTCCCTTTGTCGAGTTCCTGCCTCGAAATCTGCATATCGAATGCCCATGCCCCAATCATCGCTCATGGTCAGCCGCGGAGCCCGTCCTCAAGCTACCTGATCATTGCCTGAATTCTATCCACCCAGGGCTCAGGTCTCACGATCACGTGTCCTTGCAAGCGACTTTGGGGCACAGAGATGCCTGGGTGTACAGCATGTACTGCAGAATGTGGTGAAGGTACCGTCCGCGTCTGATGTGTGCGTACACTACTGTTGAGCCTGCTTTTATCTTTGCTGCGCCTATTCTGGTCGATGGTGTAGTCTTTGTGAAGCCGAAGCCAGACACCGAAACACCGCACTACTTCAGTGAGGGCATTGGGCCAGGTCGTGTGCAAGCATGGTGCCTGATGCTTGTTCAAGGAGACTGCATCCTTACACGAAGCCTACACTCTTACTGCCCTACACCAACCTACGAGCTGCTGTTGGTCTGGCGCCTCGACATGCACAATACTTTGTACTGTAAAGTTATATACTTTGCAAACACTTGCATACAAAGGACCCGTTCATGCCTCCTGGTGCAGTGTTGTGAATACCTTCTGCTACATTACGTAGATCGCAGATGTTGTTCGACGTCGCCAGAATCGATGTCTTCGTTCGCAGCTCTGGGACCGGAGCTTGTTCCTTTCTGTCCCAAGGACCCACTGCGAGTCATGCTCGACTTGTTCGTGTGATGAACATTGGTGAAACCTGCACACACGTGAACATTGTCAGCTGGCGTGCTGGCACTGTTCGAGCTTCAAGCTTCGCTGCACTCAAAGAAAGCCCGTGCCCCCAGCGCCAGCTGGCTTTGCCTTCGGGGACGTGCATGGGATGGCTGTAGACTCAGACATGTTCAAGCCTATCCAGAGGCGACTGCTATTATTCACGCGCTCACTCCTGACGATGAGCTATGGTCTTGAATGCCGGTTCTGGTTGGCAGCGCTGTTCGACAATTGGTTGACTGATATCACACGATCAATGCAAACGGTAGAATTGCCTGTGCGAGCACCTCAGGGCAACGTTCGCCCACACGGAGCTTCGCCAGAATATCTGCCTGAGTGGGAATTAATGGACACCCACTCACTGAGCTGACAAGCACGACTGCCCGTAGTCTTTCATGATTGTGATATGGGCTGAGCTCGTGTCTATGTGGTTCGGGTAATCGTGGTGGCCCTGAATGCCAAGGCCATCAAGGTTGACATTCCTCGGTGGAAGCATCACAAGGCACTCTATCTCAAGTGTCCGCTAGGCAACTGCCAATGCCAATGCTCCACATCACTTTGCAGATCTCCTGGGAGGGTCATTAGCGTAGCTTTAATCTGGCTCCAGTCGAGTTTCTCCACGCCAGGTACCTGGTAGTCTTGTCCGTGCTGAAGTTCAGGTCTGTGGCATAATGTAAAATTCTTAGTCAGCTGCACAACGGATAGAAAGCCAGAACACCCCTGAGCAAGATCTGACGGTTGACATGTCATGCGGCTCGTCGCGCCTGGACTTGAGATAGCCCTGCCACTGAAAGGCCCCACCTGTCTGAGGTCACTTTCGCAAACCAACGAGCGACGTCACTTTCGCAAAGGGCAGCCGCAGATCCCACTCATCAGCTGGGTTTCGAGCTCGAGATATCGATAAAGGAAAGCTAGCACCTCGGGTGTTGCTCAGATACTGCGCCCTGCCACGTCAGAAGACAAGGCGCATGTCGCTCTGCGGCAGGTCTGAGTCATGAATAGCAAGGTCCCCGCCCAGTCCTTTCCCAGGTAGCCATTCACAACCCTGCCAGACGCCACAGCACGAACCTGCAGAACACAGTTGGGAAGCCACAGTTGGGACCAGGATTTGTGCATGTGGCACCAGACACTAGCGCGAAGATTTTCCAGCTGCCAGGAATGCCTGGGGTTGGCGAAGCTGAAGCAGCTGCATCTGTTCTATGTCTGCCAGCAGCTTCAAGCTTGCATGGCCAAGACCGCCAAGTTCACAGGCGTGGACACCAATACCCAAGCAGGGCGTGTTTGGTACCAGCTCGGTCCCACTCAGTTCTGTCAGGAGGTGCAGGGCAATCTGCCAGCAATGGCTGGCCTCACAGGCCTGCATGCAACAGCCCCAGCTAATGAGATCAGGAACCAACTGGAAGCGGTCCATGCCCTCGAGCAGGCGCAGTGTCACAAGCCATCTACCATGGCTGATACTCATAATTGTGTTGAGGGTGATTTTCGTCGGCCGGACACTCAGCTCGATCATGCTCCCCAGGATGTCCAAAGCAGGCTTCCAGAGCCTCCGTGTGCCCTGCTTTAACACACTGATCGCTGCATTGAAGCTGATGACATCTGGCTGGGGGCCACAAGCAATAGCACTTCTAAGTAGCTTCAGGGCGCCTCTGTAAAGCCCCCCCTTCTCGCAGGCACTGATTGCTGTGTTGCAAGAAAAGCAGTTGGCCGAAACTCCGCCATGTCTGCCCGTTTCAAAGAAAAGCTTGAGGGCCAGGCCCCAGTTTCCAGCTTTCTCACACACACTCATGCAGGAGCTATGTGCGACCACATTCGGCAGAATCCCTAACACTGCCATGTCTGCGAGGAAATGTAAGGCCACATGCCAGACACCGCCCGCTTCACATGCGTTGATGCAATTGCTGTAGCTTATGGCACTCGGTGACAGATTCGCGCTTGTCATTTGGCCCATTATATGTTGGCAAGAAGACAGTAGACCAGCTCGTGCACAGGCACAAATGGCTGCATTGCATGTCTGCACATTGGGCAGAATCCTGCGCGATTCCAGGCTGTTCAGGAGCTGAAGGCTCTTCTGCCACTCTCCTGCCTTTTCACATGCGCTGATGCAGCTGCTCAGAGTTATGATGTTGGGCTCTACCTCCAGCTTAGACATCATCTCCAGCAGGTGTATTGCTCTCTCCCATTCTCCAGCTTTTTCTAAGGAACTCAAGCAACTGCTGTAGCTGACTACGTTTGGAACAACCCCAGAGTCACTCATCTGCAACAGAAGTGCCAGCGCGGCCTGCCACTGGCTGCTGCCAGCACACGCACTGATGCAGCTGCTTACGCTGACCACATTGCCAGATACTTGGCCTCTTTCCATGCACACCAAGAGGCCCAAAGCGATGGACCATTCCTCCGATTCGCCACAGCAGCCTATGCAAGTACTGTAGCTGATGGCATCTGGACAGATACGCCGGCTGCCCATGCTGAGCAGTGACGCAAGCGACCCGGGCCAACAAGAGTCTTTCTCGCCTGCATGCAAGCAGGCGTTGAACGTGACCACATTTGCCTCCACCCGTAGCCTTGACATGTGGGCAAAGGCATCGAGGGCATGGGGCCAACCGCTGCCCCGATCGCATGAAGTCAAGATGCTATTAAAGCTGATCACTTGCGGCACCAACTCAGACCCAAGCATCTCCAACAGAATTGAAAGCAGCAAGGACCATGCAGCACAGCTCGCGGCAGCATGAATGGCAGAGCCATAGATGATGCCGTCCGCTTGTCCCAAACCCTTTCTGAACCTGTCGAGTAGGCTCAGTGAGCCTTGCCAGTCACTGGCCTTACTACAGACCTTGATTTTGGCCTTGCAACTCTGAAGCTCCAAGGCGGAATCAGTTGCAGATGCGGATCGCGTGAGCATTCGCATCCCTGCTCCGTAGCAGTGGAAGCTGCATCTTGTGCATCCGCCATCCTATGGGATACATCCCATTGCGAACCCCTATGACTTGTGCAGGGCGTGCAAGTTCCCATCGCTCCGAATAGTAGCCACATGCGGGCACGCACATGCAGGTGTGGACACGCGCCGCCTAAATTCAGCTGCCCAAGCCATCCTTCGAATAAAGCGCAGAGGACTTGAGCCAAACCTGCAGCGCGTTTCCGGATTTCAGGGTATAGCTACTTAGAGGCACACCACCTTCTACCAACGGCAAAAATGTCGCTGGGCCTTCTGCCATTTGCGTGCTTCTGTTGTCACGGGTGTACCAAGCAGGACGACATCGTCCACCGCATGGAACTCACCCATTTGGTACAGCTCACACCTGCGGCACGCACTGCTTTTAGATCCACAGAAACCTTTCCATTGGCAATCTGAGAGGGTGATGGGTGTAACCGAAATCAAAAAGACGAAAACTAGGCAAAAGCCGAAACGGGAACGGGGAACCAAGAACGGCAGCCTGACCAGTCAGAAGGAAACCACACATCACCAAACGCCGTCGCAACACATCCCCCTGAACCAAAAAAGGGTTGCAACGGAAACCAGAAACCAGAAGCATCAGGGGTGTGCCTTCGTCATTGTCCTGCTGGTGAGCCCACCAAAGTTTCCCTAAAAGGCCCCCGAAGTTTCTGCTAAGGTGTCCGTTACTCCCCCCCTGAGTCCGGAATTTCCGGCTACACCCCAATGCCTTCCGTTACGTCGCAGTACTTAATCTGAGAGCCCGGCAAGCAATACACCAAAAGCCGCGCTCCTGAACGGGTCTCTTGATGCTCAAAAAGTTAGGACCCCCTTCGCCCGTTTTAGGCTATAGGCACCACTAGCCCCACCCCCATATCACATCCCCTATCCCAACCCTAGAATACCATCTTAGGAATACTCCAACATCCCTATCCGGGTGCCATAGCCTAAAACGGGCAAGGGGTTCCTTGTAGAATTTGGTTCAGGGTTTAGGGTTAAGGGTTTTAACTACATTGTAATTATAATATATAACTGCTTATGTATTATAATTACACTATAACTACGCAGTTTCTGGTTTCAAATGCGGTGGTTTGTTAAAATGTCTTGACCACATCGGAGGCAAGTAGCAAGAACGGCAAGTGTTACAACAATAATGTTCTTTGCCGTTTATTTCTCTGATAATATCTGGTTTGGGAACATCTTTCTCAAAGTCTGGATCATTTAGCTTTTGTAAATAATACTGGTGCGTTTGTGACTTTTCGTGTTGGGCTTGTTTGTATTTCTTTATTTCGTAATTACAAACAGGGCACATGACGACTTCGTCTTTGATTTTGTTCAGGTGGTTCTGTCTCCACTCTTTAACTTTTTCGGGGTTTTGTGCTCTGTATTCTCTCTTTTGTTCCGCTATTTGTTGCTTATGTGTTTGACCATATCGTTTTGCTTTGTCTCTACATACGTTACAAGTCTTGTAGTTCTCTTCAAACTTTTCAATCTTCTGCATTATTTGACACTTACTGCAAAATCTCCTTCCTTCCATTACTCAATATAAATAGGTGTCATTTCTTTAAGCGTGTATCCAGCCCAGTGTCTAAACATTCAGAACAAGTCGCAATATATTTAACATAATAATAAGAATGCTTACCAGCATAATAGCAACGCTTAAAACAATCAATATTTTTGTCTTGCTTACAACGATAACACTTCCTAGTAACAACATTATTTGTTTCAGTATATGGTTCAAAATCAACTAATATCTTATTTACTTTTATTGTCATTATATTAATAATATACACATTTTCATAATGTGAGATTATGAAAATTTGCATTCCCTTAAGATTTAATGAAACTAATTACGAATTCTTATCATTTCCACACTCTTATGGTGTGCTTATGAAGCTGTTCATAACACGGGAGCAATGGGACATGATTTTCTTCTAGATGTCTGGGCAGGGGAACTATACTATACACTGTCAATATAAACTAGATTTTTTAATCCATCATATTTAAATTATTCTTCAAAATAGTTACATCTTTGTCTATCCTTTCAACATCCTCCTCCACTTTTTCTAACCTCTCTTCTGGTGTAGGCTTTCTTGAACCCCATCCGGTGGTAACCGTATCAACACCTTCATTATCTTGCGCGTTAGTTTTAAATATTTCATTTTCATCGGGGGTAACACCTCTACCGCCAACCTTCCAAGAACTCCTATCTTCAATGATTGTCTTACCTTCGGTGTTTATCTTAGTCTCTTTGTGAAAAGTCTTCTTTCTGCATTTGCAGGGCAAACAGTTTAATCCATCCGTGTTTAAGTGGAAGCCACCTTCGTTTGATTTCTTATCGCTCATTAACCTTTCTTAGATTTTTTTAAATACTCAAGAACTGCCTTAAGTAATTCTAAAGAAGCGGTGCAACACCTTTTAAGCTTGGTGTCTTGTATTACAATCTTCTCAATTTCTTCAATCTCCTCTATCGTTTCTAAATACTTATCCATTATATTAAAAGATATTTTTCTCTTATTAGTTAATGAGTGAAGAAATACCTAAAGTAGAACCGATAGACATACCCGAATATAAATATAAAAACAGCAAGTTTGACATGATGCCGAAGCTACCCGCGCGGATGTTATGCGTAGCTTCTTCAACAGGCGGTAAAACAGTATTGATCCAGAACTTAATATTAAAAATTTACAGAGGATCCTTTGAGAGAATATACATCTTCTCGCCCAGTGTTCATGTTGATGACACTTGGTCGGCAGTAAAGAAATACATAAAGGATGTCATGAAGGTGGACGCAGAAAAAGAACAGCTTTATTACGAGGAATACGACCCGGTGGCGCTAAAGAAGATAATAGACACTCAGCATAAAGTCATTGATTTTCAGAAGAAGAATAAACAAAAGGACCTGTTTAGCATTCTGTTAGTGGTGGACGATTTCGCCGACGACCCCAAATTTGTAAGATACTCAAGCTTATTACATGGGTTGTTCACGAGGGGTCGTCATAATGCCATCTCGTGCATTTTATCCACTCAGAAATATAATGTGTTGGCCCCGATAATTAGATTAAATGCCAGTGCTTTATTCATCTTCAGACTGAAGAATATGAACGAAGTCAACGCATTTTTAGAAGAGAATTCCGCCTTGGTGGACAAAAGCACGTTATACGAAATGTATCAAAAAGCCGTGAATTTTGCTCCTTACTCCTTCTTCTACATAAACACCAACGCTAAAGATGTTAGTAATATGTTCTTCATTAACTTTGAACAACGCTTTGAATTAGATTAACAACATTGTTATCAACTTGATAAATTAGATAACACCAGTTCAGTGTCAAACCCATTCCAAAGTATGTGCTTAAATGTTTTATAGTTTTCAGTGCCATCTATAATATTGAACCAAATACGACCAAAGAAAAATTCCATTATAAATGGTCTTATTAGCCAGTCAATTTCATTCTTAAACTTGTATACACTATTGCTACTATACGTATTCAGTAGCTTTTTATGCAATTCATCATTGTAATTAAAATAAATGTTATTAATCATTGCGGTATCAAGTTTATTAAGAACCGGTAAAACAAATGTATCATAAATGACTTTACTATTCTCATAATCATAAAACTCACAGAGACTTGTTAGTAATAGAAACACATTATTTAACACTTCATCAACTCTGCTTTCCAGAGTTCCTTCGGGATAAGTTTGATTATGAACAGCTCTTCTTATATTACAACATTTAGAACAGTTAAAGTATGACATAATAAGTGTATCAACATTATAATTAATAATACCATTCTTTGAGATTTCCTTTGTGTTACAATAACAATTACAGTTCTTGATATATGTATTTCCCTTTACAATTAAATCACTATTAAGGATTTTGATTTTATGATAAAGTTCAAACTTTTTAGTATCTAATATTCCGACTATTATACAACCCATAGTTATCAATTATTACATAAAAGTTTTAATACTTCTTTATGTAATACTTGATAATTATATTAATGAATAACTACACAAGTTTATAGCAGGTAGTTTATAATATATTTTATCGCTTTTTGTTTCTTCCAATTTCTCAACCCTTTCAATAACATCTTTCAAAGTATTAAATAACAACATATCTGTTCTTGTTTTTTCATTAATGTCTAACTCTTTTATTTGTTTCATGTTTTCAGTAGCAGAAGATTTGGAAGATGTAGAACCCATATAATGAAATTTAGATAAATATTTTTAATCGCTATCGTGTTTCATCTTCTTTTTCAACTTTGTTAATTCGCCTTTCAAAGACGTTATTTCTTTTTGCATTTCTTGCACAGCTCCCCACAAGATAACTGTCATTTTATTGTATGCTAAGAGTTTCATACCATCATCATTATAAAAGATTATGTTGTCCCATTCAGGGGGCAGTTTAGCATTTTTCACATCGTCGGCTATAAATCCTAGGTTACTCTTTTTATCTTCGTCCTTGACAAAATTAAATGTTTTCGGTTTAATGTATTTAACTACACTATAACAATCCTTGATATTCACTTCTTTAATGTTCTCTTTTAATTTATAGTCGGATGTTTCAATTAACGCCGTGCAGGTTAGAGTTCCTCCAATATCTGCGTTATTCGTTGTAGTAAAGAAACCGTAAACATCAACGCCTGTATTTGTAGCATCTAATCTTGATAAATTATTATTGCTTAATCTAATAAATCCATCAGTGTCTGGGTTATTTATTAATACTCTTTGTTGACCTGACACATCAACATGTGTTATTTCTAAATTACCTAATATATTTACTTTTCCATCGGTTAATTGAATTTCTGGCGTTGATGATTCTAATCCCATTGTTAAATTCATTTCTCCCGCCGTGTCTCCATTTCTGATATATAACTTATATTGAGTGTCTAAAACTTCTTTTAATTCGCTACTATTTTGAAACATAAAGCGCCCCCAACTAATAACATCGCTTTCACCAACGATATTACCAATAC